GCCCTGTCAGAGTTGGATCACCCCCGATTCAGGGTCCTGCAGCAGGATAAGCTCTTGCCAAGAGCTTAGGTTTACACCGAAAGCTTCATTTCTCTCGCGCGGGTGAACCGGCCGGATGAGGGAGAGCTGGGCCGACTTCACTTCATGACCCGTGATAGCTTGCATCGACTGACGGACCCGGAGCTGTAGTCATGCTGTGCTGTTGTGATGGAAGTACAGATCGTGATGCTTGGTCCGCGCTCGTCCGGAGGATTTCAAACGCCAGGCAAAGGGATCAGCACCAGGTGACGCATTCGATTCTAGATGGCCAAAACCAAGCAATATCAGGGGTTCGAGAGGGTGTGAGGCATAGCTGCATCTCACCTCAATCAGTCCGGTCAGTATGCGGCTGAAACAAGCCTCCGATAAACCGGCCGGCACACTGATCTCTAGGCCCGATCACGTGAGCGGCAAACCGCCCGTGTAAGTGACCCCATGATAGTGAGCCAGGGGGGAGTCGTAACAAGTCATCGCGGTTTAGGGACTCCGAGAACATCGGCGGACGTGAGTTCGTGCCGGCGTCAGAGATACGAAGCTCGTGGCGCTCAGGTATGAGGGAGCAGGTAGGGACATATAGAAGGACGGCCACCTTCAATACGGAGTGTGGGAGGAAGCAGAACTAGCACTATGATCAACTTGTAATCATATCCAAAATCGCTATCTCCATTATCATCATATCACTACAGCAACTCTCTATAATCACAGACACTGTTTTGTTGCCATGTCGCTCCTCAAAAGGTACCTTGGGCTCGCCGGTGCTGCTCCCGCCCATGACCCCAAAGCCCCCGTCAGGGCACTACCAGCATCATGGTACACGTCCCAGGACATGTACGAGCTTGAGCGCCGTGCAATCTTCTCCAGAAAGTGGCTCCTCACAACGCACAAGTCTCGTCTTCCCAACCCTGGAGATTGGGTCAAGTACGACGTGGCGGGCTACTCCTTCATCGTGGTCCAGGACCGCAAGGGCAAGATCAACGCTTTCCACAATGTTTGCCGACACCGGGCCTTCCCTGTGGTCACGAGCACCCACGGCAACAGCTTCATCTTCTCATGCAAGTACCACGGATGGTCCTATGGTCTTAGCGGAAACCTCGCCAAGGCCCCGGGGTACCAGGACCTCGAGGGGTTCGACAAGTCCAAGAATGGCCTGTTTCCCATCCACGTGCATCTCGACAAGAATGGATTCATCTGGCTGAATTTGGATGCGGGCGAGACACCCGAGATTCCGTGGGGTGAAGACTTTGAAGGAGTCGACGAGCAGCAGAGGTTCGAGCACTACAATTTCGAAGACTACGTGTACGACCACACGTGGGAGATGGAGGGTGAATACAACTGGAAGATCCTGGCAGACAACTACAACGAGTGCTACCACTGCCCTCAAGCACACCCCGACATCCCGTCAATTGCAGATCTCAACTCCTACTACGTTCAGACGAAGGCCTCCCACATCCAGCACTTCGGCCAGCCCACAGAGGAACAGATCGCAAAGGGCTTTCGTGTGGCGGCAACGTACTTCTGGCCCAACGCATCCATGAATGTTTCGTAAGTTATCATCCGCTCGGCGCTTTATTTGCCTAGAATCCTTGCTGACCAAGATCTCAGACCGCACTTCTTCTTTATCCAGCGCTTCATGCCCAGCGGCCCCACCAAGTCCGTCATGAAGTATGAAGTATTCCGGAACAAGAATTCGAGCGACGAGGATTTTGGCGTGATCAACGACATGTACAAGCGAATCATGTCCGAGGACAAGTATCTCTGTCTCAACTCACAGAAGAACCTCAACGCCGGCATCTTTGTCAACGGCGAGCTTCACCCCGAGCTGGAAAAGGGACCACTATTCTTCCAGAGGACTGTTCGCGAGGTCATGACCGCACACTTTGAGAAGGAGCAGCTTCTTGGCGAAGAAATCTGGCCCGCTCAGCAGCGTGTGCCCAAGTCGGCGACAGCCAGTCAGGCCGACACCAACTTTTGTTCGGCAGTCGACTGTTGCAGGAAGACCAAGATTACCGAGAAGAAGCAGACCATGGCCGAGGCGCTTGCATTTTAGAGATGGCTGAGATGCGCATCGATCTTTGCCGCTAGCAGGAGTAGATCACCTACACTTCGATGACTTTTATGGCGATGATTTGGGACTTTAGGATTTTACGCAAATTGCCAACATTTATTAGCGTTCATAGCATGCAACCTTGGGAATAATGAACTATCTACACAAGCCATTGCTCTGTTCCAGCGATCGTCGACGATATCGTTGCGACTTGTCTGCAGTCACTCTGCCATCACGTTTAGTTATGGGTGGTTTCACCCCTTCGCTCCTTTACACATCACATCCCCATTCGCGACAATATGAACATGCAGCCAACGACGCTTGCCATGTTTATCTTGGACACTCGTGTCAAAGACCCTGGTGACGGAGCTTCAGTAGACTGCTGCGCAGCACCCTCACTCTCTGTCGTTGACGATTCATTCGCTGTACTCGAGAGGCGGGCACTCGCTGTTGTGTCCAAAATTTGAGTGGTTGTCCCAGTTTTCGAGGACGTTGGTGAAGACTGAGGCTCTTCGATAGATGAACTCGAGTCCGGAAAGTCTCTCCCGTACCCATAATCGGAGTAGACTTTCGTTTGCCACGCCCCGGTAGGTGTGCTAGCAAAGGTCGTCGGAGCAGGGACACCGGCCGCTGTGACTGTGGCGCAAACGACCTCCCCGTCGTGTCGGTACCCAGACGTGTCCTCACCTTCGGGGAAATCATTTAGACACATGAAGTGCTCTGAGAAGGAGTAGGGGTACTTGTCGTTCGACGCATCCAACTCGGGGTCGACGAGGCAGACTACGGCGCAGGACATTGGATAGAAGGGGTGATCCTGCGCCACAGGCTCGGTAATGTTGTAGACCTCGCCGGAACAGCATTTCGCGAAGTTGGTGGAGCTGTAGTAGCCAATCGGTGGGCTCTTGCAGACGAAGCCAGATATGTTTTCAGGCCACTCGTTCCACGTGTTGGATGGGTTGATGAGATTGTAGGAGGGTGAGCCTGTGCAGGCCGGCGCAGGACTAACCATGCTGCTCTGGGTTTAACTTGATCGTGACGTCGTGTGAACTTGGATGCGTGCGTGGCTCGATGAAGTTTGCATGTTTTGATGACAGTAACGAGCTGAGGTCACTTTCCGCACGCTGACTAGATGGGATAGTGCGGCGCAGCAGAATAATCTGATCCTTCGGCGATAAGCCCCCATGCTCGTCACCAGGCTGTTGAGCAATGGCACGCCCTCCATCGATGACCTGTTCAGCGTGACTTCGTATAGAGCCTCACGATATTTCAGGTTCTGAGGAAACGAGAAGCCATTTTTTCATGTTTAGGAACTTCTGAATTTGTACCGGGGTTTGTCATCAGGTTGATCCTCCACAGAGCCTGGTGGTTCTCCACCACCTGCGTTGCAACGGTCAACCTCTTGACAGCCAAATCGTCTCCACCATGTACCTGACATGCTTCCATGTCGTCCTATGTTCAAACTGGCCAGGGACCGAATCAAGGTCCACAAGCCTGAAGCAAGTTGCCGATTAGAACGTGCGTTGTTGTGCATACCAAGAGTCAATCGATGCAACAAACCCGAATGAAAATCATGTGCGTAGCTACAACCAACAATTTATCAAACGGTTCGTAAAATCCAGCCACACATGGCCAGTCACTGCTCGAATGTTCCGACGGCAATGCACATGCTTCATCATATCCCCATGATATCCTCTCCACCGACTCTCCGTCTACTAATGACCGTGTCCCGGCTTACATTCTCTAATCCCAGACTCCAATAGCATAAGCGCACGAAATCCCCGCCTTTTCTGTGTCCCGTGCTTTATCGGAAAAGGGACATCGGCATTGAAGTACCATGTAAGCCGATGTGCTCTGCCAAAAGTGTCTGTGCAAACCACACCAACCCCAACGCCCAAAAGTGCCAGGTAAGGCTGTTCCACTTGACTGCATATCCCGAAGGATTCGTGGGGTCCGGCACATTTCCCCCTCCGGCTAAATACTGTCGTGCTTGAATGAGCGTCAGGCGCCTTTCGTAGCATTGATCTGCACGACCTCATGCCGGAGCCTCTCATTTTGCCGGACGATGTCGCACGGGCATAGGCAAGGTAGTCGGGCATTGGCGGGAGTTCACTCAGTTTATGCCGGACCAACACCGACGGTGGTCCTTTACCCCTCTTCGTATGCAGATGATGTGGTATTGGGCCCAAGAAAGACTAGAAGATACAAGGATGGATTTGGGATCGAGGTGTCTCCGTTACTAATGCCCATTCAGGAGAGGGACTGTGTGCTTATGTCTTAACGCAAAGTACTTGAATACTTAGTTAGGGACTCATCAGGTCAAAATTGATCATTAGAATAATGAAGAAGTCTGTCTGGAATGGTGATGGATCACCTGGATAGCCACCGCTTACCTCTTAGGAAGTGGAACATTTGGGCATAGAGAACCTTTAGGGAGGAAAGCTAAAAAGTATTGGGGATCGGTTCCATGGATTACATTTCTACCGCTCACGCCCGGTGCACAACGTGTTCCGGTACCTCCTCCGCTGCCCGCACTTGAAACCCCATGTCCTAACTGGACACGACGGGCCGATCCCGGCTTACACCCGGGCGCATGTAATGCTCATCTCCTGATGTCTACAGGAGCGCCGATCAACAGCCGGCACAAAGCTAACGCCTGTTATAAGAAGAAGCTTACATCCAACTCACGCTGTCTGAAGTGAGCGCAGAACTAGAATCTAGTTTCACCTGTGACTCGTCTTTCTTCATTACACAGTCAAAAGCCCCTGGCCATCGCCATTTCACTAAGAAATCTCAGTTCATACGCGAACTCCACGATGGGCGGTGCTCTCGGCGGCAATGCCGCGTACGATGCAGCGTTGGAGCGGCGACAGGCGCTCATGGGAGCCAGCGGCGCCAGAGCTCTCGTCAAGAACTTCAAGGTGGCCCGCATTGCAGCTTTCGCGTGCATCGGAGGAGTTCTTTACGGCTATAATCAGGGCATGTTCTCGGGAATCTTGGCCATGCCATCTTTTGGGAAACGTATGTTGCCCACTGTCTCATAAGTAGAATGGACGTTGTCGACTGATTCTTGGTATTTCTGTATAGATATGGATGGCTACATCGACAATCCTACTCTCAAAGGCTGGTTGACTGCAATTCTGGAACTCGGGGCTTGGTTCGGCACCCTGCTTTCTGGTTTTGTGGCCGAAGTCTTCTCGCGAAAGTATGGTGTTCTGGTTGCGACCGCGGTCTTCATGCTCGGAGTCATCATCCAGATCACTTCAATTACTGGCGGCCACGAATCAATCCTGGCAGGTCGGTTTATCACGCAAGTACTCAAGTGACCGAGTCTTTTCTTCTGGTGCTAACATGATGCAGGGGTATGGGCGTGGGAAGTCTTTCAATGATTGTGCCGCTGTACAATTCAGAGTGCGCACCTCCGTAAGCTTATTTCCCCCGCTTCTCACAACGAACCAGGTCATTTAATCATCATCGTTATGAGACAGTGAGGTCCGTGGAGCTCTTGTTGCCTTGCAGCAGCTCGCTATCACATTTGGAATCATGATCAGTTTCTGGATCGATTAGTAGGTTGCCCTCAGAAAGACACTCGCAACACGATGAAGTCAACTAACACAGAGCCACAGCGGGTGCAATTACATTGGAGGAACAGAAGAGGAGACTCAGTCAGACGCTGCGTGGTTAGTTCCAATCTGTCTCCAGCTCGGACCAGCCATTGTGCTCTTTGTTGGAATGATGTGGATGCCTTTCTCGCCAAGGTGGCTGATCCACCATGATCGCGAAGACGAGGCCCGAGACGTCCTTGCCAACCTCCGAGACTTACCTCACGATCATGAACTCATTCAACTCGAGTTCCTTGAAATCAAGGCACAGTCCCTGTTCGAAAAGCGAAGCATCGCCGAGCACTTTCCTCACCTGCAAGAACAAACGGCGTGGAACATTTTCAAGCTGCAATTTGTCTCCATCAAGAGTTTGTTCACATCCAGAGCAATGTTCAAACGTGTCATAGTCGCTTGCCTCGTCATGTTGTTCCAGCAGTGGTCTGGAATCAATGCTGTGAGCCTATCCGACCTTGCCAGCCATTTCTTCATCGAGTCGAGACTGATGGTGCGGCTTTAGGTGCTTTACTACGCTCCTCAAATTTTTGAACAGCTCGGCCTGAGTGAGAACACGACAAGCTTGCTAGCAACCGGTGTTGTCGGTGTTGCCATGTTCATAGCTACAATCCCGGCAGTCCTGTGGATTGACCGAGTGGGCCGGAAGCCGGTCCTGACCGTTGGGGCCATCGGTATGGGTACTTGCCACATCATCATTGCGATAATCCTGGCCAAGAACATCGACAATTTCCATAACGCCCCCGCGGCGGGCTGGGCTGCTGTGTGCATGGTGTGGCTGTTCGTGATCCACTTCGGCTGTAAGACTCTCTCCAGCGAGATATCAGGACTTGACCGTGTTGCTGATTCAATGGCTATCCAGATTCTTGGGGACCATGTGCTTGGATCATTGTTGCTGAAATCTGGCCGCTGAGCACTCGTCCTTATGGTGTGTCGCTGGGAGCCTCCAGTAACTGGATGTGAGTAAATGACCGCATTGTCGAAATGGCCACAGTTGATGGTGTTGGGAGCTAACGGGGACTTTTAGGAATAACTTCATGTAAGCCATTTCATATGACAGAGACCCATAGGTACGGTAAAATGGCACGTCTAGATACTGACAACACCGTCTGCAGTGTCGGCCAGGTCACCCCAGACATGCTCGTTGGTATCACGTACGGTACTTACATCATATTCGGCCTTCTCATATATACTGGCGCAGCATTCGTCTGGTTCTTCGTTCCGGAGACCAAGCGGCTTTCGCTGGAGGAAATGGTATACTTTGAGAACCCCTGCCGCTACTTCAAGCCTTCAGCGCTGACTCCCACTAGGATCTGGTCTTCGGCTCTGAGGGAACCGCACAAGCGGACTTTGAGCGTATGGCGGAGATCAATCGAGACATTGGTCTTACGGCACTACTCGAGCGGGACCACCATGGCTCGGCAGCCATCGGCGAAGAGCTCGAGAAGCCGAAAATCGACTCCGTCAATCATGAGCGAGTATAGGCAAAGACTTTAGGTTTGAAGCTCCAAGATCCGATGTAAGCTGTCCCAAAGTGGAAAAAGAATGAGCACTTCCACTTAACGACCCTTGTTCATGCGCCCTTTCAGTGTTGTCGCAGAAGTACAAACTTGTTGTCACAGGACGCTAGACCTAGGATGTCATGAGACTTGGTAGTATGTAAGCAGCTGAAGTTATGTATGAAGCTTGAAATACCATAATCCAGAGTCGCTTAACATGAAGCATACACCCGTATAATTTGAGACAAAAGATTTGGTTCTTGTCTAGTCTCTACTTATTTGTGATGCGCAACGTGACAAGATGTACGGGAATGCCAAGCTGCGAGCGTCAGCACTTGGCGGCTTCCCGCATCAGCAATACAGGGGAATTGACGTTCATGCATGTCAGATCGGGACTTAACCCTATAACAACGTCTTCCAAAAGCATGACGATGTGCTTTTTAATCTATCAATCTATGTCTCCTACAAATCGCCATGTACAACCTTTGAACACTCATGATTATTGACTAGTGCAGCAGAGGAAAATGGCCCACACCCACCCACTCATGAATTACGAGTCAGGCGTGTGCGACGTTCCTCAAGGGCGGTCTTTGTAGTTTGTCGCTCAGTCTGGGCTCGACACAGCACCAATACTGGCACATGCCAACATTCGGAAGACCAGAGGATGCTGAAAACATTCGATTGCGCTACTCTTATCACCGTGCGCAGTGGTAGATACGGCCTGACCAGAATCGTCTTCCGACAGAAGAAGGGAGCCATACTGCTGGTATGTGGGTGTGGCCGTGTCTTGATCGATTCCGTCCCCCGATGGCAGAAAGCAGCTTAGTGCAGCCCCGGAATCGGCATACTGGGCCCATGACGTGATGGAATTGGAGAGCTCGTGCCAATAAGTACGCATTCCCAGGAAGCTTCGCCAGGCCCACCGTCGGGTAGAAACTTTATTTCAAAAAGTGATATCATCGCACCCTCAAGCTGCCTTGGACGACTCTGGAGTTCCCTGAAACCTCATTTGATATCTACAGAGCCATTCTACCTCCAGGGCATTCTCCGGTCAGTTCGTTCACATCACCAATCTCAACACATCAACTGGCTGCAAAATGGCTGCCCAAGACACTCCTCAGATGCGCGTCTATCAGATTGACGCCCCTGGGCCAATCGCCAACATGAAACTGGTGACGGTACCACGTCCATCAGAGACCCTCGAAAAGGAACACATTCTCGTCAAGGTTATCGTGGCCGGCATCAACCCGGCTGATTACAAGCTCCCCGAGCTCGGCATCTTATCCAAGGCCAAGCTCTCGTACCCAATCTGCCCCGGCATGGATTTTGCTGGTCAGGTCATCGCCGTCGGCGAGGGTGTGCCGGACATCAAGGTGGGCGATAACGTCCTCGGTCGCGTGGATCCTCTCAAGTGGGCCGGCTCGCTCTCGGAATATGTCGTCAGTCCCTACGACGGCGTTGCCACGTTGCCAAAGAATGTATCGCTCGACCAGGCCGGCGCCGCCGGCACTGCGGCCCTGACAGCTTACCAGACCATCGCGCCGTACGCAAAGGCCGGCGATAAGGTCTTCATCAACGGTGGTTCCGGAGGCACTGGCACATATGGTATCCAGATCGCCAAGGCCATCGGCTGCCACGTCACCGTGTCTTGTTCGACATCCAAAGCTGCTTTGTGTAAGGAGCTCGGCGCCGATGAGATCATTGACTACAAGACGACAAATGTGACGGTCAAGTTGCGGGAGATCGGCCCCGTCTTCTCCGTCATCGTTGACAATGTTGGCGACTCGCCGCCCGACCTCTTTAGCGCCTCGGACGCGATCCTGCTGCCAAGCGGACACTACAAGTTTGTTGGCGGCCACTTTTCCTTCCAGATGGCGACCCACCTTGCCTCGGGACTGTTACTGCCCAAGTTCTTGGGAGGTGTGAGCCACAAGTTCGAGGCGTTCATGACGAAGAACTCGCACGAGGACCTCGCGCAGCTGGCGACGTGGATGGGCGAAGGTAAAGTGAAGACGGTGGTGGACTCGGCTTTTGGGTTTGAGCAGGTCTACGAGGCTTTTGAGAAGCTCAAAGTTGGGTCGGCAGCAGGGAAAATCGTGGTTCACGTCCAGGAGAACAAGACGTAATGCGGGTGCACCTCTTTTGGGTTTGAAGAAGTTAATGAAGGCCTTGTTAATTCACTAAGCTGATCTTGTTCATGTTGTGCTTCCGAAAAACAGTCCATCTCAATTCACACAGTTCGGGGAGGCAGTGACATCCGATCGATTACATTACGTCTGGTGATCTTGGCCGAGCATCCGCATACCTGCCTTTCTAGTCACCCTAAAAGGGGGTTATCTTGGGCAGATAAGAAAGCGACCAGCATTCGCATCGAATGTCGGGAAGCGACATTTGCAGCGATCGATCTCTCTATTGACATAGTATAGGCAAGAACGAGGCGACATCACTTAAGATGCGGCAGTCAATGCCAAGGCCACATGCCGCGTGTACATAAAACTGTTGAGTCGGGGCGAAGGGAAGTAGCAGTCAAGGTCACTCCTAACTCACCTTCAGAAAGACAAAACCGCGCGCCTTGAAGTAGCAAGAGCTCCAGATGCCGCCATCGACGAAGGGGTGGTTCTTACTCCTAGATACCTTGAGACAAGAGCCTTGAGAGGCATAGGCTTCAAAGAAGGTGAGAGTTCCTTGGTCTGGAGTCTGGCGTTTTCCTCAACAATTCGTGGTGGTTATCATTCCATCATCGCTTCCCAGGAGCCATACTTTGACCGTTCAAGGAACCTGCCCTGCTTACCTGACATGAAAGCCCTCTGAATCACAAGGCTCTGCCACATGAATCACCCATGACAATTCTTTCCAAGCAAACTGACCTGCCGACATCTTCTCCTGATTTGACCGACCTGACAATCCAACTTGCTCACTTCTTGTCTTCGACATTACACTCTCTACCTCTACCTCACACTCTTTTGGACCTTTTTGGACTCCTGAAATCATCCTGAATTCCTTCTCTACCTTTGTACCATCAGCAATGATCCGCAATCCAGTCATCAGCGGCGCTGTTCTCGCCTTGTCCCTGGCAGCAGTCAGCATCGCCCAGGAGAACTGGAACCAAAACCTGGTTCTTGCTGACTGTGGTATCGGTACCAATCCTGAGAATGCCACCTGGTCTACCTCCCGACAGATCAACTGGTATCATGATGCCATTTGGCCAACTTCGGAGGAAGTCAATCCCATTGCCCCCGATCAAGCCGTCGAGATGCCCTATGGAGACGGCAAATATCCCTGGAACTTTGAAGGCGCCAGCGCCATACTCCCCAATGGCGATCTTTGGTCAGTCTGGATTAATGATGGCACTCCAGAGCCCGAGCGTGCCGGTCGAGCTTCCAGTCCCAAGAACGGCGGCACCGAGTTATGGTGTTACACCTATCGTAACCGGCCCATCAGCACGGCCGTCTCCAACTCGAGCTCTATTTGCGTGACAGCCTTCATCTGCAACCACCTCGGAACTGGCCCGACTCCCTGGACGACCGCTCCTGGCGCGCCTGTTCAAAACCCTCCATCTGCACCCCCCGGTGCTTCAGACTCTCCAGTGCCTCCATCGCCTCCTGGTACTCCCGGTCCTCCACCGTCTCCAGCTCCTCCAGGACAGTCGGAACCTACTCCACCAAGCCCCCCACCACCTCCTTCGACCCCTCCTGCCGCGGAACTGCCCCCTAGCCCAACGAGTCCCAGTGCACCGGAAAATGCGAGGAGTCTCAAAGTCAGCGTGGATCTGAGTCCGAAACCAGCAGTATGGCTCGGCACTGTCGACGCCTTTCTGAGCAGCATCAAGGTTGCAGCGACCAACATCTGCCAGCCCCTTCCAATACCCAACGGTCAGACCTCGAATGTAACAGTCAATTGCCAGGCTGTCAATGAGAGCGCTATACAATACCTGCCTATACTCTTCCAAGTTATTCGAAATCTGGGGGCACAGAGCAATTCTGGTCACTGGTTCCGCTCAAGCCCTGGACTTCGCGTCAACGACACTTCCGACGACATATTTCAACTACCGCAAGATTTCAAACTCATCGCCACAGATGAGGCTACTTCCCAAGTTCAAGCCTTCATCAGCTGGGAGGTAGAGTCGAACGCACGGTCTTCTGTCCTCAATTGTAGTCGGTGCGACCCTTCAAAGTTCGACACAGCCTACGGACAAGCCATCCTAGCCCCCTTTTCCGGGCTGGCCCCATATTATTCTCGTCTTCTTGTTGAAAGCAAGTGTTCTCCGGAGGTTGTTTGTTAGCGGGACATGAAAGTTGGCTTGCTTTCCCGTCGTGATGCCCATCATGTCTTGTGTTGGGAATAATTCATAGCATGCCGTTCAAGATGCAGGCTGCCGCACGATGTTCACGGTTTGGTCCCCATATTGTACATATCGATACACCACGAGCCTGGAGGACTTAGTTTTTCTTTACTCAATGTTATGGGCTTGAAACCAAGCACCTGGAGGCAATTTTCACACTGTGCCATCGCCGGGGCTTCTCTTTGCATAAGTCCGACTTGTGCCTTGATTCGGAATGTTTCTAATAATCCTTGTGTCATGCGACGAGATAAGTTGAGGCTACCTCGGTGTCAAAGAAGATTTCTTACGACAAGCGAAGGATCAACGGCCGGTTTATTCAGGGTTCTCTAGATTCGTAGTCGGTGCCCTTCCTCAAACTCCGGTTCACTTGGCCTGCCTTATGACTGCTTCCTCCTGGCGCTCGTTTCCCTCCTTCCGACTTCTGTGACTCAACACCAGGCAGTCCCTTGCCGGCTTCATCCTGACCCCGAGTCTATTCTATCGGCTTCCTCCGTACTTGGAGATGCCGAAATACGGAAGCTTGATATGGGAGTCCGACTGTAGGAATGGTGATCGGAGGAAATGGAAGTGACGGGGCCGAGACGGGATGGCCTGCAATAGGTGGCATAGCAGCATTCGGCATAGAGGCTGGCACGGTAGGAATGCCCAGAGAACCAGGAGGTCCTGGTAGGTTTGGTGAATTCGGTGGTGGGTGCGGCTTAGTCGAGGGAGAATTGAACTTGGAGGGCCTCATATTGTTGGGTCGCGAAGTTTTCCGCTTCGGCTACCCCTTCTGAGGAGCACCCGAGTGACCTGTCATTATCTTGTTCTTGAGGTAGACCAGACTTTGGAAGCATTTGACGAATTGGTCGTATCATCTGTAAATGCAAATAGAACGGATCCAGGTTTGACGCAATCATACCTTTGTCGCCAAGTCCTTCTTTTTATCTTCTTTTTGCTTTGATGTTTCCGTGTGCTTTCTCTCGTTGGGGGCACTACTTTCTGGCTGCTCCTTGGCTGCTTCTGCCATGACGAGAGTTGATTCGATGACTTCGAGCTTAGCAGAGAGAAGGAGTTTGGAGTATTGATCGAGCTTAGAAGCTGAGGGACCCCCTGCGAGGGTGGTGTCGCCGCCATCGTTTAATTCGTCGACGAACGCCATGACGTCTGAAACCAAGCCCAGCGTTTCTGGGTACTTTGACAGCTCAGGGATGCTCATCGACCCTGTGAGCAGTGCGTCTGGGATGGCGTCAGGGCGTTTTGTTGTGACATGATTGGCATTTGGTCTGTTGGCTTGTGGTCTCCATGCCCAGTCACTATTACCTGTATTTGCAGCATTGCGTTCGGAGAGCTGTGAAGACCAAGGCATTGGACGTCAGGTTGATGGGCGCGCCACCAGCTGAGGTGTGCTGCTGACAGTCCAGGCCGAAGCCGCAGCCCACGCAATTGTGATACCGAACCTCGTTGTGTTGTAAAAAGAGTAAAATGGCAATATGTCTGGGTTGAAGAGATCCCTGGCATGGACTCAGGAGGATGAATTGATGTTAAGGTTGGGCAGGAAACGAAATGACGAGCCCAAGGCGCGCCTGCGCATGACAGCATTTATACCCTCTGACTTGATTCTCACGGCTCAAGAGTGGATGCCGAGCTTTCATATCATACCATCACGGTTGCTAGTATAGCGATGAACATACCCATTTCCGACGTGCATTAGGCACCTCGTAACTACATGCATGGGTGAAGCTGTCACGCCCCGAAACCCTCATTCCGTCAGATGACAGTATGAGACTGATGAGGGGACTTTGTCGTGAGTAACTTGACTGAAGAAAGGTCTCTTTCAAGCTTGCTGGTCTGATATGACGAACATTGAGATAGGTCGTGCCTGAAGTCAGAGCTGATTGAGGCAGAAGGAGTAAGCTTCCAAGAATTTCATCCGGTGATACCCTGGTAAGCTGAACGATACTCTTCTTTTGGGCCAAGTCCACCTGTCACAAGAGGATTCAAAGGAGTGCGGGATGTTGACTCACAAGCCACGTCCATCAAGGCGTTGAGGGTCGGAAGAGCATGAGAGTGTGGTGTTTAGCTTACCTTAGGTACCTACCTAGGTAGGTGTCATCTCTGCCTTACGAGGGGCCGGAGATCTTCCGCTCCACCTGCCAAGGCCCGTAACCCCTCGCTAGAGGGAGAGAGCCAGGGTCCATCAAGCTAAGGTCTTGGGCTATTGGGCTATTCCTGTCGACGGCCCCCAACCAACACAGCAAAGCAATGAAGCACCCGCCTCAGCCGCACCACAGGAAGCAGGCGAGGCGCCCGATCTAGTGAAGCCATCATGTCGGTAAGGATGCCCTGCCGCCAGGCTTTCCGACCTGACAGGCGAGAACCTTAGCTGCCTCCTGAGAGATCCATTCCCCTTCCTACCTACTGTAACTCAATAGCAGTCCGACGAGCTGCCATGCCGACGACTTCGAGCGCAGGTTCACCAAGAAAGTGCTGAGCGACTTGGATGTTCTGGTAGGATTAGGATCCATGCATTACGTCGCGACTCATGCTGACGCGCGGGCTTCCAGCACTGCGACCGCGTCTTACTTCCCGACACTTTCAATCGTGCCGGCGCGGCGGCTTGACGACATTTTCTGAGCACCATGTCCGGTCTCCCGTCAGGCTGGGAATCCGACTACAACGGGAGCCGCTGGTTCTATCGCTACAAACCCACGGGCCAGATCCAGTTTCACTTTCCCCAAGATGGCGACGAGTTTCCCGACTTTGTCGACGCCTACGCGCCCGCACCCGACCTGGCACCGGAGGAGAAGCTCGAGAGCCAGCAGCAGGTCAAACGGAAGACGGAGCCCCCCGAGAATAACGAAAAGGGACCCGGAAAGTCGCTGGAGCGCGCGACGGCTGGACCATCGGGTGGAGGCTTAGGCTCTGGGACCAAGCCCTCTCGGGATGGTGCAGGGAAGCAACAACTGAGTCCTACCGATGATGACGACAACGGCGGCGAGTTCTACTACCAACCCGAGAGCTTCATGTTCCTTGGGCCTGGCGCGTACAGTGACGTGAGCCCGCTGGGCGAAGAAGATGACCGAGTGGACGCTGGTGCAAAACCTCCTGAGAAGGGGAAGCGCAATGAGGACGAAAATGCAAAGGTCAAGTCAGAGGACAGCCAACCATCTCGTTTGAGCTCCAAGGTATCACCCATACAAAGCGAATCTACCACGCCGCTCGTGGTCCACAGCACCCCGTTTGCTGGCGATTCAACAGCGGCCAAGCCGAGCATCGAGACGACACCGCCTGCTGCTGTTGCCGAGCCTCCGTCGGCCGCATCACCAACAGTTCCATTGCTAGATTCCCGCGAAATGCCGCATGAGCTACCCGCAAGCGCCCCATGGAGCCCAGTCGGGGTGGTGGCTGAAATGCCTACCGAACATACGGCACAGGCGCGCATTGAGACTCATCCCGACCCAGTGGAGATAGGGGACAGTGCTGTTCTCGCGCCCATAGAAACACACATGGATGTGGGGATTGCTGAACTTCCTGAACATACCACGCCCACCGACAGGAAGCCAGTTGATACATCCCAGCACAATGAGCTTCAGCAGACCAGTCTACCTGACCATGTCTTGTACCAAGCCACCTTTGGGACGATAGCGAGGCCTAAGAACCCATCGCCACCAACGTCAGCGCTGCAAACGCCAGGCGCTTCGACGCCAGCCGAAGCGTCAACCGGATCACATGAACGGCAGATCCAGGCGGCAGAAGAGCCACGCGCTCCAAGGGATGAGTCACCCTTCAAGATCACCAGGAAGCCGACAAACGCTGCGACATCAAGTTCCAAGTATCAACCATACGCACCTCCAGTGGCCGCTAGTACTGCCGAGCGCCCCCATCTTGAGCAGAGAACGCCAAGCTCCCAAAGCCAAGATCGCCGTGTCTCTTTGATTCGCGAAGGATCGCTGATGTTAGGGCCACGCGAGCCGGCAAGGGTCCAGTCCGAAAATGTACCAACTGTGCTCCAGCCTCCGCAGCTACCTCCAAAAGTTGAGGAGCAGCCTCGATCACACCCCTCTCAAGCCCCTGTTGGCAGCAACACTGTGCCTCATCACATTGCATTTGCCGCCCGCGAGCAGACGCGAGCCCAGACGAACGAGAGTGGAGCATCATCGGAAAAAGCTGCCGCAATCTCATTGAGCCATGTGCCCTCCGTGTTGAAACCCGCGCGAGGCAAGATGGTAGAGCGGAGCAGCACTGAAAACCAACGAGGTCATACGGACAACCCACCACGTATTGGTCAAATCCACCATACGACGACAATGGACGTTGATCCGCAACCAGCTTTGGGGCCACGGCCATGGGTTCAGAGAGTGAGCACGGCGCCTCCTGGTCAGCAACTACAGTCACCACCTTCATCTAGCACTTCCCGCACAAATGACTTCAGCACACCATCCCCGCAGCCTCCAAGGTCCTACGAACCGTCACAAAGTCGCAACTGGTCCTCCGAGTCGCTGGCGTACCAACGCCAAGTGGTCTCGTCACCCCAAGGAAGGCTACCGCGACAGCAATCATTCGCGTCCAGCGACGTCTCATCCCTCGGACCGTCATCCAGTCGCCAATCATCAATAAGTAACCTTCAGACACCATCCCCCCCTGACAGCCTTCAGCGCCGGTCATCCAACATATCAGGATTTTTCTCCGACGTGAATTTAGGGGAGGAACGCTCCATGAAACCAGCCTCAGCATTAAGCGGCGTGGCGACGGAGCCCTTTCCATCCTACGCGCCCCCTGTACGGGAGCCTGTCACGCGGCCTGCTTCTTTCGCCGGATCATCATCTTCCCCCACCCACATTCCTCAGAATTCGTCCGATGGTACCGCACCAAAACCTCCGAAGATTCCGCTCAAGATTCCCTTGGAGCACAAGACCGATCAAGTTAACACCGTGCTTTCCTCCTCAGCAGCACAAACTAGCGGCAATGCGAATGTACAATGGCCCGTAGGACAACAGCTACCAAACGCAAGTGCATCTCTTCAGAGACCGCCGAATGATCCGCAACGCCGAGGAACAACTCGTCGCCATTCTATGCCACAAGAGCAGACGTCACCTCCCCAGCAGCATCTAGATCTCTCTTACAGTTCCCGTGGAGTTGTTGGTGAAGGCGCTCTCTCACATCCTCTTGACAACCCTCAAGATCAGAATCCGCCATCTGCCCCATTTCACTGGACCATTCCTGGCTTGGGATCTAGGTCAAACTCTCAGCCTTCCACACACGACAGTGGTATTCGGCAAGGGGGCACCTTTGCTCCTGAGATAGCCTCGATGGAGCCCACGCGACCATCTGAACGACCCCAACGACCCCTAGCGGGCACAAACGCGCAGCAGCCATCGCGTTCGAACGCGTCGATATCGGTGTCAACTCCGGGACACGCTCTTCTTCCAATCCAGGAGCAACCAGAGAGCGATCAGGGCCGCTCGTCTTCCCAACCCGTGATACCTATATCTAGGCAACTGCCCATTCCCCTACCACTGCCTGGCCAATTTGACAGAGCTGCGACTACTCTTCCGGTACTGCAACAACCTCCGCCTCAAGTTCGCCCAGTCACTACAGCAGATTATGGACGTCAGACCGCAACTGTACTGTCGGCTCAGAAGCCAGGGATGCAGTCGCAAGGAACATTGCCAAAAGTGGGAAGTCAGCAGTATGTGATGATGGAACCACCCCCTCCTCTCCAGCACCATCAAAGATCTTACTCGAGTCCTCTAGGGGTTGTTGGGCCCGTAATGGACAAAGAAAAGGAGAAGGAAAAGGGCGGCTGGTTCTCCAAGTTTAAGAAGGGCTCGCAAAAGTCTGCTGTTCTTCAGAAGCAGCCATATCCCGCTGCACAGATGCAACACCTTCAGTTTGTTCCCCAGCAGGCACAGCAGCAGCCTCTGCAATCGCAACGCCGCTCCGAGGAAATGTTGCCCCAGCATCACCAGAAGATACCGTTTAATGCACAAGCCATTGGGCAGACTCCCCACAGCCAGCAAAGCGCCGTGCGGTCACAGCCAGGTCCCGTTCGGGGCGTCGACGCGCATACGGCCGGCTTGTCCGCCTTAACTCAAATGCGAGTTCCTGATCCGCAGGGCCTCTTGGTTCGATCATCTTCAGACACCATCAGAGAGTCATCGGTTGTCCCTCCCACATCTCTAAAAACAGAGGCGGCGTATCCACAAGCGCTTGCTGCTGCTGAATCGGATCTGTCACGCGCCTCGTCGCACTCCTACGCTCCCTTACTGGATCGACAAGCGTCGGTAGCATCGAGCTACGCGGCTTCGATCTCGACCGTGGATATCGCCGAGGCCTATGCGCAGCCCATCATGAAGCCGCAGCTCATCACCGTGCAGAGAGCGACGACGGCGCCCTTACAACAGTCTCCACAACAACAACAACAACAACCAAGGGCAAATGCTGGGCCGAGCCTAGTGTGGTCAGAGGAGTCCCAAGGGTACTTCCCGGCACAGCAAGTGCGGCAAGAGGTCTCACAGCCGCAGGTTGCCCAGCAGCCGGCTGCGGCGGGACAGTTGGCTCCCTCGCCGCACATCGCATCGAATCATCAACACGTTGGGGCACCAGGATCGTCTACACAGCCGCCACCACCACAGAGGGGTAATAGCAAATGGACGAAGCGACCAGCTGCAGATTACTCAGGCGGAGATTGGGGGGACGATACGTGGAGGTGATTCAGACGCCTGTGATAGTATTGAGATTTAGCAGCATCGTTTTGCGTATGGTTGTATCTCTGCATTCTATACCCCAGCCTTGCAATTGGATAGTCAAATTTGAAGCGTTGAGTGGCCCGACTGAAAAACATCATGCATACATAAACCAACACGCAAAGCCTCCCCCTTGAAAGGCACGAAAGCTCGTGACGGAAAACCACATCGCGGGCAACGTCTTCTGTCATTTCGCGGGTATCAAACATCAAGTCTAACCCTACACCACGTCCGTGACAACTTGATCGGCCGCCGGCGCCTCAGCACCCTCTGGCCTGGGCCCCTGGCGCTTCTGCTTCTTCTTGGCGAGCATCTCCCTTTTCTCCCGCTTCCTCGTCGCCTTGTCGACGCTGCCGACAACGGCCGTCTCCGAGCCGCACGGCCACCTCGCCAGCACGGCGGCCTCGTCAGCGTCAGTCCAGTCGCGCGGCAGTGTCGCGAAGACGAGGTACGAGGTGTGCATCTTCAGCTCGGCCTCGGAGCGGTGCACCAGGCGTCCCTGCAGCCAGGGCTTGCCGGCCGTTTCGTCGGCGCTGGCGGCGGGGCCCTCGGCATCGACGTCCATGGGCGAGGACGCAGCGGCGGCGGCGGCGGCGGCGTTGGCGGCGGCGATGGCGTCGTTGGCGGCCTTGGACTTGTGGGGGTCGTACTCGCGGGCGCGGCGCTCAATGTCGCGCAGGCGGGCAACGGCCTCGCCGACGTTGTTGGGCTCGGGCGGGGCCTTGCGCTCGGGGGGGTTGGTGGAGGGGAAACGCTCGCGCAGGACGTTGATCTTCCGATGCGCCATCTCGACCATGTCAATGTCGATCCAGCCGAGGCGGCGCATGGCCGAGATGGTGCGCTGGACCTGCTCGATGCAGGGGGAGAAGGTGCAGAGGTGGGCGGCCTTGGCGGGGTCGAGGGGCGACACCCAGGGGCCCGCGTCGGCGGGGAACCTGTCGGCGTACTCGGGCGCCGTGGGCCGCGCGCGCGAGAGGTGCGGCAGGGCGTCCCAGGGGGCGGGCAGGTCGAGGAAGACGGACGAGGCGTTGGGGCTCGCGCCGTCGACGAGGAAACCGCCCGTGTAGGCGTCGCGGTGGGTGAGCTCGACGAGCCCCGTCAGGTGATGTGACGCGATCTCCTCGTGCATCTTCTCGTAGCGGCCGCGGTTGAACTCGTAGCTGTAGACCTTGCCGCGGGGCTCGGAGGACGTCGTCGGGTAGCCGTTGTAGACGGCGCGGACGGAGGCGTGGGTGAAGCTGCCGCTGCCGGCGCCGGCCTCGATCAGCCGCGTGCCGGGCTGGGCGCGTATCCTCGAGAGGACATAGCTGTAGTCGGGTGTGTAGACGACCTGTGTTCGGTGGGGGAGGCTCTGTGTCCAGAGCTCGGGTGTGGGCTGGAGGATGTGAACGAAGCCACTGTTGGCTGTGACGGCCTTTTTCGCGGGAGCCAGCACCGTGGGCGCATCAAAGTCGTCGGCCGGGTTCGGCGTCGAGCCCTTGCTGTCGTCCTCGTCGCCCTCCTTGCGCTTGCGCTTGCGGCCACGAGACCCCGTGTCCACAGTCGAGGCTCGGATTTGGGAACCCCAGGGAACGCCGATAAATGTCGAGTGGGGGAAGGACCCGAAGCGAGTGTTGAGCGTTGCGCCTTCTGCGTAGCCGTCTCTCTCGGTGGTGGAGTCTTCGAGAATGAGGGGAATGAGGTTGTCGCGAGACAGTTGGATGATGGCAAGGGAGCCCGCCGTCGTCTTGGGGCCCGGTTCGAGGAACACCGACGGCCGCGCCATGGTGTATGTTGGCTTGCCGTGAGAGGCAAGAGGCAAGAAAAGTCGATCAAGTAAAGAGAACGAGATTGGAGAAATGCAAAGCCCCAAGAGGTATTGGCTCACTTGTGGAGGACTTGAAGGTGGATGCTCGAGCCAAGCCAAGCCAACCGCAAAGTGGTCGGCAACAGCAGAAAAAAAGTTCTGGACGAGGCTGAAGAAAGCGTCGAGACGCATCATGGCATGATTGGCTACGATGACCGCGGGGTAGCAATGGTGGGGGACAGCTTTGGCCAATGATGAGCTTCTCGGTAGAGCAGCACGGAGGCGAGGCTGAGAGCGTTGGACAAATTGGGTTCCTTCCCTGCGGGGATGGCGTCCGTAGTGCACGCTTCGTACAGGCCCAGCTGGCCATTCACTCATTCTGGTGATCGCTCGTCTCCTGCAGCCTCCATCCCTTCCATTGCGTGACTCAACACAACCACCACCATCGCTTCTGTCGCCGTACTTTTTGTCTTTCTTCGTACCCACCCTCCTTTTCTTCTTCGCATTCCCTCTTCCCACATCCACCCCCCGATTCTCCTTTGCCTCCTGGATGAATCGGTTTTTCAGACTCGTCAGCCTTAGAATCTCGAACCGACCATCCCCGATTGCCCCTCTTCGATTCACCCGAACATTCGCCTCCACGTTGACCCTGACCCACCGCACCATGGAGTCACTCAAGGTGCACAACTCGCTGTCGCCAGGCCAGCCGGTGCCATTCGACCCCATTGAGAAGGGGAAGGTGTCCTGGTACGCCTGCGGTCCGACTGTCTACGACAAGAGTCATCTGGGTCATGCTCGCAACTATGTGTCCACCGATATCATCAGGCGCATCATGATGCACTACTTCAAGGCCGACCTCAAGTTTGTCATGAACATTACCGATATTGACGACAAGGTGAGAGAGAGACAGAGAGAGAGAGAGAGAGAGAGAGAGAGAGTCTCCGGGGCACAAAGCGGCGAACACTCCGTACAAGAAGGCTGACGTTGGCCACAGATTATCATCAAGGCGAGGCGACAGCGCCTGCTCGAACTCGAGAAGAAGAAGACATACTCCGATGATGAGCTCGCCAAGCTCGCCCTCGACGCCTTCCGCGCGTACGCACAAAAGTCACTGCCAGTCCTCGTCCAGGACAACGAGGCACTCGACGAGGACAACTACCTGGCGCGCCGAGATGCCGCCTACGGCAAAGTTCTGGCGGGAGGGACTCTGACGGGCACGGGAAAGCCCGGCGACGACGAGGCCAAGGCCAAGATGCACATCAACAACATGGACGCGGCGGCGTTTGCCATCAAGGACAAGAAGGTTTTCCCCGGCGCCGACGAGATTCTGCTGCCCTACCTCGACTCGCTGTACAAAGAGACCGTCGACACGAGCGACCAGACCATGTTCACCGACCTCACACAGAGCATGGAGCAGCTCTTCTTCGACGACATGGACGCCCTCAACGTTCTGCGCCCTGATGTCATCACGAGAGTCACCGAATACGTGCCGCAGATTGCCGACTTTGTCGCTCGCATCGTCGACAAGGGCTTCGCCTACGAGTCTGACGGCTCCGTCTACTTCGACATCACGGCCTTCGAGAAGGCCGGCAACACATACGCCCGTCTGCGGCCGGGCAACCGGAACGACAAGTCCCTGCAGGAGGATGGTGAGGGCGCCTTGTCCAAGAACCTGGGAGAGAAGAGGAGCGACGGCGACTTTGCGCTCTGGAAAAAGTCCAAGGAAGGTGAGCCATACTGGCCCAGCAGGTGGGGCAACGGAAGGCCGGGCTGGCACATTGAGTGCTCCGTCATGGCCTCTGATATCCTCGGCGCGCAGATGGACATTCACTCTGGTGGCGTCGATCTCGCCTTCCCCCACCACGACAACGAGCTGGCCCAGAGTGAGGCCTACTACTGCGAACAGGAAAAGGGCGAGCACACGTGGGTCAGGCACTTTTTGCACATGGGCCACCTGTCCATCTCTGGTTCCAAAATGTCCAAGTCTCTGAAGAACTTTCAGACCATCCAGGATGCTCTGGCCACCAACTATACGTCCAGGAGCATGCGCGTTGTGTTCCTCTTGGGCAAGTGGAACGACGGCGTCGAGATTTCTCCTGACATGCGGGCGCAAGGTGCCAGCTGGGAAACGCTGGTCTCGGTACGTCAATCTTGGGCTTTTGGGGGTGAAACTCCGCCTGCTAACCTTCTGCAGAACTTCTTCGCCAACATCAAGGCTCGCGTGCTTGACCAGAGCTCAGCGCCGTCCGAAGGCGTCAAGGCGCTCTCCGTATCTGACGACACCCCCAAGAGTGGCTTGGCCGCTGAGCTCGAGAAGGCCAAGAAGGAGATGCACGATGCACTGTCCAACTCGTTCGACACGCCGCAAGCGATGCGTATCATCCAGGACCTCATCGGCACAGCCAACCTTCAGCTCGCAGACGAGGACAGCGTGACGACCCTCGAGGCCATCGCCCGCTGGATCACGCAGATTGTTGGCATCTTTGGCCTCGATGAGAATGCGCAACCACCATACAGTGGTATCGGCTGGGTGGCTCAGCCCCTCGCTGCCGGCAGCGATCCCAAGGAGGCTGTCAAGCCTCTGGCCAGTGCGTATAAAACCGTGGCTGCCGACGTCAAGGCGCTGAACCTGTCGTCCGAGTCGATCTCCAGCCTTCTCGAGCAGCAGAACCCTGAAGCCGAGTTCAAGGCAGTCGTCGATCGGGGCGTGAGGGACACGGATCAGCTTGCCTACCCCTACGCCCGCGCTGTTTCGAGGTTGCGTGACGAGCTCCGCAAGGCCGTCTCATCTGCCTCCCCCGAGTCAAAGAAGGCCATTCTTACCTTGACCGACCGTATTCGCGACGATGACCTCACCAATGTCGGCGTTTACCTTGACGACCGTCTCGAGGGCAAGCCATCGCTGATCAAGTTTGTGCCCGCCAGCGAGCTTATCGCCGCACGCAACGAAAAGCTGGCCAGGGAGGCTGAAAAGGCGCGTGCCAAAGAGGAAGCCAAACGCGCCAAGGAGCAGGCGGAGGCAGCGAAGTGGGAGAAGGCCAAGGTCGCACCGGCGGATCTCTTCCGCTCGGACGACAGGTACGCAGAGTGGGACGCCGAGGGCCTACCGACGAAGCTCAAGGACGGCAGCGAGGTGCCCAAGAGCCAGCTGAAGAAGCTGCAGAAGGACCTGCAGAAGCAGAAGAAGGCTCATGATGAGTATCTCGTTAAGTTTGGGGGCGCCAAGGCATGATGATATCCTGGGGTTTGGGGCACTTGAGGGACTGAAAAGGAGATGGTGCAAGGTGTTTTTGAGTACGCTGGGAGATGTTGCATTTTTTTCGGTCCTGGTCTACCCAGAGGCAATAGGGCATCAGGAGTCAGGGGGACTATGATGGAAGATGCAGCCATCGAGAACCTTCAAGACCACAAACAAAAGCATACAACGGCGAGCTTTATTCTTCCGCACCCGTATCCGCGACGGTCATCTCTGCGAACCCGCTGCTGAAGTACCCCTCCGTCGCGACAATCTGAAAACCGTGATCCGCAGCAGTGAGGCCCAGGCTGCGCCAGGCGTCAAAGTGACAGCCTGTCTGTACCGTCCCGCCTGTCCGCTTGTTGCGCCGAACAGACCAGTACCGCTGCAGAATCTTCGTCCCGCCAGAGCTCACGCGTGTGCTTCGACTGATGTCGTAGACGCTACCGTCGCATATCACCGTACCGAGGATTTGCGCGTCGTAGGCCGGATTGAAGATGCCATGGTACTCGATTATGTAGTACTATCATGGCATCAGCGTCAGAGGTAAGCTGTAGTCACAGATAGAGCCGAAGATACATCCTAGTTTCCAGCACTTACTTCAACTTCGGGGTTCTCAAGCCAGCCGTAGACGGCAAGGTAGCTATTGCCAACACCCTGGTAAGTTCCAGAAATCTGTATAGTCCTAGATGAAGGGTTAGATGCATCTCGAGCACGGAAGCGTGGCTATGGAACCTCACCTGTTGTCAGTCCCAGGGTTCCATCCTTTGCCGCCGATCAGGTTCCCGCCGCTCTCCCACCGGAGACGGTAACTGCCGCCGTCTAGGTTCGTGTATGCCGCCGGGCTTTGGCCGTCGCTCCACCAGTAGTAGAAGAACCCGCCATGTATACCTTGCGAGTTTGGGGTCGCCTGGCATTTGTGGAGGGCCGCAACCTGGTCGGCGTCAAGGGTGGGAAAGGCTACGACAAGGCTCGCGAAGAGCAGGACGACTAGAGATTTGAACATTTTGCTGTCTCTGACTCTTTTTCCTGTCTCTAGCTACAGCGTTGGCCAGCAGCCCTGAACTCTATAAGAGTATGTGTCTATGGTTCTCAAAGACAGGTGCGTTGCTGTTCCTCTTGTCATCTGGTAAAGATGGCCAAGCCGGTGCTTTAAGCTCCGTAAATCACTACACCTCCCACTGTAATGCTGGGACCGGACTTCCATGTCGGCGTTCAAAGACATTCAAGTCCCAGACAGACAGCATCAACAGCATTGATCGAGACAACGTTGGCTGACCACATCAACCATCTAACGGAGGATTGCGGGGAGCGTGCCAAGTGCTGCATCTGCCGGTTGATCCATGGTGCGTCGACTTTAGCCTCAAATCCTCGATCTGAGCGAGGTCAAGGCATGATGTGCCGAAATCAGCACCACCCCGCCAGAACCCGCATGTTGATTGATGTACAGGCATTCAGCCGCCTTGATATCGACAGGGGGGTCGGACAGGCTGTCGTAAGCTCCGTTTCCCACCGCGTCGGCTCCGGACATGAGCGCGCGTGTCAACCCACCTGAGCGAACCCAGATTTTGACCCTGGACTGACTGGCTGACGAGTTTGGTCGCCACGGAAAGGGGGGGCGTCGGAGTTATATTCCTATACAAGCCTTGACATATCGCGACAAGTCCCAAGTCGGTCAGTCCGTCGACTCAGCATCCTGTCAACGTTGCGGGTCACTGGCGACGGCTGGTTCGGCTGACGCGATGAAACAAGCTTAGATAGATGTGCTCTCGGGATGCTACCGAAAAAGCTAGCGCCACAGCATGCTGTGCACTGCAACGGGAGCGACAACCCACCCGCCAGAGCATGAAATTGTCCAGGGGTTCGAGGAGCCGTGCTGGGGGGCCCTGCGATGTAGCTGGGTCGCCTGTTGCGTGGGTTTTCAATAGATCAAAGGGCATGTTCTGAAGACGCCACCCAGAGCAGCCTGTCCACTGAATGCTAGTCAAACGGCCGCGGTTGGTAAATCTGGCATAAATACCTTGGCCTACCGCGAAGCCAGGCCCTTTCTGGTTTTGTTCTTAGCTTGGCATTGGCTTTCTTGGACAGACATCACTTACATTCGTTTATTGTTGATTACTATACATTCGTTCACTCACATTCGTTCATCATGGTCTCGTTCACTTCTCTCCTGGCCGCCTTCTCGGTGGTGAGCGGCATTTTGGCCAGCCCCATTGCTGTCGTCCCCGAGGTCAGGACTGCTCTGGCGAAGCGCACGCCCAGCTCTACCGGCATCTCGGGCGGTTTCTACTACTCCTTCTGGACCGATACCCCCAACAGCGTGACCTACACCAACGGCGACGCCGGCAAGTTCAGCGTGAGCTGGAAGAACAACAATGGCAACCACGTCGGCGGCAAGGGCTGGCGTACGGGCAGCGCCAGGTCAGTTTACCCCCATCCATCTCATCATCCGAGTCGCCCAAAATTCTTCTCAACGTCGACTGACCTCTGCTCCCCACAGGACCATCAAGTACTCCGGCTCGTACAAGCCCAACGGCAACAGCTACCTCGCCATCTACGGCTGGACCCGCAGCCCCCTGATCGAGTACTACATTGTCGAGAGCTTCGGCACCTACAACCCCTCCACCGGCGCCACCAAGAAGGGTCAGTTCACCGTCGACGGCTCCGTCTACGACCTCTACACGAGCACCCGCACCAACGCCCCCTCCATCGAGGGCACCCGCACCTTCACCCAGTTCTGGTCCGTCCGCCGCACCAAGCGCACCAGCGGCTCCGTCAACACGGGCGCCCACTTTGCCGCCTGGAAGAACGCCGGCATGAACCTTGGGAGCCACGACTACCAGATCCTTGCCGTCGAGGGCTACAAGAGCTCTGGCAGCGCCACCATGACTGTGTCTTGAGCGGCGATGTCGGGGCTCAGAGTTGTGGGGAGCAATCAGGAATATGGTCATGGGATGCACTGTACTCGATCTGGCATCGAGTGGTCACCTTTCTAGTGTTATGGCTGTTTATTCTCTAGGTTGAATCGGCCGATTCTTGTAAATGGATTTTGCGCTCATCAGAGTGGCACATACAAAGCATGTTATTTCTACAATGCAAATCACCAATGATCAAACTTTAGTGCATCAGAATCATCCGGCTCACCCACATGGCTATGGTCGAGGCCCACAGGCATCCTGGTATCGCAGCGTATCTCGTAAGACAGACCACTGACGATTGAGTCTGGGCATCGTGATCACATACCACCTTCTCAGTCCACGTTGTGCAATCTTCACGTGGGCTATAGCCACTGAAGCTCCAGAATTTCACGCAAGCCTTCCATTCATCACGATGCGGCAGCCTCTCGATGTCTTTGGCCTACGCTGAAAACATGGCCCGGTCCCATCCATACGTCCTGTTCAGCCGGCGGCCAATCCTCCTCCCCAACCAAAACGGAATCTTGCTCGAAGGGTGCGGCTCGTGAAGCTGCAGAGGCTTCTTACTCTCGCGGCCAGTCGGCGTAAACTGCCAGACAGAGCCGTAAATCTTCTCCGCCGCGAACCCAGTCTTCGTCATGGCGTACAGGAAATCACTCCAATTGGTCTCGCTGGCCTGCTGGTTCGGGTCGCTCGAGAAGAAGAGCGCGTTGAGTACCTTGAGGCTGCGCTTGTCCACCTGGATCTTGTTCTGCGCGGCATCGCTGCGCGGTGCGGGCGCGACGGGCTGCGCGTCGGCTTTCTCTGGCGCGGAGGCGCCCCGTGTCTTGGTCTTCGTCTTGGCGGGCGCGGACGAGACTTGCTGCTCCTTGATGTGTAGACCGCCGACCGAGGCCGCGAGCTGGGCGTCACGTCCCTTGGCCGAGGAGGTGCTCTTGATGGGCTCGGCCCAGGGTTTCGTGCGCTGACGCTCCCTGTGGATGAGAATGTCACGGATGCGAGGGCTCAGCGTGTGCTGGTACGTCTGCAGGAACGAGGACCAGAACGCATCGAGCGAAGCCTCGGCGGATCGCATTGCCTCAATGTTGTCCTTCGTCTTGGCATTTGCAGCCGGGTAACGGAATCGCCCGTCTGTCGGGACGCCGAAATGAACAAAAGCTGTGCCGAGGCTCATCTGGCTGATGGCAGTCATCCATTGTGTCTTGACGGAAAAGTCCTTGTTGATTTGGTCCTTGGACTCGTTGATCTTTTGCTCAAACGTGTCAGCCCAGGGCTGGAAGAGCTGAAGCTGGCGAAGACACTCTGTAATGAGGGCAAAGTGACCCAGCTGTTCCTGGATATAGGGCGTCAAAAGCGCATTGGCCGAGGGCTCCTTCTGGAGCAGGCTGTTCAACATGTCCAGCAGACCTTTAGTCGTCAACAGGTGACGCTTCTGGTTGTCCCACATCATGCCCATGATGTAAATGAACTCTTGCTCGATTTTGTTGGCCGCGTCCGGCTTCGACACGGTGTTGATCATGGGCGTGTATGCATTAGGCGCTGGTTCTCTCTGGAAGAGGCTGCGCATCGGTGGAGAACCCGGAAAAGAAATCTTGAGAGTTGTCACTGGGCCAGCTTCCATCCTCTCGAGGATAGAGAAGAGCTCGTAGAACGCCATCGCCAGCTTCTCGGGCAGATCCTCTGCAGGGTCAATCTGGTTCTTGTGCGCATCCAGAGCGCGGCGCAGCGTGTGCACCTTTTCCAACACAATGTGCCACAGACCAAGAGAGACGGTCTTGTCCACGATGACACTGGTAATGACACGCTCCCACAATATGTGGATGCGTGATGGTTCATGAATTGGATGCGGCTTGCCGTTGGTGTCGAGAAGCATCTCTTGGCGATGCTCCTTGGTCTCGAGGATTGTGTTGGCAAAAGCCTCGGGATCCTCACGCAGTGCCCACAGTTCATCCTCGAGCTCGGCAACCTGTGCTATCACGACGGCTTCTAGGCGATCGAGGTCTATGCGAGCTGGCAGGCGGTACGCTGACTCGAGCGACGTGATGGACAGTGATGTGGTTCCCGCCTCGGCACTGTTGGCAGAGACTGGTGGAGGCTCGTCCACTACAGGGTAACTGGGTCCAATCAGGTCGCCTTCAGGTATGTCGTGAAGGAGCTTGAGACAGAAGTGCTGCAGAAATTCGTAGAGCTTAGCCTGAATCTTGAGACAATTGAGGCCATCGCCAGGCGTGAGGCCTCTTGCTTCGAACGCCCAGTCTGAGGCATCCTCATGGTCGTCAAAGTGGTACATCTCTCCATACGTCTCTGGCGTCTTCCTCCCTCTGAACATCATGACGTACAGGTTCAAGAAAGGTCGGTCGATGCTCTGCGTGACCAAGCCGGTGCGGTAGGCCGCCACATCCGAGTGGGCGAACTCATCAGGCCCATTCCTAGCCCTAGCGTTGAGCATGATCAGCAGCGGCTCCGTCTTCGACAAGTCTTCGAGGTTGATATATGGCATTAAATAAGCATCGGAATTCTCTTTGTCGACGATGACGCTCTTGGGCTTCTTCTTCCAGGCCTCCACATCAGGGAGATGGTCCTTCGGAATCGTCGGCAGCACCTCGAGGAGGAGAGCCTTGCGTTTCGACTTGGATTTGCGCGACCAGCGGTTTTGAATCGTCGCTTCATGCCGCTTCACAATGTCTTGCAGCTGATTCCATGCTGCAAAGATCCGTGGTGAGAGACCATCAAGCTCCGTTTTGAGCTCCTTGGCGTCGATTTGCCGAACGCCAGGGGGGTGAAAGGCCGAATAGGGATCCGGCTGTGACATATTGAATAGTTTGACGGGTCTCTATTCACAGTCAGCTATGAATGATGGATGAGGTGTGTCGTAAGGTGACACAGATGAGCCTCTGGTTGTGATGTCGATGAGGTTGCTTTGTGACCTTCACGATGTTTGGGCCACGTTTATTCGCAGGTACAGTCAAAGGTCCGTGCAGTACGGTCGGCTGTTGCAGCCACAGGTCATCCATTCAGGGGCTGCCTTTATCGACTGCCTCTGCAAATCATCACGAAATTTCAAAATTAATTGTGAAGAGTTTCATTCTTGTAAGGGTACGTGAAAAATCTCAGATCCTTTTTGGTGGCCATCTTTTGCCTAGTAATACAATACTTGACAACCGTAGAAGCTGCAGTGTCTTCTATGACGAGGCTTCTCGACGATGCATATAGTGCGACTTGTAATTGGTAAAGTGCTTTGCAAAAGAATTGGAAGAGACGATTGCAGATCTGTGAAGTCGGCTTATTTGTCGTGAGGTATACAGAACATATGTGCAGCTCAGGGTTTCGTTCTCGCCCGCGCCGTTCCAGATACTGCAAACCTGATCTCGCGATATTTTACTTGTTGAAACTCTAAATCGCTGCCCAAAACGTTCATCACTTCGAGTACTCGGTTTGTATTCCTTCTCGATTGATAGATAGCGGCCCTCTTCAAACCTGTCTTAGCAAGCAAGCACTTCAGAACAACTCCAAGTCCTCGCTCCAACCGGCTCGTGAACACGATGACACCACAAGAAGATCATTGCCCCAAAAGCTCAATACTTTATATCAAAGATGCTGTCAAAACTCCAGTCTTCTCGTTGCAACGCTGGATCTCGGAGTTCAAGCCTCCATGCCCTCAATCTGGATGAATGCAAAAAAGCACACCTCCAATGCAACAGCTTGGCAAAACTCCCCCTCGACCTCTTCGGGACAATATCATTTACCCCATAGGATCACCAAAGGGAGGCCCTAACCGCTCAGAGGTTTCCTTCTCAACATCGGGAAGATGCACCCCGCTTTCGGACACTTTCTCTCTCGCCCCCCCTCGGGACTTGCGGTCTGACAGCGGAGTTTTATTTCTTATGTGCCGGCTCAAACCCCCGCTCGTATTGGTGCTTGGTGGCTCTGGCCGGCTGTTCTCACGATGGCACATTCATATCAGATCGTCTGGTTGAGCCAATGATATGAATGCTCAGACATTATATTGAATATGGGAAACGGGTGAAGGGCCAACGTGCACATGAACCGGCCTGCCGCTGAGAAATGACATGTTGAGTGGCAAAGACGACTTTGTCTCGAGAATAAGTGAGAAACGCCCAACCTGGCATATAAGCAGGTATAAAATGCTTGTTGAGGAGTCAACCACAGTCCTGCCTTGATCTGCCAGCAGTTCTTTCGATACCCAGCATAAGCCCCCTTTTCTGATCTGAAGCACCTACCCAAAAATGCCCTCCATCAAGGCGGCCATCCTCGCCTGCCTGGCCACGGCCTCGCAACTGGCCTCATCATGGCCGACAGCAAGCATGGACGGCATCAACATCCTGTCGCGCCAGAACCAGGTCCAGGATGAATACGACTACATCATCGTCGGCGGCGGCACGTCAGGCCTGACTGTCGGCAATCGCCTGACTGAAAATAACAGCGGCGGTGCGTTGCCTCTAATACCATGGCCTATTTTTTCACTGTCAAGTTCGTTGTACTGAGACTTTGATCATAGTCTCTGTCCTCGTCGTCGAGTATGGCTACTATGACAACCAGTCGGGGATGAACCCCCGGCGTATGTTCAACCTCACGTCCCGGCCTCAGCAGAACCTGAACGGCCGGTCTTTTTCCGTGGGTATCGGCTGCGTCGTGGGCGGCAGTTCCAACGTCAACGGACAGGTGTTCCTGCGCGGGACGTCCGAAGAGTACAACGCCTGGGCCGAGCTTGGTGGACCAGGCTCGACCTGGAACTGGGAGGGCTTGCTGCCATACTTTAGAAAGGTAAGAAACACAGCAGAGGAAGAAGAAAGAAGATCGCTGACGCAATGCAGGGCATCACCCTGACTGGTCCTAACCCGCAGCACGCGCAAGAGTTCAACATCAAGTGGGACATGCAGTACTGGGGCACAACTTCCAAGATTTACGCAACCTTTGGTCGCGATGCTCCGACACAGCTCATGAGTAAGTGCAAGTTGGTCTCCGCACCGACGGCCATAGCTGTGCTGATGTGCGTGCTTCAGAGGTCCTCTACAATGCCATGGCCGCCATGCCGGGCATGACCGTCCCCGTCGACAGTGGCGCCGGGCAGGCGGGCCTCTACTGGTATCCCATGTCCATGGATCCTACCAACTTTCAGCGATCATACTCCCGCACAGGTCACTGGCATGGTATCAGCAGGCCCAACTACCAGATGGTTGTCGGTGCCAAGGTCAACCGAATCCTCTGGGGCGCTGAAAACACGGCGACGGGGATCCAGTTTGTCAGCCGCAACCAAACGGGCGGGCCGGCCACGCAGGTGCGCGCGCGCCGTGAGGTCCTGCTAGCGGCCGGTACGGTGCACACACCGCAGGTGCTGATGCTCAGCGGCGTGGGGCCCCAGGCATTGCTCCAACAGGCCCGGATCCCCGTGCGAGTTGACCTGCCGGGCGTTGGCAGCAACTTCCAGGACCACAGCTACATTCCCAGCATCGCGTATCAGTGGGGCACGACGCCTGGAGGCGGCGGTGGATTCCCGGGGTTCCCGACGCAGGGCGGTGCGCCGGCGCTCGCGGCCATGATCGGTCTGCCGGTAGTCAGTCCACAGCGGTACCAGCAGCTCGCAACGCGATACGAGAGCCAGAACCCCACGAGTCACCTGCCGTCAAGCTACACGGCAGAGCAGATTGCAGGGTACCGGAAGCAGCAGGAGATCTACGCGCGACTGATGCGTTCGACCAACGTTGTGTTCCTTGAGATGATGATGTACGGGCCTGGTGGCAGTGTACAGAACCTGCACCCGCACTCACGCGGAACAATCCTCATCAACCCATCCAACCCAGAGGGAGACATGATCATCGACTACCGGGCGGCGACCAACGACGTGGACCTCGAGGTCATGATCGAGACAATCAAGTTCATGCGGCGATACATGACGACGGGCCAGTTGGCGCAGTACAACGCCAGAGAGACGTCGCCGGGCACCGGGGTGAGCAGCGACCAGCAGCTGATCCAGTGGGCCAGGGGCCAGGTCATCCCGTCAGTGTATCACCCGGTGGGGACGTGCTCGAAGCAGCCGAGGGAGCACGGCGGTGTCGTCGATGAGAACCTCAGGGTGCACGGCACAAAGAACCTCAGGGTGATTGATGGGTCCATCATGCCGACGATTGTGGGCGCGACGACATCGATGGCCGTGTATGCCATTGCTGAGAAGGTGAGCCCATGCTGCTTTGGTAGGCGGGCAACAAGAGACTAACTTTCGACAGGCCGCCGATCTGATCAAGACGACCTAAGGGAGCCGATGAACGCCCACACTTGCCAAGCGGGTCAGGCCATGTCTGATGACCGATCGCTGTTGGGCAATGGCCGGGGTTGGTCCAGAGGTTGGTCGATGCGAGGTTATGGAATGTGGATGTTGATAGTGTTGAGTTGGAACGGTCGGAAACGGCAGGGCAGGTCGGACTTGAATTGTTGGCGTCGGCAGGTACCTTGGTTCGGCAGTCGTTCCTGCATTACAGGACTTACCTAAGGCACCTGCCACCTGGAAAGGCATCGCGCGACAGCAAACACCCTTGTGGCCTCGTAGCGGTAGGCAAGCGCCATGACGTGCGTGACGTGACATTGTTGGCAACAACGCGCTTTTACTATTGTGAGCTCGCTCCTTCTCACTTGAGTTCACCCAATCCCATTCGCCCGCCCCTGCCACTCTCATTCATCACCACATTCCGTTCGCTACAATCATGAGGCCCTTCCTGGTCATTGCATTGCCAGTCATCTTCGCCACAGCACCATCGGCAGCCACTTTCATCTTGGGCACTGAACATGTTTCCTTGGTAAGTCTCATGTGACTCCAAGGCCTCACTCAGCCTTCGAGAGAGCCAGGTCCCAAGCTGGGATCCGGGGCATCGGAGCTCGCCACCTCCACCACCCGATCTCTTGACTGATCAAGCCACCTAGACATCTCAACCCCGCATCACGCTCAAGGACGATACCGTACTTGGGCCCTTCAACCTGTCTGTTCCAGTAGATCACTTTCACAATGAGACCCGCTATGAACCGCACTCCAATGGCACGTTCCCTCTGAGATACTGGATCAACAAGAAACACTACCGTCCCGGTGGCCCCGTCTTCTTGCTCGCCTCTGGCGAGACGACCGGTGAAGACCGCCTAGGCTACCTTGATCATGGCATCATAGCCATGTTCGCCGAGGCCACCCACGGCCTGGGCCTCGTCCTCGAGCACCGCTACTATGGCACGTCCTTCCCTGTCGCCAACGTCTCCATCCCCAACCTGCGTTTCCTCTCCACCGAGCAGGCCCTTGCCGACACGGCCTTCTTTGCTGAGCATGTAGTCTTCCCTGACCTGGAGCACGAGGAGCTCGGCCCGACAGACGTCCCCTGGATCGCCTTCGGCGGCTCCTACGCCGGCGCCTTCGCTGCCTTCCTGCGCAAGCTCTATCCTGATGTTTTCTGGGGCGCCGTCTCAAGCTCAGGCGTGACCCAGGCCATCGTTGATTACTGGGAGTACTACGAAGCGGCGAGGCGCTACGCCCCCGCCGACTGTGCCGACGTGACGGCCACGCTGACCGGGATTGTTGACAATATCCTGACACTCCGCGGCCCCGCCACCGAGACGGACCGCCGCGCCTTGAAGAGCGCCTTTGGCCTTGAGGCGCTGACGCACGATGACGACTTTGCGAGCGTCCTCTCCTCCGGCATCAGCCAGCTGCAGGGACAGAATTGGGACCCGGCCCTCGACCGCTCGTCTTTCGGGCTCTACTGTGGCAGTCTGCGCAGTGACGGCCAACTCTTCGCAAGCACGCGCCACCTCGAGGGCACGGTCCGGCGCTTGCTTCACGCTGGTGGGGTGTCAGACGATGAGTCGCAGAGAGTTGACGGGCTGACCGTCAAGCTGCTCAACTTTATCGGCTACGTCAGGCAGGATGTCAAAAGTGCCTGCCCCGACGGGGATGTCAAGAAGTGCTTCGCTGTCCGAGGCAATGAGCGCTGGCAGAGGATCGACCTCGATCAGGGGATGGAGCGCAGCTGGTTCTGGCAGGTTTGCACCGAGTACGTCACCCATCTTCGTTTTTTTTTTCACTTTTATCTTTATCCCTCCCTCCTCCTTTCTCTGCCTGCATCCACGATCCCTCGCTTGCTGACATGCTCCCAACGCAGGTGGGGTTACTTCCAGACCGGCTCTGGCGCCCCCGCAGACCAAAAGCCACTCGTCTCCCGTCTCATAGACCTCAACTACACCTCTCTTCCCTGTCGTGAGGCCTTTAACATCACGACCCTCCCGGACGTAGAACGCATCAACAAGCACGGCGGCTTCGGCTTCTCCTATCCACGCGTCGCCATCGTCGACGGAGAAGCCGACCCCTGGCGCGCGGCAACGCCGCACCGCATCGGCCTACCCGAGCGCCAGAGCACCACCGAGGAGCCCTTTCTCCTCATGGGCGGTGGTGCGGTGCACCACTGGGACGAGAATGGCATCTCGGGCAAGGATGCGCGAGAGGGCTATGGAGAGAGTCTGCCGCCGAACGAGGTGAAGAGGGTCCAGGAGGCGGAGCTCGCGTTTGTCAGGACCTGGGTCGATGCGTGGTCTGAGGCCAAGACTGCCAAGGAGGACGAGTCTTTCTCGCTCGAGCTCTAGTTAGCAGCATCAAATTGAGTCGGCACAATGTGTTACTCCTTACAGAAGAACGCTGTGACTGGCGTACATGTTGAGAAGCCTCTGTAAAACTCGTGACAAACCAAAAAGCGAAGCGACATCTGCGGCCACACATCGTTCTCATTATCAACTTCGAAGCAGCGCTTGACCGCTGCGAGGTACCTCATAAAACGTGAATCATCTACGGCAGGTTGGCATGCTAAAGCATATTGGCAGGGCTGAACCCCGCGTCCCAAATCTCGTCCAGGGCCGCACCAAGCTCATAGCCATCGTAGCCATTCATCCAGTCATCCCACTCCTCGTTCGCCAAAAGCTCGTCTGTGTGAAAGAGAAGGGCACTGTCAGCTTCAGGCACCACCCATGTCATCATCTTCGTTCATCTCATCCAAGGTCGCTAGAAGAAAAAGAGAATCAAAAGTCAGACACGACCAACAAGTGAAGCGCGCGCGCGCTCGTGCAAAGAGTACTACTGGGGGGGGAGGGGGGGTCACTTACGATCGTCTTCGTCGTCCATGGTCGGGTCATCGCTCGAGCTGACATCCGACTTATCCTCTGAACCTACATCGGAAAGGCCCTTGACGACGACATCGGCTGCCATGTCCTGGATCCATTCGTCCCACTCATTGCCCAGGTAGGCACGCTTCTGAATCGCGTTCGTCGTGCCCTCATGCGACAGGGACCTGAACGTCACGTCGCGAACGGCGCTGCGCTGCTGCAACCGTTGCTGCGGCTGGCCGACCATCATGTGCTTTAGTTTGAGGCCGTCAACGCGGCGCATCCTGCCGAAGAACTGCCTCCAGAGGTTGCGCCGGTTGGGTACGTCGCTGGTCTCGACGCTGTTTCTCACGAGTGTGACCTTCCACAGCTCGACGCCCTTGAGCGTCGGCGCAAACTTGTGAATGACCTTGAGGAGTGATTCTTGGTCAATGGCGAGGATGCCAAAATCGATGCTCTCAAGATAAGGAAAGTCGACTGCCGGAGGCAAGCGCAAAACGCCAGGGGTGTTGGGCGTTGCGGGAAGCTTGGACGTATCCGGCGTATCAGGGATTGGATCGGCAAGCCATTTGAGGAGATCGGTTGGTGTATCGTTGCGGTGAAAGTTGAGACGTAAGTGTTTGAGACTGGGCAGATGTGAGAGGAAGACGCGGAAGAGGTAATCAGGGCACATTTCCATGTTGTGTTCTGAGCCATCGGCGCTGGCGTAGCGGGTCGGAGAGCTTATATCCCAGTCATGACGCTTTCTCACGACATCCAACGGCAGAAAGATGGTCTCTATTCTCGAGAGCACGGGAAGCAGAGAAGCTTTGAGGTACTTGGGAATGTTGAAGGCGGTCGCACGAAGACGGCCGTGATGGTGTCGAAGGACCTCAATAGTCGTCGGTGTGGCGCCTGAGCCGGCCAGAGCAGCCAAGATGATGGAGAAGACTTGGGAGGCATAGACGCTGACTACCTCATCATAGCCACTTCCCCCGAGTAGGCTAACACCGGTCTCCTTCCAGACAGTCGTCGCGCCGTAGCTCGCCCATTTCGCGCGCGAGCCGTCTCGGAACTGACGCGCATCGGATGCGTAGTCCCGCATGCCTACCACGGTAGGTTGGAGGTTGCGGAAGGCTTCCGTCAGCATGAGCACGGCTTGTCCCGTCCAAAGGAACGTCCGTTGGTCATCGCAGCCCGCGGTGTAGAGTGTGGTTTTTGCTTGCGAATGCACTTGTAAGCCCTCCTTGTAGTAGTCCAGGCCGATGATGATGTGTTTGAGACAGTCACCGATCCGCGAGGTGGACATGTCGATGAGAGCCTGAAGACTGTCTTCGGTGAGCATGAACTGCTTCTTGCTGAAGAATTCCCTGCTGAAGGTTGTGAAGAGGGACCTCTCAATGGACCGACAGGTGAGGCGCAGGTTGCCATGTTCTATCGTCGTGAGGTGGTCTGTGATGCGAAGGAAGACCTCAAGTGGGACCTTGCCAAAAGAAGTGACCGCAGAAGCCGGCGATTGATGTGGCTGAGACGTCATTTTGACCACCGGATAGCTACCTTTTTTACCTGCCTAGGGTCATTTGAGTAATGTTGTTGATGAGGTCGGGCTGATGGTGCTTTATTTCAAGGGGAAGAAGGAGGTTGACGTAGCTGGGGTATTCTCTCAGGTACTTTACCTACCCAGGTAGACATGGTGGGGTCGAGGGTGTCAGTGGAGCTTACCTGTTAGGCTGCAGCTGCATGCTACGCTCCTTCACCGCAAGGTACCTAGGTATCTACCTACCTTACCTAGGTACCTTAGATACCTTAGGTAGGTAGATAGGTGGCTAACGTGCCTAGGTACTTACCCCTGGTGCAGATCACATGGGTGCACAGGCCTCGGACGGCCTGAAGGACTACTAGCTGGCTTGGCTGGTTGTCAGTCTGTGGCCCCGTAGAGGCACCAGTAGTTGAACATTACTTCCTCTGGCTCATTCAGCATGTCACCGCACTCTTTGACCTTTTTTGTTTTGACCTTCTTCGGTGCCCTTTGCGCAACGATTCCGTGTATTGTTTGACTTGTCGTAATGTTGTCACCTCGCCCTGTCACCTCGCCCTGAATTGCCAGCGATAGGTGGGCGGTAGCCAACGCATCCAAGTGCCAATCGCTTTTCGCTTGGCTGTGTCAATTGATCGCCATGGCGTCAATTGGCTTCAGCCAGCTTTGTGCCACAAGACCTGAATTCGCATTTACATGATACCAGTCCAGGCAGCAGTGCCATAGACGTGGAGTCACGATAATCCTCTGCCTCAGGGATTATCAGAGTCGTGCTGCCCATCACGTGTTCTCGTGTCAGTAGGTAAGGTAGCTGAAGTATTGTGTCGCGTCGCGTCCAGGCACCAGCGCGGTTGGACCCACGAGGGGCGACTGGTGCCTGCCCGACCTGAGCCAAGCGACCAGGGAAAGCGAAGCTCACGACAAAGATGGTGCTCCTTCCTTGAGCACTTCCTGGGTACGAGACGTGACGTTTAAATGGAGAGCATTCCCATCCGAACATCAATTGGGATTCTTCCTCCCAGAGGCTTCAAAACATCTCACAGCAATCAGGCCACTCCTCGTTACCAGCATTGCTACCGGTCACCACTTGCATTCCGTCTTGCAGCTACACCATCTCCAATTGACCTCTTGGTTTCGTCATAGCTCGCAGCCCAGTGGTCAGTACAGTCACACAACACGAAGCGAGAACTGCCGACCTACCCAGTATGTACCTTCCTGGGTCGCCCTCATCAAGTCCCCCCTGGCGCGAACAAAAGCTCAGCCTCGGCGCTAGAAACACAAGACGCCACCAATTCAACCACCCCACCACTCATCCCCCTTTTTGACACCGAGCGACGTCGGCCCACCTCGCGATCCTGCTTCAGAGGTGACTAACCACAAAGGTACGGAAAGCACGGCATTGGATCACCTTCCGCCAAGATACCTCTCTTTACAGCCTTGACAGGCGCTACTTCCATCTCATCAGTGCGTCTCAACACAGACGCAAGCCAACAGTTGTGCTGGTCCATCCCCATCAACCTCGGCCCACCACTCACACGATTCTTCCGTCATCATCAACGTTCCATTGACTCAAACGTCGCAGCTTGACAATCATCGCATTCTGTTCCAGGAGGTGCCATTCGGTACCAACCTGACCCCAGCACACAAGATGGGTCGCACACGGTCATCAGCCGCCTCTGCAGCAGCTGCCAACAACGCAGCAGCAACAACATCGCCACTGGATGGATGTGTGGTCGTTCTAGGCGGCTCCTTCCCTGCCCATACTCAGGCTGAGCTGTCTGGCGAAATCCGCTCGCTCGGTGCGACGGTAGCTACCACAGTCACCAAAAAGACCACGCACGTCATTGTCACGCAGGCCAACTACAAATCGAACGCCAAGGTCGGTCAGGCGCTTGCCCAGGAGGATTGCCTCGTCGTCAGTCTTGAGTGGGTGGACGAATCAAAGCGCCTCAACAGCAAGGCACCAGAGGATCAATTCGCGCTCAAAGACGAGGATGACTCTGATGCGGACGTTGCCCCTGCCACAAAGGCAGCTTCACCTACGCCCCCGACCGCCAACCCAGCACCAGCACCAGCCGCATCCAATGGCACCGCCAAAGGCTCACGGAACGGCGGGGCCACGCGCAAACGGCCTATCGTCGCTGTCAAAAGTGACAGCGACGACGAGGACAAGAAAAAGGCTCCGCTGAAGAAACAGAAGGCCACCAATGCCAAGCCAGCGGACAAGAAGCCCGACGTCGTCGATCAAGTTGCCAAATCGGCGGACATGGTCGTTCCGCTGGATGAAGGAGTCAGTGATGTCTACAAAGTCTTTATCGACCCCAGCGGTATGATCTACGATGCCTCGCTGAACCAGTCCAACTCGAGCAACAACAACAACAAGTTCTACCGAATCCAGCTCCTTCAGGACGGCTCGTCTTTCAAGACGTGGACCCGATGGGGCCGCGTTGGTGAGTTTGGTCAGAGCGCTCTTCTCGGTTCCGGAGGGTTCGACGATGCCCTTCGCAACTTTGAGAAGAAGTTCAAGGACAAGAGCGGCCTACGCTGGGCGGATCGTGCCGAGAACCCCAAGCCTGGCAAGTATGCCTTTGTCGAGCGCAGCTATGCTCCCGACTCTGATGACGAGGATGACGCCGAAGACGACACTGAGACTGCCGCTCCAACATCGGCTCAAGAGGAGGATACCGAGGAGCAAGTCAAGATCGAGTCGAAACTGGAGCCCGCCGTTCAGGACCTGATGGCATTGATCTTTAACAAGGCTCACTTTGCCGCTACCATGACAGAGCTCAACTACGACGCCAACAAACTGCCCCTCGGCAAGCTCAGCAAGACGACCATCTCTCGAGGATTTCAGTTCCTCAAGGACATGGCTGAACTCATGGACGACAGCACGCTAGCGCAATCCAAGTGGAACATGACGGCCCATGCCGCTACGGAATACCTCTCCAACACATTTTACTCTATCATTCCACACGACTTTGGCCGCAATCGCCCACCGGTCATCGCCACGACCGCTCAACTCAAACGGGAAATTGACCTTCTCGAGAGTCTGTCGGACATGAAGGCTGCTGCCGACATTATGAAGATGGACCGCAAAAAGACCAGCGGGTCTGATATTCACCCCCTTGACAAGCAGTTCCAGGCTCTTGGCCTTGACGAGATGACGGCGCTCGCGCCCAAGAGTTCGGAATTCGAGCAGCTCTCAAACTATTTGATCGAGACGCGGGGTGACACGCACTACATCAAGTATAAAAAGGTCGAGCAGATATTCCGCATTGAGAGGCAGGGCGAGCTGGATCGTTTCAACGATCTCGACCTTTCCAAGACTGGTTCTGACAGGCGCCTGTTGTGGCACGGTTCCCGGACGACGAACTTTGGCGGTATTCTTAGCCAGGGTCTACGCATCGCACCTCCCGAAGCGCCCGTAACGGGGTACATGTTCGGCAAGGGAATCTACCTCGCGGACATGTCGTCCAAGTCGGCCAACTACTGCTGTCACCACCAGTCGGACAACACGGCCCTCCTGCTACTCTGCGAGGCCGAGCTCGGTGATCCGATGCAGAAGCTGACTGGCTCGAGCTATAATGCTGGCGACGACGCCAAGAAGCAGGGTCTTCTGTCTACTTGGGGTCAGGGAACCACTGGCCCGCTCAAGTGGAAGGATGCCGGCGAGGTTCACCCGTCTCTGCAGGGAATAAAGATGGTAGGTCCAGATGTATGACCCGACGCAGACCGATGCTGACCCCCCTCTCCCAGCCCGATCTGAGCATGAAGCCCGGTAAAACTAACGTCGACAACGCTTACCTTCTCTACAACGAGTTCATCACATACGACGTCTCGCAGGTCCGTCTTCGGTATCTGCTCCGCGTCAAGATTGGCTGAGCTTCGAGGCGTGGAGATTGATACTATGGAGAGATTTCCCAGCGGTGTTTCAGGAGCTTTTGGAGGGCTGTCAAAGGATTTTACTTTGTTCACAGGCACACTGTGGTTGCTACTTATTTTGTGCTTGCGGTCCGGGGCGGAGCCTGCGCGGATGGATTTGGCAGCAAAGGGGCGAAGATCATAGGCGGCATGATCATTGGAGTTTGCTTCTTCTAATTTTTAAAAAAAGATGTGTCGTCTGACGAATTCGCTAGTTTGACAAAATGGAATGGCGATACTTGCTGCATCATGACGAGACCTGATTTACCTCTTCTCTCATTTCACTGCGATCCCGTCATTGACAGGTCCTTCGAACAAATGCTTCACAGCACAGCCTCACGCATTCGAACCCAGCCCTCACAGGGACAAGGTCTTATCCAGGGTAACATCGATGCCGGGTCAAATGCAGCCGAGGCACAGCCAAGAGAAGGACGCCCCGCAGGAGACCCTGATGAGGATCTACAGCACGACACTACAGCACGACACAAAAGAACCTAGTTAGAGAACCTGGGGCAAGTTTTCCACCACACTTCTATTGACACGCGTTTGCGTTTCTCTATAGTAACAAGGCCATTGTTCATCAGGCCAGATGCTTGCGACCACCCGTGTCATGGGCTCTAGATAAACCCTGCTCATTCGGGCATTGCCAGGCACGCGCGCGCTGTAATTACAAATCCACAAGTTTAGTTCTTCTTGTGGCGGAGCTCCCACTCGTAAGCGGCGAGCATGAAGGGGCCGACGCCACGGGTATCGTTGGGGACGACGGGAATGTCAGTGTAGTACTGTAATCGCGCGTTAGTCCTGTCTGTCACGAAATTCGCAGCTGCGGTGAAGGGGGAGTTCCTACCTTGAAAGAGGCGTCGCTGTTGAGCGAGCCGACCTGGACGGTACCCTCAAAGTTAATGGTACCGTTGCAGTGGCGGGTGACAAAGTCATCAATAAGGTGCTTGTACGCCCTGGACGCGGGCTCGAGGTAGGTCTTTTCGTCGATGAGGCCGAGACGCATACCACGAAGCCAGCCAGCGGTGAACATGGCGGCGGAGGAAGCCTCGAAGTAGTTGCCCTCCTGGCCGGGGTAGGGCTCGTTCATCACGAGCCACCAGCCGTCAGAGTCGGGGTCCTGGGCGCGACGCAGACCATCGGAAAGGGTGACGAAGTACTTGACAAGGCGCTCGTAGCCGGGGTGCGCTTTGGGGAAGACCTGGATCGTCTCGAGCAGGGACAGGATGTACCAGCCCACGGCGCGGTTCCAAACAATGGGAGCGGCGCCCGTCACGGGGTCGGCCCAGACAGCCTCCTTGCCCTCGTCGTAGCCGTGAACAAGCAGGTTGGTCTCGGGCACGCGCGTGGCTGCCTCGATCTTGTCGTACTGGAGGATGATGTCGTCCCACGCGGTGGAGTTGTTGGGCTCGAAGACCTCGGTGTACTTGGCGTAGAAGCTGTCGGCCATGTAGATGCCGTCCAACCACATCTGGTTCTTGTAAATGGGGGAGCGGTGCCAGAAACCACCAGTGGGCGTGCGGGGGTGGCGGTCGAGCATGCCGCGGATGGTGGCGGCAGCCGTGGCGTACTTCTGCTCGCCGGTACGCTCGTACCAGTAGATGAAGTTGAGTCCGATACGGTAGTCGTCGAGCGAGTAGTGTTCCGGGCGGAAACCGACAATGGTGCCGTTCTCCAGAACGACCTTCTCGTCAATCTGGGCACGGTACCAAGAAAGGAGGGTCTCGTTGCCGTAGAGCTCGTAGGCGGCCTCGTAGCCATTGTAGACGACAGCACGGCCGTACCAGTAGGCCCTCTGGGTCTCCCTGTTGTTGCGGATCCACGAGTCGGCCATGGTCTCGAGGATAGGCTCGGCGACCTTAGAAACGGCCGCGGCGGTGGCGCCGACGGCGAAGAAGAGGGCGGACGTCTTCATCTTGAAAGGCTGAAGAAGGAAATGCTCGTCGGATAGAGAGAGAATCGACGATGAGGAAGGGAAAGCGGGCCATGGGGGGACGCGTTGGCAAGCTTCTCTTTATACACGCGTCGAGAAGCCCCTCAAGAAAATGTGGCGGTCCCTATGGCGTCTGACACATGCAATCCTTTCCCCAATTGCCCAATCAACTACATGGTCATTTGGCAATGCGGACGAAATCACCGCCAGGGGTAGCGGTCGTGAATGCGTGCTGTCGACAACATCCTACTTTCTGTCAAGGTTTTGGGGCTAGAGCGATTCAGGCCATATCGGATGGGGCAATGCAACGACGTTGGCCACACAGGAGTCGGTTGGCGGAGAGGATACCGATCTTGGCTGTGGCCGAGACGTGGAAAATTAAGGTCCGGGACCAGATCAACGTTGAAGCGGTATCCGCTCCCGTATCTTGGCGAGAGACTTGGCGCGTGGAGGTCCGGGGTCTGCGATGAGGGGGATGGCTTGGAATCGGCTTGGGCGGGTCGTCGCCGCGGGGATCCATGAGAGAAAATGAGCTTCTTCTTAGTTGCCGGATGGAGCTGGACGCTATTTAGCGGGCCGTTTGCCTGGGCGGCCAGGACAAGACTCGCAGCCCATCGCCGGTGGTGCCCCCCGCAAGCTTGGCCTCGCCCAGCATGCCCAGCACAACCAGAGCAGAGCACTGGCGGCTGCGGCTACACAGTGAGGCCGTATACACGTGTTCAGACAGAGGCATCACCATATCTGGCCAAGAAGCTTGGTGTTGGCGGACATTCATTTCTCCCGCAAGTGTGAATTTCCGGTCGTCCCGCCGCGTCGGCAGCCGTCCGAATCAAGAAAAATGCAGCAGGCAGGCGAGGAGGGGCGCAATATATCCCGGCTTGACCTGTCTTGCGATGGGCTTGGCCTCGACCACCAGGTATCGTGGTAGTCGGTTCGGCCTTTTCCGACTCGGGTCGAGATACGGCTGAAAGCGAGGAGACGTGTCGTTTGCCGAAAGATGCAGTCCCATTGATCCGGGTGTTCTGCTGACCCAAGCAGTGCAGGTGCGATCCCGACCAACGAGTCAGCGACCAGGCATGGCGAATGAAGACGTGACGGCTGTTGGTGGTCATGCAGGCAAGTGAGCCGAGATACAGTTTGATCTAGATGAAGGCCGTTGGTGCTCCCCACATGGCCAACGAGGGCACGAACTTTCTTCAATGCAGCGAGCGGGTCTCTGTGACACTCGTTGGCGAACGTAAGCCAAGCGTGCAGAGATCGATTGCGATCAAAATGGCTGAATGCGGTAGGTATAGCGTGGTTGTGTTCCATTTTGTTTCTGATCTTCCTCGACGGCGAGCCGCAGCCGCTCCCGCTATCTCTCACACGGCTATGGCCAAGGGAGAGGCGGATATCCGAACAGAGGGCCATGGCGGGCCTTCGGAAACGGGTAACGGCGCGCGCAGGGCGTTGAAATAGTCTTGGCGCTAGAAAAGAAGATTTGGTGGCGGTACAGGGAGGAGGAGGAGGAGGCCGGGGGGTTCGTCCAGGATCGAGTTGGTTCTTGGATGCAGAGCAGTTGGTTCAGTGGCCGACAAGAGAGATCCAGGGGTCTGTGGTGCAGGAGGCGAGTACCTGGGCGAACAGGCGAATACAGGGAAGGGCGGCGTGTTGTACAATTAAGGTCAAGCGCGTGGGTTTGGTGGGATGCCCCTGCAGGAGTTTGTGGATCATTCGGCTGTGAGGGGCAGGCACGTCTGTGCTGGGGCGACCTTCTTCGGGACGAACCTGCCCTCCTTCCAAGACGTCGTTTACGTCTTCCTCTCAAGGTGGCGGTTGCCTCCCTCGATTCGATCCTGCCTCTGCGTGCGCCTGCGCCTGCTCCTGCTCCTGCATCTTGACCTGCATCCTCGCTTGTATCTCTACATCCGGATCAGCTCATGTTCTGCTTTCATTTCCTCTGCATCTCACTGCAGCACCTGTCAGCAAGCGAGAAGCGTCATTTCCTTTCCGAGTTTCAGAAGCCTCCCTGGTGGCGATTTGGTCATGTCATGGTGCGGCTTGGATAGCCGGAAGCTGACGACATGTGAGCAAAACGTCCTGTGCGGCCTTTGAGAACGTGTGAATTATCTTCCCTTGCGTCTCTGCTCGACCGCAGCAACGTCTGAATTGTTAGTCCAAGTCCGAAAGGGAGACAGAAACTGACGAGTGAGTTAGGCAAGCGCCGCCAGTTGGATCGCACAGGCATCAAGCTGCTTCTGTTACTGGCAAGAAGCAAGACTGGTTGGTGTCACCGACGCAGTCATATTGGTGCTGCACTACCTATTCAATTTTCCAAGCGGATGCAAGTCACGTGCACATGACGGAGATCAAGAAGTAATTTCAAAACGATTCATTGTACTACCTAAGCAAAATCACGCCCGCAAGCCATTGAAGCATATCCCAGTGGATTGCTTCTCTTGATTACCAGGCCCGGCAGAGTTGAAACCCCAAATCTATCATCCGAGCAGTCGGGTTCCTAGGAGAGCCCGAAGGCTGGAGATGCGAGAGAAGAGAAAGGGGTAGAGAGCAGAAATGTGGAAAAGTGCCACTGTTCTGCTTCTATTGTCGACGAGCGACCACCTCTTACAGGAAGAGAGCGGCGGCAGCGAAGGCGATGACGCCGAAGCTGGCGATGGCCTTCTCGGCACCGGCAACGACAACGTGGTCACCCTCGGGGTAGACGTTGCCAGTGGGGGTGACGGGCTTGGCGGGGTTGACAGGAGTGACGGGCTTAGCAGGCTGCTGGGGCTGGCCGGGGTACTGGGGCTGGGCAGGGTACTCGGCGGTGTGCTTGTTGTTCCAGGTCTTCTCGTCCTCGGGAGTCCAGGGCTTGACGGGAGCGGGCTTGCAGTCGTGGCACTCCTCCTCGGGCTTGCAGTCCTCACCCTGGCAGTAGACCTTGGTGTTGTGGCACTCATCGCCGTGGCAAGCCTCGTGGCCGCACTCATCGCCGTGGCAGACGTAGTTCTTCTTGCACTCATCGCCATGGCACTTCTCCTCCTCGCAGTGGTCGCCGTAGCAGATGACCTTCTTGTTCCAGTAGTCACCCTCGGAGTGGCGGTCGGTCTCGTACTTGCAAGAGTCGCCAGTGCAGCAGACCTTCTTGTGGCAGTCGTCTCCGTAGCACTCCTCAGCGCGGCAGCGGTCATCGTGGCAGACGACGCGCTTGTTGCACCAGTCACCGAAGCAGGGGTAGTCGAAGGTGCACCAGCCACCGAAGCAGACGATCTTCTTGAAGCAGTCATCGCCGTAGCAGTGAGCGTCAGGGCCGGGAGTGGGGAGGGGCTTGGGGCAGTAAGGTCCCTGGCAGGGGCCGCAGGTAGGGCAGAAAGTGCGAGTGATGGTCTGAGTGGCGGTGACGACGGAGCCGGCGGAGCCAGTGAAGGTGGTGGTGACGGTGTCGGTGACAGTGGTGGTGCCGGTGACAGTGACAGTGCCCTGACCGGGGACGGGCTCGACGAGGACGTAGACAGTGAGGAGGATGCTCAGGGGCAGCTGGCGCTTGGCGACGCCGCCACCGATGGAGCCACCGCAGGACTGGAGGGCGTTGCCAGGGCACTCAATGTTGCAAGAGCCGGGGGCGACAGACTCGGCAGTGCCGAGATCCTCACCGCAGTAGCAGTCGCGGCCGTTGGTACCGGCGAACTTGGTGCCAGTGGGGCAAGAGGCAATGCAGAGCTCGTTGGTCATGGCGCCGGAAGACTCGCCGAGGACAAAGCCGGGGAAGCCGGCGTCGGAGCCAACGCAGCCGAGGAGAGAGTAGCCACCGATGGTGCCGGGGTTGGCGGGGGCACCCGAAGGGCCGGGAGCCATGGAGGAGGCGACAGAAGAGGGGCCGGGAATGTCAGAGCTGACAGACTGGCCAGGAGCCTGGCGCTGGTAGACGGGCTGACGAGCAGCGGCCTTGAAGTGGCTGGAAGCCATGGCGGTGGAAGCACCGAGGCCGAAGGCCAGAGCAATGTTGCAGCGCATTGTTGCGGTAGGTTGTTGATGAACGAGTGACTGTTGCTAAAAGAGCGACTGAAAGAGAGAAGAAGACCCCGAAGAGTGTTGAGCGGTGCTCGAGGTTGTTGAGTTGTCGAGTTGAGAGTGTGTGAGGATGAGGATAAGAAGAAGGTTGTATGATCGGGGGCAGTCCAATGTTATCTTATACTTTCAACACGCCACAGTCTCAACGCGCTCGACTATGGCTGGCCTGGCTGTCTGGGTTGCTTGGGTTGCTGTGCGATTCCCCCTTGGTTGCTGCAAATGTTGCGATCCTCCCTGTGGTCCCGTGGGTCCCAGCGCCTCGACCCACGACATGTGCGAAATGAGACGGCATATTTTCGAAGTCCGGCGTCCTCCCAGCCTTCCTCATTGGCAAAGGGAGCCTCAGTCGCCCATCACCTTGTTGTTTGCGGCACGCAGCAGCAAGCCCGGGAATGGATCCGCAGTCGTTGGCACTTGGCGCCTACCAATATGTCTCACTCTGCGCTTCTCGTTCCTGGGGAGAATCCTGCGGAGGGAGGCTCCGTCCCCTTGAGGCGCGCTTGAGTCGGCCAATTGAAGGGAGTTCCACTGCACCAGGATCGGTGTCTCAGGTTCGCGATGTGTGTTTTCATCCAGACGTGGAGGAATGCCATGGCGGGGGGGGGCACCTGGGCTACGTTGGTCGGCCGTCGTCTTCCCACCCACACCATTTCGCATGTTAGTCAAGGTTCGAGAGCAGTAGCGTCGGGTCTCTATCGGCCTGTATTTGGGCATGGCACATGAACTATCAGATCTCTTCGTGCCCTTCCCCGGTGATTCATCTGCCTTGCCCCTGGTCTAGGAGCGTCCGCATTCATCCACTTCCCCTGGGCAGGTCTCACGATCCAAGACGGCCATGCCTCGGGCGTGTCTGAGGCTTGACACCCGTGGGAGCCGAGATGAAAATTGATTCCTCACGGTGCCTGAACCTGCTTGTGTGCCTGACTATTGGACGCCGACTTTTCACCCTCATCGCGATCTGTCTTTCACTGCAAAATTGCTTCCGGCGCTTCTCGTGATGCATGACGTAGCGATGATGGGAGTCCTCGGCGTCGTCGGCATCTCGACGTCCTTGGCCCGCGGCGGCCGTCAGCATCTGCCATCCGAACGCAGATGCAACTATCGTGATGTCCGAACACAGCTAGTAGGACCAGTATCATGGGACAGGTGGTGACCGCTCGTGACGTGATGTGCCTGGCCGTCTCTCTGAAAACGACGGTGACGACCGGCAGCAGCATGGATGGCACGAGTGCAGGCACGTGGGCGACGATGGACGCTGGACCGGTGTTGTGTCAGCCTCCGAACGTGGGATCCAAGTCATGTGACTGGCCTCAGGTATGGCAACAATGCATTGTCCTGCGATTTGGTCAAGCGCGCGCTGTTGCCATCGAGGCCGATGTTGCGTGCTGAGTTTTGAAGAGCCGCTCCGTGTCAGCACGAGCGGTTCTTGCGAGTGATTGAGTCAAATGGAATACTTGACTCTGCACTGTTCTATGATTGGCGTTGCACCATGTGATCAATCTGTGGAAGGGAAAAGTCTGTATTAGCAAGATTCCTGGCGCGAGTACCGTGCATGAAGCTCCGTGCCTTCCGGTGTTGTGTTGTCGCATCATGCAGTTGAGCTTTCGGCCATTGGCCTGGTTTATGCCGTCGGTATACTGCGTAGAGCAATTCATTTGTTGAAGTGAATGATCAAGAGATATTCTGCTGGCCCTGTACGTGGTCGTGTCACCACTATGCGATTGATGGCGTTCGTTCGGGTTGTTTCGTATCAATAAAGCAGGTAGGTAGCCGGGCAACAATGTGATGGCGAAAGGTACCCGGGTAAGATAGTTGATTCACACGATATCGGTTTCATGAATTCATTCATCTCGGCCGGGGTGGTTGTGCTTCTTCGTATATCGCACCTGACGTCGATACCTGAGCTGTGATGTAGCTTGACTGAACTTCCGAATCATGATGCATCTCTGTCAGTTACCCATGAGCCCAACTCGGGCCTTGAGAATATCATTCAGATCTACATCCGGAAACTTGATGTAATTCTGCACTTTCATTTACTTGTTAAGTTCTGTTTCCCCTTTTCTGTGTCGAATGTCCGTATTTGTTCGTTCATGAACCTGTACTTATGTTGATCACATACTCTCTAACACGATTCAATCACCACCGATCACCTGTATATCAGATGGGCAATAACAGCGCTCAAAACACAATAAAATGCTTATTGGGTGTCTGAAATAATTTTACAGCATGGGTACATGTCGCCAACTGACCGTTGTGACACTGGAAGCAGCTGAAGCCTTTTCATCATACATTTGGTTTGCAAAGAGATTCTACACGAACAACATCATGAACGCGTATCGGCGAAGCTTATGACCAACGTCAGGCTTACTGCGACCAGTCAAATTACGGCAACCAATAAAGGACATGAAGCACAACCAATTGGAACCGTAGAGACGCGTAACAGGCTCTCAAGCAGACCGATGCTACCATCGCCGTCTTCACGCTGTTCGAGGGGCATCTCAGACCCCGGCCGAGGACCCCGCAATCGACCCAATTGCCCACCGCAATCAGGACCCAGAGCAGCACACCGCCTTTGGCCCGCCCCACTAAAAAAATCGAGATGGCAATTGTGCCGGACATCTGCAGACTACCACCGAACCCAGCAAATCTTTTTCCCATCGGGCCCTCTCTTCACGAATCCAACACCGAAACCATACATCACCCCAACATGGCCGGAACCATAGGCAGGAAGCGGGCGCGCGAGGGCAAGGTCAAGCCCCCGCAACCCACCAAGAAGCAGAAGAGGCAGAACCTGCGCCACTACGACCGGGTTGCCAACGACAGCGAGGAGGAGGAGGGCGCGGGCGCGGGCGCGGGCGACTTCAAGGCCGTCAACCTGCTCGACTCGGACTCGGACGACATCCACAATGCCGCGGCCGACGACGGCGCCGAGTCGGCGGGATCCATCAGCTCCGGCGACGAGGCGCCGCGGGCGCCCCCGAAGAAAGTGAAGAAGGCCGCCAAGGCAGCGAAACCAACGAAGCGCTCGGCCGCCGCCGAGGCGCAGAAGCAGACCGCGGGCTCCGAAGCAGACGACAATGAAGACGACGACGCCCAGAGTGCGTCGGGCTCGGAGGATGACGACGACGATGACGATGACACGGAGGACTCCGTCTCCGACAACGAGGGCAACCTCAACGCGCCGCGCCGCGACACCAAGTCGAGACGGAACGACCCGACGGCCTTCTCGACGTCCATTTCCAAGATCCTGAGCACCAAGCTGCCGAGCTCCCGCCGTGCCGACCCCGTGCTCGCACGCAGCGCGTCGGCGCACGAGAATGCCAAGCAGGCGGCCGACGCGGCGCTCGAGCACAAGGCGCGGAGGCTGGTGCGGCTGCAGAAGCGCGAGGCGATGGAGAAGGGCCGCGTCAAGGACGTGCTGATCGCGACCAATGCGGACAAGGCCGGGGACGCGGCGGCCGAAGCGGCGTCGTCGACGGGGAGCGTGCTCGAGTTTGAGAGGCGCCAGAGGAAGGTGGCGCAGCGGGGTGTGGTCAAGCTGTTCAACGCCGTGCGGGCGGCGCAGGTCAAGGCGTCCGAGGCCGACAGGGCCGCGAAGAAGGACGGCGTTGTGGCGCACAGCCAAAAGGTGGCCAAGGTGACGGAACTCAGCCAAAAGGGCTTCTTGGACCACCTCGTCGCGGCGGGGAGCGGCATGAAGAAGGCGGCGCACATTGAGGAGGCTTGATTTCGTGGATTGGAGCGTGGAAGACGCTGGCTGGTACGCCTGGCGTTTTTTCTTGTAGATTTCTGAGAGTGACGTGTTCCTCTATCCAATTCCCTAGATACCCTCGAATCACGAAACGGTGCTGCTGCTTATGTGACACATGCCCCCACCCCGCCCTCCATTCTCACATCACCAGCCTCGTTTTCACCCTCTCCTGAAATTTGTTGTACAGCATAATTACATCTGGGTTCTGTTCTGTTGTGCTCGGCCTTAGCTAAAGTCGCTGGCTTGTAGGTTCCGCGTCATCGTCGGCAGCTTGACCGTCAGTCCATCTAGCGCCTTGGTCATCTTGACCTGGCACCCCAGCCTACTCGTCTCAGTCAGACCAAAAGCGAGGTCCAGCATGTCGTTCTCGTCATCGTCAGGCTCCTCCATCGCGTCGTAATGGGCTTCGTCAACGACAATGACGTGGCATGTTGAGCATGCACATGATCCGCCGCAAGCGCCTTGTAAATATTAGCTCATACGTGTTCGGCCGAGTGAGATTGGCGAAAATCATGCTCACCCTCCATCTCGAGATCGTTGTCCTGCGCGATATCCAACAGGTTGTCCCCCTCACACACGGCAATTTTGTGCTCATCGCCATCCTTGTCGACGAATGTGACCCAGAGCCTACACAATGTTAGGACCACAATGGAGGGAAATGGCAAGAGAAAATCTTACTCCTCGCCAGGCTTGGGGGGGTCGAGATGACCGTGGGACGTCGCAGCCGTCGCAGAGAAGGCGCGCGCCTGCGGCCATTGTATCCTCCTGTTGGCCAGCTTGACTGGGAGACGCCGGGAAACGACGAGAGGCGACTGCGTCTGGTAGGATCGTGTGGTCATCTGGACGGACCGGGCTTGACGTGAAGCATTGGCAGCCAGGCGCCGGATGGCTCCGGTGACGGGGGCGTACGTGTTCATGGCGTGGGGGATCGTGAAGGTTGGGGTGGATGACTGGTCGGGTGGTCGGCCTGCGTGCGGTGATGACGCGCACGGTTTCTTTCAATGTCGAAGATAGGAAGCCTCGATGGCCGGTATCGCGCGCTTGGGATTGTCGGTCGGAAGGATTCCGAAAGTAGTCTGGGCCGCAGTGGCAGAGGAAATTGAACCGCCCTGTCTACCGGGTCAAGATCAAATGCGAAGTCGCTCCACGGGGCAGCACCGGGTCGGCGCCTGCGAAATTTGTCTGACGGCAGCTCCGATAAGCAGCATCGGTTATCGAGGGGGAGAGCTTAACAAACGGTGCCTCTCCATTGGACGAGCACCCCGAAAAAAAGACCCACGAAGATGTTGACGTTTGGGGCTGCTTACCAAATCCTCGCTTTATCTCCGAGCTGCTACTGGTGCCGCTCTTGCCAGTGCTGAGGTGCTCCTGCCAGTGCTGAGGTGCTCCTGCCAGTGCTGATGTTGCTGCAGCTGCCGTCATGCAAATTTGGCGCCAGTGACGCCAGCGACCGGACACAGACACGAGCAAAAGCCAGTATCAGCAACATCACATCACCTCCCCCCCCCGCTGTTTGCTGGACGATGCTGCACAACCTGCATCGCTCGCACAATGGCTTCACATCGAGAAGGGGTTAATCCCTTGCGCCCTTACTACAAACCACCGACAATAGGCGAGGTTCATGATCCGACACCTGCACCTGCGAATCCCTTCTCCAGCAATGCGCCATCGGGCGATCGTTACGCGTCCAAGGCGCGTGACATGTTCAACGACATGGACTACAAGGACTACATTGGCGACCCGTCACCCTCTGCTGTCCAGACGGTCAAGGAGATTATTGACGAGCTGTTATGGAAATACACATCGGTTCTGATGGCCCAACCTTTCGAGGTTGCCAAAACCGTACTTCAGGTCAGGAGCAACGACGACATTGTTCTCAACGGTGCCACCCCGGTTTCGACGCCCCTTGCCACCAGGAGGATATCCAACTATGGAGACGAGGAATTGTTGCAAGACGACCACGCATCCGACTCGGATCCCGACGAGCCCGCCTACTTCACGTCGAATGTCCAGGAAACGCCTACGCCCGCCCACCGAGGCCGACGGAACCGTCAGAACTCTTCGTCGCTCCCGTCGCCACGGCCGTCATTCAAGGGCTCTGCGGCAGCTACGCAGCTCAACATTCGTCTGCCCGATTCTGTGACCGAGGTCATCGGCCAGCTGTGGCAGAAGGAGGGTGCTTGGGGCGTATGGAAAGGCTCCAATGCTACCTTTCTCTACACGGTTCTTTCCTCGCTGTTGGAGAACTGGTCTAGGAGTGCTCTGAGCGCGCTGTTCAATGTTCCCGATCTTGGCGTCAAAGACGATATCGAGAGGATGATCGACATTGCATCGCCTTATCCCTGGGCCTCGCTCGGTGTGGCGGCGGCGGCGGCCGTGGCGACGGGCTTGATGCTCGCGCCGCTGGATTTGGTCCGCACGAGGTAAGCACTGTGTCGCTTATCGCTCCGAAATTCTGGTCTAACACTATTTCAAGGCTTCTCCTGACCCCGATATCGAGAGGTTCAAGGCGGACCCTGTCCACTCTCCGCGCTCTCCCGTCCTACCTCTGCGCTCCTGTGCTTGTGCTCCCTACCATCTTCCACTCACTCATCCACCCTCTCCTGACGCTGTCGACTCCTCTTGTGCTTCGCACTCGCTTCATGATTGATAGTCAGGTCTCTCCGACGACATTTTCCATCGCCAAGTTTTGTGCTTCCTCGGCGGCGCTGTTCGCCAAGCTCCCCCTTGAGACTGTCCTCCGCCGCGGCCAGGTGGCCATCTTGTCGAGCGCGCCGTACATGCGGGCGCTGGAACCCCGGGAGGTCAAGCTCGAGACAGTTGTGCCGGCGGGCCGGTATGCTGGTGTGACGGGAACGATGCTGCACATCATGCATGAGGAAGGCTCCCGCGCTGTGGCCAACAAGCCGACAACCGCTAGAACCGGCAAGGCGAAGAACAAGGCCAGAGTCGCAGAGACGGTCTACCACAAGGGCCAGGGCGCCGAGGGTCTCTGGCGCGGATGGAAAGTCAGCTGGTGGGGGCTCGTCGGGCTCTGGGCGGCCGGTGTCATCGGCAACAGCGCTGAAGGTGAATTCTGAGCGGACAGAAAGGGCGAATTCGAAGTGCGTGGGTGAGCCAGGCCAGTGCCGGTATGCGCTGGCTGTCGACGCGGCCTGTGCTTGGTGGTGTGAACTGTATAAGAGTTGGACTTTTTGGGCGTTGTGGGATCCTGGCCACCGGTCGCTGCGGACAACTCCCCTTTCTATTTTTTTTTTTGGTTCTTCTTGATGAGACATGTCATGATATCCCCCTCACATGCGGGTGTACAAAAGATGTTGCCATTCTTCATAATACAACCCTCTTCTATTTCTCTCCAGCCCGGACGTGGGATCTTGTGGCCGACATGCTATGGTGTTCATTTGCTGCACCCAACGTGCACCACCCGACGCGCATAGCAAGCGACAGCAGTATCCCTGGTGTTTTCCTGTCGACTCAACTGTCAACTCACATACAGCCTCTCTGAGGACGCCCATCGAAGGGATCGATGTCTTGCGATCTGCTGAAACACACAAGGCCTCAAATGAGCCCAGGCTCATCGTAGGTCGCAAGAGGGCTCGCTCCCGATTCTCTTGGCAGTGTCCCAATTTCTCCAAGCGGTTTTGCCAAGATCTCTTCTCGCCTGCCTGTCGCGCCTCCACTCTCTTGGCTCAATCTTGGCTCACCTCTGCATTTCGTTTTGTCCTTTCGAACGGGGTACACAGACACGCGCGTCCCGTCTTGGGGTCTTGAGGGGGGAGTATTTGGTATTTCAATCCCCCGACGACCCCACCGAATGTCGTCGCTCCCACTCTGATTCCCTCCCTCTCCCTTCTCTCCCGCCCCCTTTGTCTCCGTGCGCGTCGGAGCACACCGAGAACGCCGCCACCACCGCCAGAAACCTCCGCCGCGTCGCAGTCGTGTTGGTTCGTTTTCGGCAATTGAGCGTCTGCCAGGGTGGGCTGCACCCGGATTCTTTTTTTTTTCTTTTTTTTATAGTCGACTGCACCCCGTTCAAGTCGATCAGGATATGGCGCCCTCGGCTTTCAAAAGGGTCTTTGCTCTCCTCGCCCTTGCCACGATCGGCAGCACCATCACCGTCTCCGACTCCACAAATGGCCTTCCCGGAATTGACGCTCTAGCCACAACACCGTTGCCGATTTCCGCTACGCGCAAATCCAGGACGGCCCGCCGACGAGTCGAGCCAGGAAATGGATCGTCGGAGCCCATGTCGGGATTGGCGGCGCTCGGCTGTGTGCAGGTTCCCGCTCTCGGCAAGGCTGAGATGTCCGATCCTCACATGACGCCGCAGGTCTGTCGGGAGCGCTGCGCCGCGGCGGCAGAGGGTGCTGCATTTGGAATCGCCGCCGCGACGAAGTGTTACTGTACTGTCGACGTCGCCCTCCTCACGGCCGTAACGGACGTGGAGCCGTCGTGCACGCTGCCAGCCTGTCCCGATGGCAGGCGCCTGCCCTGTGGGGGCGAGGCGGGGATGATGATGGTCTATGCGGCGACGGACGCTGAGGCTCCGGGCTCGGGACGCACAGAGGGACTTTTGTTATCCGAGGCCGCGGGGCGCCACGAGAGCGAGAACGAGGGGGAACGCGTGGAGCTGAGGGCAGCATCTCCTGAAGCGTTTCCTGACGATGGTGAAGAGGACGGTGATGCCGATGAAGACGACCACGAGCCGTCGTCGGCGCCTGGCGGTGTTCATCTTGGCACGACGGCGACGATAGGGATCGCCGTGGGCGCAGTTGCGCTGTCGGGCGTTATCACAGGTATCGTCATGCTGCTGTTCTGCCGTCGGCGACGAGGCCGTCAGGAGAAAAGTCGGGGGACTGACAGGTCCCGCGGGCGGGGGATCTACGAGCGTGCAGGGCCTATGCCGCCTATGCCGCCGCCGCTTTCCACCGATCGAGGACCGCGGAAGCCTCACGATGCCATGGCCGTGACTGTCCCATATACGATCCCGGAATCACAGGATCGGGGACCGGGTCGAGACACGTTTGAGATGTCAGAACGGTGGAAGTAGTCGCCTGCTATGGAACCTGAAATGAAGACATGATTCAAAGACAAGAAATGAGTGACGGGTCTTGTGACACGCTTGAAAGGTCCAGCGCCAAGGTTGCTTTCTGGCCATCTATTACAAGGTCGGAGTATCAATGTCGACTGCTTCCGGACTCAGGGCTGCGTGCTTTTGAGACGGATTGAGCAGATAACGAGAAGGAAATCTGCCACACCAACCTTTGAGCAGGTTTCCCACAACATGATAAGAGGCCACGAAAGTCGTAGTTGGACCTTAAACTTGACATCAGCAGGAAACAACCCCGGCGTCGATTTAGAGGTTGCTGGGTGGTCATACAGCGGGCGCAGAGTCACTTCGAATGATGCCACCAGCCCCGAACGCTTCCGGTTCTCTACGGTTTTTCTTCTATTTCTGAGATTGAGCGTCGTACGACATGGAAGCGAAAAGAACATCGACGTAGCCTTACTCGCGTTTTCCTAGCGCTCATCATGACAAGCACATCATCGCCTTCGCCGACCTCGGATGCCATGCGACATGATTGCGACACCCCTTCGGACAACCGCTTGAGTAATGTGGCAACTCGACGCTCTAGGCCACGGCCCGACGAGCCCTGTAGCTTCTTGGCTACCTTGGCGACAAGCCGACCGGAGGTGAACCCCATTCGCTGTGCATTGTAGTCCAGCGTCTCTCATCCAAAGGCCTCTACTCTGGCAATCCTCACGAACGGCTTCGAACCTTCACTTCGTCGGCACATGGACTGACCCTACATCCTTAGTGAATACCCGCGCGGCATCTTAAGCGTTCTGCTAGGTTCCCCAGAGCCGTCCAGACGTTGTCGGTCTGCATTCCGAGGCTTCCATGCGATCCTCTTCGCTACCAAGCTTGCCTCCCTTATGGCCATGCCGACGGCTGCCGTTGGCATAACGTAGTGGAGGCCTCGCAATATCAGTAAAGGGGGCCACGTGAACGTTCATGGAATCCTCGGGAAGCAACTGACTGACGTGTCGCAGAAAGACGCTGCCCAGCAAAAGGTCGACTTACCCCAGACGCCTGCAGTCTGCCTCAGCGTCTGGCAGCAACCCCCTCTGCCGTGCTTGACAGTAGTAGCGCTTCGGTGAGTGCCGAAGCATCAAGCGTTTGCCACACTCAGCGGTGATTCGGCACACCATGTTACCACTTCACCCCACATGCATATAGATCATATCGACGACAGGGGTCATTCGTGGGGTTGGTACAGGTTTGGGCCAGAAATCCCGCTAGGACACGGAAGCACGATTGAATTCTCCTTTCGGATAGGCGCCCACGTCGCACAGCGTTCCCTCCCGACGTTTTCTTTCCTATCCTGGTCCTTGCCAAGTGCTGCTGTGTAGCCTGTCCTGCCAATGACATGAACGCGCCTAGGCTTATTCACCATGACTTTGCAGTGCCACCAAGAGCCGCTCGGCTTGAGGACCGCCGCCATTTCCTACTTGGTCCTGTCTTATTCCAACGGCGACGCATTGTCACTTTCACTGAAACCCCACGCCGCTAGAGACTGACTCGGTTTTCTGATGTTCAGTAGAAAGCCAATGCGTTCAACAATGATGGCCGTTCGACTTCAAGGCTGTGAAGTCGGGCAAGCAATATGGGTCAATGAGAGAATGTCTCGAAAGAGAAGCTGTCAAGTCGGTTGAGCGAACCAGAACGACATGTGCATGTCTTGTCAAAGGCGTCCCATGTTTTCCCTTTTTAGCCGGAAGGCGAGTGTAACTCCGCTACCGACGGCGGTTCTGTAGTTTTGCGTGGTCACCGGGCTGGTTGATATTGCAAGGCGCCATGCCAAGGCAACCGAACCGGTTTCACTTATTGTCCTCTGCATGGGTATCAGTCAACGTTGGCCGGACGCAGTTCATTCCCCGCGATGATGATCCAATCAGGGGCTCTCACAGTCCCCAAAGGCCGCTTGCCACCCTGGTGACTGGTGTGCCGCCGTGAGATGCTGTGCCCTCGACCTCATCTATCGTGCCTTGGTGTGCTGTGAGCCGACAGGCATGGTGGCAACGCGATGAGACGGTCACAGCAGGATAGGGGGCTACAGAAGGGGGCATCATGGCCAGAATGGTGGTGATTTTCTCGTGAGACCTACTTTGACGAGCATATAAAGGTGCTCATCTTTTCCCCCTTTGTGGGTTTCTAGAGATCGACACGATCAACACAGTTTCCATAACAGACTCCCTGTCCTCGTCGATCCCTCCTGCACGGCATCTGCTATCCAACCTGTCAAGATCTATTATATCAATACTACCCCTAAAGCACATCATGGGCCTCAGCAAGATCGGCGCTCTCGTCGCTGCCCTGGCCGCTGCCAGCCAGGTCGCAGCTCACGGCTTCGTCAGCGATGTCATCATCAACGGCGTCAAGTACAAGAACTACGACCCTACCAGTGACTGGTACCAGGCCCCGGCCAACCGTCCCATCCGGTAAGAACCATACCAGCAGCCCTACTCGGACATTTCCACAGACTAACAGCTTCAGTGCCGGCTGGACCGCCGAGCAGGAGGATCTCGGCTTCGTTGCCCCCAACGCCTACGGCACACCCGATATCATCTGCCACCGACAGGCCACCCCCGGCAAGGGCCACATCCGCGTCGCTGCTGGCGATGTCGTCACTCTCCAGTGGAACACATGGCCCGAGTCTCACAAGGGTCCTGTCTTCGACCACCTCGCCAACTGCAACGGCCCCTGCGAGTCGGTGAACAAGAACGACCTCAGGTTCTTCAAGATTGACGGTGCTGGTCTCACGACCGCCCCCTCGACTTACGCTGGTGATGTTCTCATCCAGAACAAGAACCAGTGGTCCGTCCGGATTCCAGCCAACATTGCGGCTGGCAACTATGTTCTCCGCCACGAGATTCTCGCCCTCCACTCCGCCGCACAGGCCAACGGCGCCCAGTCCTACCCCCAGTGCATAAACCTCGAGATCACCGGCTCCGGCACCTCCAAGCCCGCCGGCACCGCCGGCATCTCCCTCCTCTCCTCCACCGAGGCCGGCGTCAACTGGAATGTCTGGGTTCCTGCTACCTCCTACCCCGTCCCCGGCGGCCCCATCGTCGAGGGTGGCGTCAGCCAGATCCCTCAGTCCGCTGTCACCGCCACGGCTACCGGCACCGTCACCCCCGCCGGCCAGACCGGCCCCGCCCCCACCGTCGCCCCCCCTACCGTCCCTCCTCCCGCCACCACCACCGCCGCCGCGCCGACCACCCTCCGCACCACCACCGTCGCCGCCCCTCCCCCCCAGACGACGCAGCCTTCCAACGGCGCCACCGCTCCCGTGTGGGGCCAGTGCGGCGGCCAGGGCTGGACCGGACCTACTGCTTGCGCGGCGGGCAACCGCTGCAACGTCCAGAACGCATACTACTCGCAGTGCGTGCCCAACTAAGAGAGTGTGGCCTGTCGGTAGGAGGAGTAGCATGTTTGTCAGCATCACGGATGACGATTCTCTTCTTTGATTGATTGCAGCCGGTGGGTGATGAGTGGCATAGAGCCTGGGCCTCAGAGCCTGGTTCGCACAAATGTACATAGCCATAGAGAGTCACGGTACATAAACCAGTTTTTCTCGCTTTCAACGTCAAAATCGCGTGTGTTGTTGTTTGCTCGGATGACGAGATACAATTCCCCCTCCACGGGGCTCACCCACGCTGAGCTTTACCTGGGCTGGTGCTTGCTCGCGAAAGCCTGGATCTCTTGCTTGGAGCGTAGGTCTGGACATTACAGGTGTCACATTGTAGCTCGAGCCATTGGGAAAAACATAGGCAAAGTCTAACATAGAAAGATATCGCGAAGCGCTGACTAGAAAAAGTGCCGTTTTTCATGGCTTTTTTTTTCTACTATCGCAGTGTGAGTCTTCATCATTGCGTCAACGAGGGGCATCATGGGAGTCCTCAGTCCCATGCTGATGAAAGACGCCAAATCAGCAACAAGACCAGCGACATATGCAATAGGAATGGAAAGATGACCAGAAACGTGATTCTGTCCGTTTGCAGCATTGGTCTCGTGTATTACGGTCACAAGGTCGACGTGTTACATGCTTTACTTCTTGTGCTGCCGAGCATTGGCGCTCTGTGGGTTCACACAACGGCAACAAACCAATAGTAACCGCGATGCGATCTTATTGATTCCGAGTGCGAATTGTAAAAGCAAGGAGGATCTTCAGGGATCAAGTTATCCGCAGTGACAAGCTGCCATGGGTTGTGAAGGAGCTGAGGCTGAATCGAGGTACTGAATGCAAATTGGTGCAATCGGTATCTGGTTGAAGAGAAGAATTCGTTCGCAAGTCGTGATGGGGAAATCCCACCTCGAAGCTTCGGGGTACAGACAGGTATGCCGATGAATAGGCAGCATTGGTACGAGGTTCAGGAACAACATCAAGCCTACGACGAAGCCGAAGCCGCTATCTGGAGTGGCATCGAAAGATCCTTGCCACCCTGTGAATGGTCAGCTGGCAAGAGAGCAGCGACCATTCATCACATGGCAAGAGGCGATGATAGCTGAAAATTGCTCGGTCTTGAACAAGTCAACGCGGAGAGCGGCAAAATGCCCAAGGACTAGGTAGCGTAGCATGTCCATGCATACAAAACGTCAAGCATCTATCATAGACAGATCAGGTCCCATCGCTGGAAGATCAAGCGGTCAGAGGCTTGTGGGAGTAAGAAGACAAAGATCCAAGTGCAAAAAAGCAAAAAGAAGTGGACACGCCGGGAATTGAACCCGGGACCTTCAGCAGTTTAGTATTGATCAGATCAATGCTAAGCAGATGTCATACCCCTAGACCACACGCCCGATTTGATTGAAAGCAGAGAGCGCCAACGCCATCATGACCCACCATTGTGCGGAAAAGTCGCGCTGGAAGCCGCTGCCCCACAATGACCCCACGAGCCGCTGAAAGTGCACACGACCGCTGTTTCAATTCGAAAGATCACGGATGCATCGAGCAAACCCATCCATTCCTTGCTTGTTCACTGCCTCACCTCTCTCACGATCAGGGAAGACATACAAAACAGTGTAGACTGTTCCATATGACCAATTGGACCCGAAGAACCCTGCCTACCTATACAAGGCTACCGCCAGCCTCTGACGAGGAATGGCTGACCGTTGACTCACGCGGCTAAAGATGATCAATTAACTCTTGTTGGTCTCGGCAACGTCAGGAATAGTGACGCTGTCGCGACAGCGAAACCGAAGCCTTCACGTCAGAGCAGCTGGGCCTGAGAGTGATTCAGGATCGTACGGGCCTCAGACTGTCTGGTTCCGGATCAGCATGTCCAGTGAGACCTGTCAATATGCTGTGTGAGCTGGCAGTGCCCCCCATCGGTCTCGGTTTCGGTCTCCTCGGTGGAGACTCTGGTACTGCATTCACGGGCACTGCTACGGCCCCGCCTCGGGCCGGCTCAGGCTGCTCAGCCATCCGCTGCCATGTTGTCTCGTGGCACAGCCCGTTCCTTTGCAGTTCTAGCATTGCGCGCGACGGTCCATGACAGACTCTTGCAAAGGAGGATCGATCCGGAAGAAAAATCCATGCGCTCTTAGAAAGCGAGCCAGCCCCGTGCTGGGTGGTGCTTGTTAGCTCCAGGGCTACAAGGTCTGGCGCGAAGGGAGGAGTCTAGTGCCATGCCCTCCACGATCGAAACAAGGTACGCGACCAAGGAGAAGTCGATTTCGACAATTCCACCCTTCTCAAGCCGTAGCCCCAAAGATGCGAGGCAGGGATGGCGTGCCCCCCTATCCACTACTTGTCTCCCAGGTTTGCCAATAACCCCCCATAGTGCTGCAAGGTCTTGTAGGCTGCACGGACAGTCCCAGGGGGGGCTGCAGGGGATGATCCGAGAATGGAGCACTTTTATTAAGATGAGAGCGAGGCTGGAACCACCCGCGCGCCTGTATGTTGCATAATGGTGAACGTGCACTGTGAAACCAACCACCACAGGCACTTGGGCAGTGCGATGATAGCACGCGAGAAACCCGAATCGCGCGAGGCAGACTCTCGCAAACCGGCCCCCTGAAACTCCTTATCCCATTCTTCTGGCGAGAGATGGAGTATTGGGGGTTTTTATGGGCAAGATGGCGACATAAGTAGATACAACCGCAGTTGCGTGGAAATCAATTTAGAAATTCTTGATCTTATCACTGCTCGCTCATTCACACACTCTCCTCGCCTGAAAACAGCCCTCGAAGATATTTTCTTGCCTTTTCCGTGCCTACAGTCATTCCTTCTATTCTCGACCACTCAAACCCGCTCTTGACGGTCGTGAGGACTCTTGCTATCTATCGCCAAAGCTTGTCAACTCTTTCTCTCCACTTCATCCCTTCACTTCGACAAAATGGGCTTCTTCGACCCCAAACACAAGGGCAAGCTCCACCTTGTGCAAGTTCTCCTCGTTGTCGGCGTTCTTGGAATGGGTGGCGCTCGTCTCTTGATGTCTAATGGTCCTACGTCAAGAGCAGACACAATGGCTCTCGGAATGGTACGATGAAGCACAACCTACAAGTCCTCAAACAGAACAAATTGCTAACTGCCCATTACTTTGACAGGGTGCCAAGTCACTCATCATCATTGGCTACCAAGTATTTTCAGAGCCTGGTCGCTGGCTCAGGCGGTTTGAAAGCTTGAAAGCCAATTTCATCTTAAACATTGTCGAAGTAGCCGCTTGGGGTGCGGTCGTATACATGGTCATCTCAAGCACTTTGAAACAGTGCGATGGATTTAAAGGCACGAGTTGCATGCTGGCCTGGGGCGTGATCGCGCTTGCGGGCAACATCTGGTACGTTCCTCGAAACAAACACGAACCCAAGTTGCTGCAGAGACAAGTTGCTGATGTTAGAGATTTGACAGTGCCGTATCCGCTGTTGCCGTCTTCATGTCGTATAAGGAGCTCCGCATGCGGCGCGAAACCAGGCCCGGAAAGGGTGACTTTGAAAGTCTCCCAGGAGATAGCGATATGCACGCACTTCGCCCGGTTTACCAACCCGCGGCCCAGCAACAAGGCGTAGATCAATCTGGAGTTTATCAGTCAGAACAATACCAAGGAGGAGCCTACCAACAAGGAGCTTACCAACAAGGGGCCTATCAACCAAGAGGGTACCAACCGGGAGCTTGTCAATAGGAAGCGGCGGCACGAGGAGACATCTCCGAGCGCCAACCAATCATCAGTGATGGCGCTGTCGAAAGGCCGAAAGAAAGCAAGATGCAGGACGGGCCGGTAAAGAAAGAGGCATCTAGGGAGTCATTGGTGGGCGTCGAACGAGATGCGCGGGAAAACCGAAAGCGAGAGAGCCATCGAGGAATGACAGACGGCGAGTCAGAGCCAGAACATGTCACAGCATCCATATTTTCTTTGTATTACTCCAGATAGCAACGTATGTAGCGTTTGCTCAGATGACTTGCAATTTCATGATACCATCTACCTTGCGCACCTCATCAACTCTCGACCTTTCAATTCTTTGGCGTGGTTATGACTTGGCATTGCCATCCCGGCCTCTGCTACTTTCTGCCGTTTCTGCCTTCCAAACAACGCCATGAAGTGGGTAACTTTAGGGTCTTGGCCACGTCACGTAGGGCTGCCGCTGTAAGGTGGCCCGGCGACATGTCCATACCACGGGCCAAGGGGTGGGCCAAGGAGTGGGTTAGTTCGCCCGCAAGTCTGCCCAACCTGTTCGTAATACGTAGTTCACGAGTTGACGTGAAGAGGAGAAAGGGCTACGCCTCCGGCAACGTGGACTGACATTCTCACCCATCCCAGCATATCGGCTGGCGCCCGATAGAATGCGAAAACGAGCAGAAAGAAGCTTAATGGCGAGCAAGGGTGCACTAGTCTCCAGGATTAATGGAGAAGCTCATACGCTAAGAAGCCTTGACGGGCAACCCCGAAGTGCCGATTGCCGGAAATGTCAAGGACTCGACCAAGCTCGACCAATCATCCAGTTCTTCGGGTTCAGCCGAGAATGGGCGGATGCATTGCCGAGAATCGCGAGTTTGCCTCGCGAACTCAACGAACATGGCTGAGACCGCTTGAATCGTATTGAAATTGATGAAGCGTTACGTCGTCCACGTGCCGAAAAGCCGTCATGGTGCTTCGTAGCGCTGCTTCGCCTCCTTAAATGTTTGAGGAGCTTTCATACAAAGGGGCCCTCTTGCCATGCCTTCATAGCATTCAACGCTGCCAAGCACACAACACATCATTCCACGGTTTGGGAACTTCTTGATAAACTACTTCAACCCCGGGTTCCTTCTTCACAATTCTAGAAGTCCAGTATTACGACCTACTGCTACCATTGTGCCTCCGTCTTCCTAACCTTGAGCCGAGATCCAACCGCCGGACAACACCCGACACAATGGCAGTACTCGAGACATACAATGGCTACAAGCTGTGGCACTACATCCCCTCGCTTCCGGCAGCCATCGTCTTCGCTGCTCTCTTCGGCGTCTTGACGATTGGTCATGCTTTCAGGATGTTCCGTCACCGGATGTGGTTCTGCCTTCCGTTCGTGGTTGGAGGTGTCTGTAAGTACAACCCTATACCCGAGGCTCTACTGTACGCGTCAAAGCTAAACCATGTTCTCTCAAAGTCGAAATTGTTGGATACGTCGGACGAGCTGCAGCCCACAGCTCAACCGGTACCTTAATGCCCTACGTGCTTCAGTCGACCTTCCTCCTGCTGGCGCCTATCCTCTTCGCCGCTTCCCTCTACATGACGCTGAGCCGTATCATCCGCGCTGTCGACGCAGCTCACTGCTCCATCATCCGACCCAAGTGGCTCACCCGCATCTTCGTCTTTGGTGATGCTTTCAGCTTCTTCGTTCAGGCCAGTGGTGCAGGCCTTCGCGTCCAGGCCGGCCAGAAGGATAGCAAGATCGACCGCAACCTCGGCGGCCACGTCATTGTCGGCGGTCTCATCTTCCAGATCCTCATCTTCGGCGTCTTCGTTGTTACGGCCCTCAAGTTCCACAGCAAGTTCAAGAGGGACGCCAACGTCTCCCTGGCCCGCGACATTCCCTGGCAGAAGAGCCTCCTCATGCTGTACCTCACCTCCGCCCTCATCATGGGCCGTAATGTCTTCCGTGTGGCAGAGTATGCCATGGGCAGCGATGGATATCTCCTGAGCGTCGAGTGGGGCGTCTACGTCTTTGACGCCGCCCTCATGACCCTCACCATGGCCTTCTTCCTCCTGTGGTACCCCAGCGCCCTCAAGAACGCCAAGCTCCACAGCACCACCAGTCCCGAGCTCGGCACTGCTGTTTTCCAGCATGAGCAGAAATAGGGGCGTAGTACGTGTGGAGGCCGGCATACAATTTCTTTTGTGTAATTCTAAGCGGAACTTCGGCATCGGCATGCCATTTTTGGGTCGAGAACTTCATTTCACGAGGCGTCGGGGCGGTGGTACAGTTTAGGGGGACATCATATTTGATCAATACACTTTATGTCTTGTAATTGCTTTGCTGTCGTAGGCAGTGGTAGATGTGGATTGCATTTGTATTTTTCTTAGCATTCGTTCTCGGCTACGCTTCTGCTTTGAGTTCTGCTCTGCCTGTGAACGTTATCTTTGGAGCAACAACCCCACGGCCAAGCTCTCTTGCCATAAGCTGATATTGTACTAGTGATGGCCCCTGTTGACAAAACACAGCGATCGCGGCTGCCCATTGATGAGCTGTAGGTGAGCTTGATAATGAACAGGATCCAATTTGACGAGCTGCGAGCCATTGCTGAACATGGAACCCACGGAAATTGAGTTGTACCTGGCATGATTGTTGCAGATGGGCGCCACCCCGCGGACGCCGCACTTTCTCGTCCCGCTTCCGAAAAGTCCACCATGGCGCTGTATCGCAAAGATCATCCGTCGACTCTGAGAAACACAGTCATGGGCGGGTATCGACTTATGTTTTGCGGCGGCATGACGACCACGAAGCCTGGCACTTCATCTTTCCGATACCCTCGCGTACAGGGCCTCGATCCGTGCCACAGGGACGAATACAAATGACGCGCTTCCCCAGCTTGATGAAGCATATGATGAGGCAGGCAGCAGCACATCAGAACAAGGCTTATTGCAAGTCAAATCCCATATTTCTATCTCGAGTCTTCTCATCATGGCCCGCTTGTCAGCCTGGATAACCCTCGCGGCCCTGCTCGCTCAGCAGACTGCGGCCTCCATTTTCAGGACTGGGGTCGAACTCCCTGCTTGCGCGAACCATTTCTCGCCGTTCAAAGCTACCGGATGCTACCAAGACTATGATGGGAAAACACTAGATTTCCGGTCAACCGTATCATCGAAGGGCATGACCACCTTCAAGTGCCAGGCCATCTGCAAAGGTACCATGACTGTTCCCTTTCATGACATAGAACATTGCTAAAGTGTTCCAGGCAATGGCTACCAATTCTCGGGACTCAAGTATTACGGTATCTGCTTTTGTGGATCGAAACTTGAAGGACCCAAGCTTCCAGACTCAAACTGCACGCTTCCGTGCGATGGGAATCAGAAGGAGAACTGCGGTGGTACCGACAGCTTAACCGTTTATCGGGATCCGACGTTCCTGAAGCTCAGCGATGCTGTTGATGATGACGACTACGACGACACAGGCTGCTTTACCGACGACTCGGCTGTGGGCCGCACCCTCGGCTTCCGCCAGAACATCGATGCTGCCAAGGTGACGCCTGCAACTTGTATCAAGGCCTGCCTTGATCGCGGCCTTCCGTTCGCCGGTGTTGAGTTTGGTGGCGAGTGTTGGTGTGGTGCTCTCGTGAGCCCTATTGCCAAGGAGGTCAATGACACGGACTGCAACATGCCCTGCGGCGGCGACCAGTCTCTGGACTGCGGTGGCCGAGGCCGAATCACTATCTTCCGGGCCTCCGAACTACTCTCCCAGGACCCATGCGAGAACGACAATGAAGCACCGGCGCGCAGTACCTCTGTGACCACGACCTCTCCAGCCCAGACCACCCCCAAGCCCACCGACAAGCCCACAGACAAGCCCACAGACAAGCCTACAGACAAGCCCACAGACAAGCCGCCATCGACTACCAGGACGCCAACTCCGACAACTCCCATGACAGGCACACCGACGGCTACCAGCACCAAGATCTGCACCACAGTGGCCCCCAAGGATGAGTGGTGTGTCGGTCAATGGTGCAACGAGCCCCTCCCCGACTTCTCCAACGAGAAGACGTGCTTCGCCTCCTGGGCCAAATGCCACCTCCAGACACACGCATGCCTGAAGTTCGCCGGATGGCCGGCGGCCCTCGAGTGCGCCGACTACAAGAAGTGGTGCAAAGACGCCAAGCTCTTCTGCCGCAGGTCGTGCACCAGCAAGTCGAGGAACTGCTCTAAGGCCGGGCACCACGCCGAGAACCCCCCGCGCGGCGGCAGCAACAACAACAAGGACCCCGTCACCAAGACGGTGCCCTGCGCCGAGGCCACGGGCACCATGACCCCCGACACCATCCCCGAGCCCACGAACCTCTGCTTGCAGCCCCACAACCCGGGCCGCGGGTACACGGCCGAAGACCCCGTCGGCGACATTGACCTGCCCGTCGTCACCTGCAACAGCGACGAGGCCGACCACAAGCGCGGTAACCCGTTCAAGCAATATGACCACTCCAACTGGGGCCATTGTCCCTCGTACAAGCGCGGCGACGTGTCCAAGGCCTGCAAGGATGCCTGCAAGCAACAATATGAGCGATGCCGTGGCGTCTATGCTAAGTCACGCGACACCAGAAAGGACCGTAAGGACGATGATGATGATGATGACAACAAACACAAGCACAAGGGGAAGCACGGAGACAAGGAGCACGGGGACAGGAAGCATGGGGACAGGAAGCACGGCGGCAAAAAGGGGAGGAAGCACGATAGGCGCTCTACTGGCGGCGGCGGCGGGTTGAGCGCTGGTACCATCGCTCACCCCAAGGATGAGTACCACACCGCTCTCCGTCAGTGCAAGGACCAGTACGAGGACTGTCGCAAGGTCAACGCCGACATCAAGGGCGACGATAGGTGCGCTCGCTTTGGCGGCCCATGGTAGGTCGGTCCCGGCTCAGGTCCTTACTAGAGGCGGGATAGCGGATGAGGGGGGGTCGCAACAGGAGCCCCGCTACGTGGGACAGATTGGAAATGTCTGTTGTATACTTGCAATAGTCAATTGACTTTTCAATGCCGCGAGGAGTTAACGTGCCCTTGAGAGGCTGCCTTTCCCCCTTCATACCAGTGCCATGTCGGCGGGTAAAGGGTGAGACATATCCCGCGCCCTGCAGTAAAGAAAGAAAGAGAAAGAGAAGAGAACTCAGAAGAGAAAAGGCGGAGAAAAAGAGAAGTCAAAAGAGAAGAGAAAGAGAAAGAAAGAAAGAAAGAGCGCGAGACGGGGGCTAGCTTAAGTAAATGGCAAGTTTGGAATGAAGCCAGGGATGCGTGCAAGGGGCTGGTTCGAGGGAGTTGCACTACATCCTATCCAAGGGAAAATGGAACAGCCTCGTTGCGGAATCGAGGGGCAGTTTTGATGAGTCCCTTTTCTCATTAGAGGGAGGCTACGGAACCTTGACTAGCCTCCCTTCCCCCCTCCATACTTTCGAAGTAGTCATTTTCTTATAAATAACACCGGATTGACAGCAGAACAGTCAGTAGCCATTAAGTACTTCAATCACTTGATCACATCTCTCGACGCCGATAGCTTTGAGACATATTTTCTTTTCGTCATGCGATTCCTTGTGACAACTCTGAATGCTCTCTCATGGCACCTCAGAATGAGACCAGCTACCGCGTTCCCCAGAAGGAACAACTCCTTCCGCTTCCCTGTGACTTCTTATTTCTTGCCCGTGGGGATGGCAAATAGTACTACCTTGCCGCCGTCGGCCAGACCCTTATCCACACGGAAGAAACCGCGGCGCTCGAGCTGAATAATGTCGTCCTTCTTCAGCTTAGCGACGCCCTCATCGCAAAGGGCCTGCTCCATGGTGGAGGTGACGGGGTTCAGGAAGTCCTCAAGCTTGTCGTCCTCCTCGAGCTTGTCCTTGGTGAGAAGGTAATCGAAGTCCCACAGCTCCGCCGGAACAAGCTTGGTGCCTTGGGCAGACAGCCAGGTCACCTTCTTCTCGGTCGTCTTGAAGTCACCCTTGAGGTTCAGCTCAGCCGTAATGGCGGTGACGCTGTCGGTGCCAGTGATCTCGCGGATGATAATGTTGCCCCAGGACATCGCGGTGATCTCCTCGCCCTGCTTGAGCGTCTTGGCGTCGGCCTGGTCCAGGTAGAGTTCGTTGGAGAAGATGATGTTCTTGGTTCCAACCTCCTTGTTCTTGGGGTGGCTCGGGCGCTCCTCTGTCCTCGGCTCGGCGGGCACATCGGCACCAGTTAGAGTAACCTTGACGATGTCCTTCTCGACAAGAGCCGTATGCCTGGGCGCAATGGGGTCGATAACCTTCTTGTTCAGAGCCCAGAGGCTGGCCCAGTCCATGTTGACAACATTGCGGCTGGGGCCCTGCTTGATGATGAACTCGCGCAAGGCAGGAATGGTCAGACCACGGCGGCGGACGCCGCGGATGGTGGGGAAACGAGGGTCATCCCAGCCGTCGACGGTACCGGCGTTGACAAGAGAAGCAAGCTTGCGCTTGGACATGAGGGTCCTCACAAAGTTGATGCGCGAGAAATCCCACATGTAGACCTGACGGATCTTCAAGGTGTCGATGAACCACTGATACAGAGGGTTGCGGTCGGTGTACTCTGTGGATCTCAGCGCATGGGTGACACCCTCCTTGGAGTCGACCAGAGGGCAGGCGAGGTCGTAGGTGGGGTAAGCCTTCCACTTGTCGCCAGTTCGGTGGTGCTTGTGCTCAATGTTGCAACGGTAGATGACGGGGTCGCGCATGGCCTTGTTGGGGTTGTCCACAGAGACCTTGGCACGAATGCAGTTCTTGACACCCTCAGCCGAACCAAGCTTCATCTCCTCAAAGATGCGGAGGTTCTCCTCGATCGTTCGGTTGCGGCACTTGGACTCGATGCCATCCATACGCTGGGCCTTCATGGTCTCCTGGTCGGTATCGTCGGAGTAGGCATGTCCCTCGGTGATCAGGCGCTTGCACATGTCGTGGAGGTAGTCAAAGTAGTCGGAAGTGTAGGTGAGAGTGTCGGGGGTGATGCCCATGAGGGCGAGGTCCTCAACGATGGAGTCCTGGAACTCCTCGCTCTCTTTTGAAGGGTTCGTGTCGTCGAGGCGCAGACGCAGTTGGCCCTTGTAAGCCTCGTGGGCGAAGTAGTCGCTAAGGAGGGCGGCCTTGGCGTGTCCGATGTGAAGGTAGCCCGAAGGCTCGGGAAGGAATCGCGTGACCACGCCCTGGTCGGCATTCTGGAGGGCGAGATCGAAGTTACCGCCAGCCTTGCTACCGGCAGCAATCTTGGCCTTCCTGGCAGCTTCGGCGGCCTTGGCTTCGGCCTGAATCTCGGGGTGGGCTTGGCTAATGTAGTTGAACCTGCGGATAGTGGAGGTATTAGTGACGTGCCACATTGTCAAAGGGGGGGTCTTCGCCGGATGACGCTACCATCGTGTCAGGTTGACAAGGCTGCCTTTCTTGATGAAACCGACACCTGCATTGTTGGACTTCAGAGTCTGCCAGATCTTGGTCTCAGTCTCGCCCAGCGTGTAGCCCTCTACGTAGGTGCGCAGCGTCAGGTGCTTGTCGAGAGCCCGAAGGTGGGGCTCAAGAGACTTGAAGTCGCCCGCCAGAGCGGCTGGCAGGGCCTGCACCTCCTCGGGCTTCATATTGAATCGTTGGTATAGTACAATCGAGTTTGATGACAGGGGTATCGCCGAAAGAGTCGTGGTGTCTCGTGAGTCGAACCGATGACTATGCCGAGTAAATGATATTTTGTGGCGGGGTTGAAAATTATGGAGGGGTAGGCCGAGCCATTGCTGGGTGAGGTAGCTACAGAGCACTGTGCTACCCCGCGCACATCAGTCTCAGTAAACGCATATACCGTCGATGCGTATATCTTTGACTGATCATGTTCGTTCTGTTTCGAGAATCGCCTTACCACCTGCATACATGAAGACCCACAGATCCTCACCGACGCCTTCATCAGCTGTCATCGAGCCCATGTCGTGCTTCCACCCACATATTAAATGAGAGTGCACAGGCAAGATCACGCGACTGCCTTGCGTTCATTGCTTCTTGAGATGTCGTCCCTTGACAAGCACAAGCACAAACCCCAGCCAACACTGATAAAAAGTCCCGCTGAGTTGAAGATTTGATTCCACTTGACAGACCAATGGCATGGCAATGATTGCCTCAGGGAGCCGCAAATTTCGATATTTCTAGAAAGTGACATGTCTCGATTCAAGCCACATCTGACTCGACAGAAGTTGTTCAGATGACTAGAAGACTAGAAGAATACAAGCCATATACTGGACTTCTCTGATCGGCGTAGTCCTTAGCGATGGGCGTGCTGAGACTCGTTACTAGACCCGGTCATGGAATCATCTTGAGGCACCGACCTTGGCGGCGGATACATAGACGGCTGGGTGACCTGAGAGCTAAGCGGGACGGTCGAGGGTGAAGAGCTCGCTGTATAAGATATCTTCAAGTTCTTAGATGTCTGGCTGATATGTTACCCGCTTCTTTCAAGATGGTCAGACCGTCAAGGCAGTCTCGTGTAGTCAGAAGGCTGGGCCGCCCGGCAATCCACGTACCTCCGGTTTGTTTTGGGGTCTTGCACTATTCTCTAGCAAAGAAGAGTTTGCCTCGAATTTGACTCCGCGATCTACAAGCCGAGTAGGAAGCCTCATTGATGAGATCTTGCAATGACGACCACATCAGCTTGTTGTTTTACCCCATGACCACATGCACAACGGTCAACCTGGCCGAGTAGTCGGCAAAGCCTAAGACACCAGGTTCACAGGTGCAATTACCCACGAACTAAATGGGCGGTTCCTCTCGTCAAGCTTGAAGGATTGGTAAAGCACCATCAAAAAAACGGGCGACTTCTGGTCTTTGACGAAGCTCTCCATGTTTCAATCATCGCGAAACAAACCGAGTTAAACCTGATGCTGCTGACTAAAAATCCCCTTTCACTATTGCACAAACCTGGTCGCATTCCGATAAGATAAGAGCAGCTCGTCACGAACGCCTGAATGCTCAGGCGTTCACAATTTTCTTCGTCTCCTGTCGTGCATTGGCGATCGAGACTAGAGCTTCACGTCGAACTGCAAGGTTGGTCTCGTGTCCTCCATCTCCCAAGCGTCCGTCACCACCACGAGCCATGGCCACCTCCAACCAATGCCTTGCCTCGATGGCAAGGCTCTCGCTTTCCGCGGCGACAAGACCCCAGGCATCCGCCCTGCCGCGATTCCTCGCCCCAGCCGTAACGCAGACGCGATGCGCAAGCAAGAACGTTGCCAAAATCAGGGAGGCAGCGAAGAAGGACAAGAAGAAGAAGAAGCTGAACAAGGACTACAAATCTTACGACCCGACCAAGTTTCCGCAATTTTCTCTCTGCGACGCCATGAGGTGAGACGCTCCTGACGTGGGCTTGTATCCCAAGATACTGACATTACGCAAGGTACCTCCGCGCCTACGAGGTCGGCCGCTCTCCCACTCACATCAAGTACGAGCTTTCCGTCCGCTTCAAGACGCCTCGCAATGGACCCTCCGTCAAGGGCCGCATCCGATTCCCCAATCCCGTCAAGACGGGCGACGTCCGCGTCGCCGTCATCTGCCCCGACGACAGCGAGGTCGCCGTGCAGGCACTGCAGGCCGGTGCTGTTCTCGCCGGCCAGGACGCCATTTTCGAAGCCATCAGGAACGACAAGATCAACTTCAACCGCCTGTTGTGCCACAGCGCGTCCGAGGCGGCGCTCACCAAGGCTGGGCTCGGCCGCATCCTCGGTCCCAAGGGTCTCATGCCGAACAGACGCATGAAGACCATTACGGACAACGTCGTTTCGGCTATTCGCGATAACACGGGTGCCGACACGTACCGCGAGAAGATGGGCGCGCTGAGGTTGGCGGTTGGACAGCTGGGTTTCACGCCAAAGATGCTGGCGGCAAACGTCAAGGCATTCATCGAGAGCATCAAGCAGGACGTGGAGAAGCTGGAGGGCACCCATAAGGAGGTTCAGGAGGTCGTCCTGAGCTCTTCGCACGGCCCCGGCTTCAACCTGAACGGCCTGTTTGATCCGACGGACGAGAAGGTGACGCCGGCACACCTGTCGCAGGTCATGTAAAAGGTGTTCCCGTGTCGGGAGAAGCGCGAGGTGTATAATATGTCATAGATACGCGTGTATAAAACGATGTGGCATGGGGAGGCGGGATCTTCTAGAGTTGGGTATCATGTCTCTCAATACGCTGTTAAAGACCATTCCTAGTTTCCCTTCAGAGCCTTGATTGCTTCTGCCTCGGCATCCAACAGCCCGTATAACCCGAGGTATTTGACAAGCCGTGACTTTCCCTTGTCCCCTGCCTTGCGCGATTCCTTCAAAGCAGCGTTGAGATCGAGGAGCAACGTGTTGCGACACCTCATCATGCGTGACTCGATTTTGGTGACAAAGGGCGTATTCCTGCCTGTAACGTCCGCCAACGCCTCAATGATGCAGTAATCGTGCGCCAATCCCGACAGTTTGGACGGGCTGGTCCCCACAAGTCCCGTGTACACCTCGTCGTCTTCGGCGTCGGAATCCTCGCTCGACGCAACACTCCAAGCATCGTCGTCGTCAGCGTCGTGCGCCGGCACCTTGCCCGGCAGGCTCGCGACGGCCAGTTTCTCCTCCAGCGCAGACACCCTGTCGTCGAGCTCCAGCATTCGCCTGCCCATCTCAACCTCCTTGCGCACGTCGCCGAGCTCTCCCGTCAGGCTCGCGGCCTCGTCTTTTCTCGTCCGCACGCGGCTCTTGATCTCTTCTATCTGCCGGCGGAAACCCAGCATGGCGACCTTGACGTCTTCAACCTTGTCATCGCCGCCGCGCAGCTCATCGCCGAGGGAGAGGAAGGCGGTGTAATTCGAGTTGACGAGCTCGAGGAGCTCGGCGCTGATGGCCGCGCTGCGCTCGCGAAGGTCGCCCTTGAGATCGTCGAGGGTCTGGTGGCGATGGGGGAGGTTGGAGAGGTAGGACGCTGGGTCGAAATCGGCGGCGAGAAAGTCTGAACGCGGGAGCGCCTCGGGGAAGGGGAGAGGGGCGTCGTCGTCTTCTGAGCTGTTGGAGGAGGAGGAGGAGGATGCCATGTGGAAGGCCGCGGTCGGGGACTTGATACCGAGGCCGGTCATGGTGTCAGACCGTTCGGAAGGATGTTGAGTTTGGGGATCGCTTCAATGGATCTGGGAGCGAATTCATTAATCGGCTGAGGTCGCGATGAACGGCCTGTCGAGCTGTCGGGTTGGAGCTTGGAGCTTTCGAGAGACTACTTTAGTCTGGAGGTGTGCATTGGTGAGGGGCACTTCTGTTAGGCCACTGTGCACGCTATAATTGGCATGCTGGAACCCAAGACTGTATGCAAGACGCTGGGGGGAAGTGGGGGCAGCCCAGCTGCCATCCACAATTGTCCTGACCCAGATGCACGCCGTCGCGGGAGTGGCTACGTCAAGATATGCAGACAGTGTACATGTAGCTTGCAGCCTTCGCTTGGTGACGGTTCAGCAGAGCCTAGATCCTTGACGATCTTCAAAGTGAAAGTGCCAGCTACGCATTCCAGGACGTGTCAAGAATGTTCCTGATAGTCAGTCGGCGTGGCACCACATCCTACCTACTCGAGTTGATGTCACGAGAATCCCGATGGTCTTGATTCCTGGATGAGCCTCAGCCAACCTCGAGGGGTAGCCCGACATATCGGAATAACGCTCACAGGATCGTTCCGTTTAGCCATGTCGCAATGTTTAGTTAATATGCGTGTCGAACTTGACTTACACGACATACAACAATCTGGTGGTATCAGAGATGACCTGGTCGAACTGCAATACATATGCGTAGCTGGCTTGAGAATACCAAGCAGATCTCTGAGCCATACTTTTCGACTCACAAGCCTGCAAGATACTCTCGTAACAAAGTGCAGAAGAATTGAACGCCGTATTGTCGACGAGGTGTCTTCCAATTGTAAGGTCTCGAAAAGGCTGACATTCGCTGGGTCTAGTAGCTATTGCAACGACTCCTGCTAAGTCTGTCTGTATATTCATGTCAACTGGTGTGCTTGATAACATGCATGCGTCCTTGGCACACGACGTCAAATCCAGGTCGGGGAGTATCATGCTATCTGCACTGCGACATGATCGTGTAAAATGAAAGAGCCGAATCGGCGGCAGTTGAAAGCCATGGCTGATTCCGGGAGGAATGCAAAGAATAACACTTTTCGTATGAAGGGAACTTGGGTGCTGCGCAATGCGATTTTTACGTCAACTACCTGGGCCAGGTGATGCTGCCCTGCTCACTACCTTGAGCACATGGTGAGCGGCCCCAAACTCTGCGTCTCTGGCGGAGTTAACAACGGACTGCGATATTCTCAAGTCCCCATGTCCATAGGTGGCGCACATCACCAGCCAGAGGTGCTAGCTGTAAAGTCACCTTGGCAGTGTTCCATGTGCGCCAATTGCTACCCAAAGTCCAGTGTGGTCAACTGGCGTGTCTCCGCGGAAAGAAGGGCGCTTGCTGGGGATAAGGCAGCAAGATACGCCTGGGCCTGGGTAGAACTTTGAGGCTCAGCAAAGTCCAATCATTTGATCTGATATGTAACACTGTGTCGTCCGTGGATCCTGGCCCCCTGTTTGATCGACGAGCGTTGTCATACTGCCATCATCAGGTCGTGTTGGACGAGCGACAGCAGCTCAGTCAGGCGGCGGAGTCACAGAGGACGCGTCAGAAGATCACCAGTGATAGACATGGAGCTCGCTCGACAGCGTAATTAGGGCACCTAAAGTGAGAAATCTGCCGCACGAGGAATCCGCGCCACCAGCGCGCGGCCAGGCCGTTTCCCTGTGCCCCCTCCCGAACTAGTACGGCCTTCCGTTGTTGCGGTGAGAGTTTCGGCCTTCGTCCCGGCATGTGGACGTTCAGCTTTGCTTTGATACCGCCGAGCACAGGCTCGGAGTTCCACTTGCACACGATGTAATGATCAGGACGATCTTATTTTGCATTTACACCGAGAGCAGGATCCAGGCTCACAGTTCCGCGGACAGTCCCGCGCGAATTCGCCGCATTCTGCGCCTGTAGAATATTGAGAGCTCACGGAGAACACACCCCGCCGTGGCCTTGATCCCCTACTTCGCCCTCGTCTTGAATTCGGCCCCCTCTGCAAGGGTAGGCGCCGAGCGGCTGGGCCCTGATGAGGGGTCGAACAGTTGAACCTCGCAGCACTAATCGAATTCAGTGCCATCTAGTTCTAGCTGCAAGTGGACCGATTATGGAACGAGAACAGGCGGATCTTGAGGTTCTTGTTGGGACAGATTCCGGGGCCTGTCCGATGTCGCTCCATTTCGAGAGGGGCGGAAGCGAATGGCTTCTCGGATGCCGAAAGCAAATGCATCGGACCATGATGAGACAGCACAAGAGGGCCAACCGGGCGGGATGCCCTTGGGCGTGGAAAGGATGTAGAAGCGTGTGAAAGGTGTGAAAGGGGGGGGGGGGGAGGTGGGCGGGCCAATGCACCATGCACAAACCCTGGCGGATCCAGCATGGTGACACAGGAAAAATTATCTTATCAATCTAATCAAAATCTCCTCACGATCACAAGATATGATTGGTAGGCCGCATCAGCCCTCGGCTCAGACGCTCCCTAGGCTCTCCGGCCCCCACTCTTTGGCCAAGTCACTGAGTTTGTTACGAAAGTCACTCGACAGTCTTCTCGTCTGTCTCCTCTCGTCCCACTCAACAGAGCCAAGGCCGCGCCAGGAGCCACCTTGCGCTGGTGCTGGCAGTACAAGGTGCCCATGCCAGTGCCAGTGCATCGTCCACAGCGTAGGACGCCTTTTGACGAGTGATCCTGAGGAATGCCGCAGGTACCTTACCTTAGGTAGGTAGGTAGGTAGGCAACGTAGGCGTGCCCTGTCCCACCTGGAGCGCACTGGAGCACCACCAACCACAACAATGGCCTCCCTTATATGAGGACCCCTACGAGCGCACCAGCGCCAACGCCAGCACTGCGTACGTCCCCTCTCCGTCTGCTCCTACTCAGCATCTCACGTACACACATGCATTCCTTCCTTCCTCATACGGCCGACTCAATGAGGAAGCAAAGAGTCGTCATGCCGTGGGTGAGACGGACAGCCAATGGTAACCAGCTCAATTGGAAACACTGGCAGGTTTGGTCAGGGGAGAGCCAATTGCAATCAGCTCATTCCAGCTCTCCTCAGCAGTGTCCTCTTGACGAACTGCGGGGGCGTTCCAGACGGGAGATCCAATCAGTGAGCAGATCTGCTGCTTCGGCAGCCAGCGATGGCGAATCGTTACTTGCATCTCCCCTGTCGTGCACTAGACTGTTCCTGTGCATGTTTTCTCAGGAGCTGGTTCACGGCCTCACAGGCCAAAAATGAAGTATCCAACTGCCAAGCGAGTTGGTTTACTTATATCTTTAAGGCAAAAAGAAGAGTGTTCCCCCGAATGGGGCTCTGAACCTACGACACCCACTGGCCGACCGACAGACATAACCGAGAGGTCGATCTCTCTCTCTCTCTCTGTCTCGCATATATGCATGTACCCCCCAGCCACGGCGTGAGAACGTGAACCAACACAGGCACACACACTAGCCAGGCGTATCCCGCTCAAACGTGCTCACCTCTTGTTACGACACGGACAACGCTCGACCAGATGGCCGTACTTCCGACCTTGAGGGGTCGAAAGAAAACAATACGTCTTCAACATCTCCCATCTCTTCTCCTTCTCGAGATTTTCTCGAGATTTTCTCCCAATTTTGCTTCCATCCTCAATGATTCAACACACGCCTGCAATACTGCGAACCCCACCGCCGCCGACAGTACCCGACCGCGTGCCCTGCCCCTCCCCTCTCGTGCCCCATCCGTCTGACCCTGCTGGGTACCTCCGAGGTACTTACCGCCCGCTCCGAGCTACCTCTGGACAGCACTAGCTGCTGGGGTGCGATATCGCTGGGGACGAACAGCCCACCAATCCGGCAGAGAAAAGGCCTCGTTTCCCAGTGCCCGCGGCCCGTGATGGCCTTCGCACCGTCATCCATTCTCCCCTCTTCGACCTGGCCTTCGACCTCGTCTCTGGCATCAACCTCGACCGCTTCGTCTCCCACTGGCAATCCAGGCAGCCACACACGAGCCTACTCCTTCGCACAGTTCTATCAGCAGCCGCATCACGACGATGCGCGACGCCGTTTGACTTCAACAACAACCCCGAGATCCCAGCACGGCTCAAGCTCGGCTTCTTCGAGTCCCGCATCCACATACTCATCGCCTTCCACCACAGCCTCTTCCTCGTCCACACCGGGAGCCGCCTCCTCATCGTCGGCATTCCACCTCTCTCTACCGCCGCCAACCCATCTGTTGCCACCCATTCGACCGGGTGCAGGCTACTTTCCCTACCTGCCACCCACCCCGCCGCCCCCAGCTTCTCATCATCCCGACCTCACCAAGATGTCCATGTCATCCGTCATCAGCCCCCAGTCGGAGGTGCCCAAGATGGCAGGCTCCATGACCTCGAAGGAATGGGTCATCCCCCCTCGCCCCAAGCCCGGCCGCAAGCCTGCCACGGACACTCCGCCCACAAAGCGCAAGGCGCAGAACCGAGCTGCACAGAGAGCCTTCCGCGAGCGCCGAGCCGCCCGCGTCGGCGAGCTCGAGGAGCAACTGGACGAGCTCAAGGAGGCCCACGACAAGAAGGAGGCCGATTCCAAGGACCGTATTCATGAGCTGGAGATGGAGGTGCAGTCCTACAAGTCTCGCTGCGATGTGCTCGAGACCATGCTCGAGCGTGAGAGGCAGGACCGCGTCAAGGCCGAGACGGCGCTTGATGGCCAAAAGAGGAGGTGGGAGCGTCAGGCTGCTCTGGGGCAGTTCCAGCTGCCCACCCAGCGCGGTTCGCACAGCAGTGAAAACCAGCTGTCCCCCATCCACCAGACATCCATGGCATCGCAGATGCCCACGCCTGAGGACCCCTCCCCTATGGACACCACAGGAGTCGATCTGACTTGCGGTTCCTGCGGCCCCGAAGGTCGCTGCGCCTGTGCTGAAGATATTCTGAGGACGGTTGAGTCGGCCGACTCCCTGGACGATGCCATGAATGCGGGCTCCTCAGATCTCAAGCGAGCACCTCCTTCGCCGGCCTTTGCCCCGGCCGACAAGCGTCAGCGTTCCAACTCCCACGCCGGTGACATGGCCAACGAAATCGACTTTACGTCCTTCTTCAAGAAGCAGCCTCAGATGCAGCAGCAGCAGCAAATGTCCTCAAACCTCGTCAAGGATCCCTGTGGCTTCTGCAAAGACGGCGATTACTGCATCTGCGCCGACACAGCCCTCAACGCCGCCCCTACGTCCTACACGGCTCCTGCCCCCTTTTTCCAGCAGACGCAGACGCCGCCACCCTCGGACAACGATGTCGTGCCCCCTATCCCCATGGAGATCAACTCGGACGGCGCCGTCAAGCTCCGCCCTCGCCCCCGCCCTGCCGCCGCCCCCGTTGCCGCGCCGGCTCCCACCCGCGGCTGCGGTCCCAGCGGCCCCGGAACCTGCGCCCAGTGCATTGCCGACCCCATCTCGGGCCTCTTCTGCCGCGCCCTCTCGGCCAACATGAACAAAAAGGGCCAGAGCCCCGGCGGCGGCGGCGGCTGCTGCGGCGGTGGCGGCCGTGACGGCGGCTGCTGCAAGACCGGCAACACCACCCCGCAGCTCCCCAAGCCCTCCGCCCTCAAGCCAGGCCTCGGCCTCAGCCTCAGCTGCGCCGAGGCGTACCAGACCCTCTCGAGCCACCGCAACTTCGACAAGGCCACCGACGACATAAGCTCGTGGCTGCCCAAGCTGCGTGCCGCGCCGCGCATCGGCGAGACGCTGCCGGAACCGACGGCCTCGCGGCTGCCGATCGAGGTCGAGGCCGCGAGCATCATGAGCGTGCTCAAGGACTTTGACATTCGCTTCGGCCGGGGCTTGTAAAAGCTGGCACGCGCCCCTCGGTGCTTGGTCTGGGGGTTCGGTTTCTTGTGTGTCTCTCTCTCCCCTACTTCGGCGTACGCTGTAGATATGATATCCATGAACTGGGAGATTTGGGGTGAAATGGAGGAGGGGGTTTGGCAAAAAATAAGAAAAACAAAGCAGAGCGGTGGTCCGTCCGTCTACTGTCTTTTTTTTTCTGGCTGGCGTTCTGGCACTGGGTGTGCTCTCTGTGTCTCCCAATGGTTGGGACTTGGGCGTTATGGTTGAAAGGTTGATTGTTGATTATCTGCATCTGCTGCACTGAAGCATTGGTCAGTTCCGCTCTTGTGGGTGGCCTCCATAGCCTGTGATTTTTAGTTTTATTTTAGGGAGGTCGGCGGGCGCTTTCGCCTGCTGAAAATATATGTTCCCTGTACTGAACGGCGCTGGGCTGGATCACTTGTGACATATCTATTCCCAGCATGCTCTCCTGAGTAAGGTACTTGAGCATGACCAACCATGATAACTTCTGTGAGCACCTCAACCCACGTCATCATCACGAAAGAAATCAGACTGCCTGACATTTGCCCTACCATCAGACAACAGGCTTGAGCCTAGGGGAAATAGGCACAGTATCGCGTAAACCAAGCCTCGCGAGGACCCCATGTATACTAGCAGGCAGCTATCCCATGGTAGTCATGGGCTCTCTTCGCAAGCTACACGGACCAATTCACGCTCTTCAGAACAGCGTCGAGTCTGTCAGTTTGTCAGTCTTGACCATAGAAGCACGCTTAAAAAAAGAATCAAAATACCTCTTTAAGCCTTTGGTGATGATCGGCCGCTTTTGCGTGTAAACGAGACGAAACTTCCCAGCCTCAAGAGCATGCTCCTCCCCCGGATGCAGGAAAACCCCACCAGCGACCAGTTTCTCAGCCAGCGCAAACTCTCTCTTCTGCGTGGTATCATATACCTCGCCTTTAGGTGGCAACCAGGGCGCCAGATCGATCAGCACAAAGTACCCCGCATTGGCCTCGAGATACGATATTCCAATCTCTCTCAACCTGCCCGTGACAAACTTGTATGCGTCGCCGATGCGTGTTCGGGCATTGAGTATGAAGGCGCGACACCACTCTCGGTCCTCGAACATAGCCGTGCCGATGGCGACGGACATGCCCGAAGGTTCGTGAAACCGGCCGACAGCCTGGACAGAGCGCTGGAGCTCGCGATTCTTGGTGATGAGCGCCCCCAGACGCAGTCCCGCGGCTGCAAAGTCCTTGCTCGTGCCGTACTCGACGTGAACTAGGTTCGGGTCGATGAGATTCGCAAGGTCAATAGACAGCACCGATGTGAAGGGGTGCAAGCCATGGCTTGAGTCCGTTCCGGGGCCAAAGACTGAGAGAGCGTATACTTCATCGCTAATGAGATGGAGCTGGTGCCTCTGACAGAGCTCGAGAAATCCTACCAACGTCTCGCGGGGGTAGCAACGACCCAGGGGGTTACTTGGATTCACAACTAGCACCGCCTTCACATTGATACCGTCAACCTTGGCCCTCTGCAAGGCATCTTCAAAATGAACAATGATAGAAGGTTCAAGCGCTTCTGCAGAGGCGGAGTCGGCATAGACCACTTTGACGCCCATGGCGTTGCCCAGGTCTAGTTCGAAACGACCATACACAGGGCGTGGGGCAAGGATGGCATCGCCCTGCTCGGCTAGGGAAAAGGCGAGCATGGAATGAAGAGAAGTAGCACCATTGGCAACCTGTATATCCGAAGGCGAGATTGGGGAGAATGGCTCGAATGTCTCGTTGACATGTGTTGCGAGAGCGGCAGCGAGGCGGGGTCCGCCAAAGCTGCTGTAGCCATATGTGAAGGAAGCAGGCGGAAATTCTACCTAAACGATGTTAGGGTCGGTAAGAACTCGCCTTGGGTAGAAACTTACCTTTGAAGAAAACTCGGCGAGATCATCGTACATCAAGGGGTTCTCAGCCTTTGCAAGAGAGATGATACCTTCAGGATTGGATTCGGCATCGAACAGATCCTTGGCGGCTGGGGTAAAACGCCATGGGATGTCCAGTTGCGCCAATGTTGTGGCGGCCCGAGTCGATAACATTGTTTTCGCATCCAGTCCCTGGCTGTACAGAGGGAGGATAGTTCTTTTGAATGATCATGCAGTATGTGCTCGAGGTTCAAGAAACAGGCCGAAGAGGTAGCTGGCACGCCATTATGTGCTCACAAACCAGCTCACTGACGACGAAGCGGGGCAGAGGTGTCAACCAGCATTTCACCAGCCCTGTAAAGCCTTCTAGGAATAGAGCCAGCTATCTTGTGAGCACACAAAGTTGAGCGGCGATCCACATCTTCTCGAGAGATGAGACGGACACGCGCGATAACAGGACCATTGCTGGATGAGAATTGCGTTTGCAGAGCAACAGCTCTAGAAAATGTAAACTCAATCTCAAATGACCGCCTCGTGACAAAGCACGACTACGCCTGGCCGAGGACTGTTACCCTAACGCTTGTCATCACTCCTGACAACTGTCGAGATAGTGACCGTCACAGCTGCTTCCTTCTAGCGGCCGCTACGAAGCAAGCACATGCCTGTTAGGATCTTCGGGTAGGGCGTACTGGGTAATAGAAATGCAGCCCATCCCGATATCTTACAGACATGGTACAGGCATCGAAGCATGTTGCCGCAGCCGATGCTCTGCGTTCGTGCAAGGTGTGCGCCAGTACAATGGGTCAGATGATACACAAGGCGCGTTGATGGTGTCCGGCGGCATGTCTTGGTAGGAGCGCAGTCATCCTAGGCACCTTTGCTGGAAAACATGCGCGACATGAAGATCGCAGTTCAAGCATTACAGACAGGATGAAGTCTGTGAAGCCAGCCTGCGCCTGTCAATATCATGCCACGTGGAGCTGCTCTCAAGTAATCAACGTCCCGCGGGCGAATTATCCAATTCAGGCGATGCCAGTAACAAGGAGTGCTGGGTTCAAGATTCAACACAGGAACAGCATGTGACCCATCATTTCCCCGTTGGCCATTCGATAAGGAGATGGGCAGGAGGGTGCGTTAGGGACGAGCATGGGTGAGCGGTCCGCCAGTCTGACGTGCATAGCACGATTCACTGGAAGATTGGAAGGTTTGTAGATGACGAAGATTCTCTCATGGCTGGACGGGACGAAAATGGAGCGGGTGAGGCAGGTGGAAGGGGGATCGAGGGTGACGGACGAGGATGATCAAGCGTCGTGAATGACATTGTGTGCTGGCTGAGCCATGCCTCAATCAAAAAGGCGGCCTGCCGCAGACCAAAGAGTGTTGCGGGACATGGCCTGTCCGAGGAAGAACGTCGAGGAGAGACACACTTGGAAGCATGAAGCCCGGCGTTATTGGCGGGTCCAGTCTGATGGCGCAGACAGGTTGGTGTGCTGGTTGGGCGGCAGGGGTGGGTGGGCTGGGTCGCGGAGAGTTGAAGGGTGTGTTGGCATGGTGGCCAGCCTCGTGGACGATGCAGATTGGCTGAGTGGTCGAGGGGTGCGGTCGGAACGGGACAGAGGGAGGTCAGTGGTCGCAGGGTAGAGGTTGAGGGGCAGACGGCGGAGACGGTCATGCCATGCGATGCAGTGCCAGCTCAGGGAGGCAGAAGCAGAAACGAGACACCAGGTGCTCCTGTGTCCAAGACGGGGTCGCAGGAGGAACGAGTCGCTGGGCGGGTCGAGGGAACGGCGAAGCGAGCCGGCTGTGTGCTGTCGCTGCATCTCATCGTGTTTGTCTGGGAAAAGCACAGATGAGACGTTGACAGATTGTGGCCGACCACCGAGTTGTCGTAGTGGCAATCGGAATCACCAGCACACCAAACCAAGTGGCAAGAGGCGCGTGCTGTACAGATCGATAGGCTGACGTGTGAAGGTGTCTAGAGTGCATCAAGTCAGCTGAATGTGTCGCCGTCGGCGTCCTCGAGTAGCTACATGTCTTTGCCACAGACAAGATACGACTGATGGAAGTTGGGAAGACAGCGAGGGCACCGAGGATAATGGGCGACGCGACCTGAGATCCGTCCGGAGGTTCGGCCGGTGATGAGCAGGCCGTTGGAGGGCAGGAATCCTCCCTCTGTCCATGTTGGGGAGGGTGTTCGGCTGTTGAGTGGAATGGACGGGAGGGGCAGGCAAGGGGGGCGTTCCCGCCCGATGCCAGTGCCAGCACAGGGTCGCTAGGATGGAAGTTAGCGCCCACGACACACCCCTGTTCAGGGCAGGTTTTGCCCAATGCCCAATACCAGTGCTTCCTTCCCACCACAAACCCCCTGCTGTCCACGTCTCCAGCCACTGCAGGTTCTAACCTAGAAGCCGGCTGCTGCTACCTAGCTACCTAGGTACCCAGCTTGATGCTTGGTGGGTGCTTGCTGCTTGCTGCTTGCTGCTGGCTGTTGGCTGCCTGTCCACTCACTGCCTGCTCGTTGCGCGCCGCGTGCTGCTTGTCAGGGAAGGCGAGGCACGAGGGACCAATAGCCTGGCATTGCGCCTGCCAGGACGGATGACCGACAGTCCAAAGACCGGCCTGACCTGGTCCGGGACGCACTGACCTGTGACGCTGTTGAGCCATGGCGGCGGCGATGGCAGCCACGATGGACCTTACGGTCCTGGTCCTGCCCCTGTTGTCCCTGCTGCCAGCCATCCCATCTCGGGTCAAGGTGGATCATGAACATCCACGACCCTCTCCAGCTTCCAGTTTCCAGTTTCCAGCTTCCAGCTTCCAGGTCCTCATCTTCCCCCCCTTCGTCTTTCCACACTTGAAAACACCATTTACCTCGTTCACCGTGCCCTCCGATGACTCGTCTTCAGTGTGTCGCCAGCTGACCGTTGTCAACCTTCTCCTTCCTTACCTCTCCCTCCCCTTTCTCCTCCCCCGCCATCCGACTCGCTCGCCCTCCCCCGCCTCAACCCCGATCACACGATCGCGACGTCGCCCGCACAAGATCGTCCCACCAACTGACGCTTTTGCCCAAATAGCCACTCTGACGAGACGCTTAAAGTCGTGGCCTGGGACGATCCGACTGAAAACCATAGTCCGTTGCCTTTAGTCGCTGCTTCAGCGTCTTCTTTGCGGTCCACCACCTCCATGGGCGCATAATGATTTCCATGCAACGCTCCCTCTCGTCGCCCGTTCGCATACATTCTTCCTCAGCTCGTATGTCCAGGCGGTCACACTAGTGCGCGGGACAACTACTGTTGTCATCAACACTCTTCTCACTGCTACCCTCCGCGCCGTCCATCTACCTGGACCACTGCTAACCTGCGCCATTCGTTCCTGCAGCCCTCTCCCCCGACGACGAGAAGCTCCCCACAAGCGCGAACTCGAGATCGCCGACGCCCTCGCTTGACGACCATGCCTCTTTCTCCCGGCGCATGCGACGCCCCTGCTCGCCGAGCCCCCCGCCAGTTCCCAACATCAATGTTTCGCTGCCTTTGCGCCGCAATGACGACGCACCAAGGCGGCCTCTCTCACAGCAGTATGGCGCGACAGCCAGCGCCAGGAAGCCAGTGATTGCTCAACCCGTGACGCCCTCTTCCACATCCCCCGTCAAAGCTGCTGCTCCCAAGACCCCCCCGTCTGTACCTTCTGACACCGGCGCTGCTCCTTTTGCTCCGAGTCTTCTTCCAGAGTTGTCTCAGTACTCGAGTCCGTTCCAGGCACACGACAGTTCCGATGGCACTACTTTGGAGGAACTCGCCCACCTGGTTCGATTATCTAAGTACCAGGAGCGCAAGCGCGCCAACACTAGGATCCGTTTGCAAAGGAACCTGATTTCGACTGCTCTGTCTGCTCGACTGACTCGGTGTGGTGAGATTGCCCGCAGGAACCTAGCAGATTGTTTCCGCAAGGACGACAAGAAAGTATTCGGGCTCCTTTTCAACGCCATTCACGATGTACGAAAAAGCTGCGATGGTCTCCGTCAGTACGCTCTTCTGGAACCCGAAATGGATACCTTGTCCGATAATTTGGAGGCTTCCTCAAGCACACCTGTCTCTGCTGGTCCCTTGGCTGCTGTTGCACCATTTCTTAACGAAATACCGGCCTCAGCAAGGGAGACGTTTCTTAACTTTCTGAACCAGATACGGACCAACCCGGATTATCTAGCTACTAGGCTTTGCACCCTGACCACCGCTGAACTGAATGCCCTTACCAGCTTCCATCAAGTACTGGAACCTATCGAGTCTGTCCTGCCTTTCCATGGTCGACCCGCCCCGCGAACCCACGCATCCGGCAACTCGAGTCGATATTCGACGCAGCAGAACACGGCCATCGAGCGCCTACTCTCCTTTCAACGGCATGATCCTCTATCGGCTCTCATACATACCTGCTTCGCCAACTCGGCTGGGCCAGACAGCGCAGAGGATCGGAGACGAACTGATATCTGGGCAACCGCCATGGCCAAGCTGATTACGGATTCCAGGGCGAACAAAGTCCAAAGCGAGCACATGCTTATTTCTGTCATGAATGTCTGGACGACCATGCGTGACTGGGCCGGAAAATCCAATATGGAATGGTATCTCATGAAAATCTTGGAAGACGGCGCTTTTCTCCTGGACCGTGCCGAGGACCAGCACGGGACTCGCTTCAACCTTTCGGATTGGACCCCCAAGGATAGCATAGCTGCTGAGGAGTTTTATGATCGAGCTGTCAATGAGCTCTTTGACATTGTGGACGATGAGGATGCGACGGGCATACCTGAGGGTCTCCTCGAACTCGGTAATGCGATTCTGCGGCGAATTGACAGCAAACTGGTCGACAGTACCAGGAATTGGTTCGTTTGGAAATGGCTTTTTTCCTCTTTTCTCCTGCATGTCATCATTCACCCGGAAAGCTTTGGTATGATGGCCGACTACCACATCACAGAATACGGCCGCCAAACCATCTTGAAGAAGGTTGCCCTGAAAGCACAGGAGCTAGTGGTGAACATGACGTGCTACAAGAAAGGCACCATGTCAGTCCCCGCGAAGGTTCAAGACCATGTCGACAACATTTTGGGCCGGTTCAGAGGGGCTCGGCCGCAGCGGCAGATGGCCAAGCTCCTACCCGCACGATCCATCACATCGCTCAGGGAGACTGTTGAAGTGCATCCCTACCTGGTCATCAGCCCTGCAGATCTAGTCACTCTAGTCAACGCTCTCTTTCCCGAGCGGAGGCCAATGTCAGCCCACTCCAGTGGGCTCAGGTCTGGTGCCCCGTCAATCTCAGGCATGTCTGGCATCTCGCAGCCCATATCGATGGGTGGTTCGCGCAGCAACTTCGAAACGACATCCGTACTCAGTACCAGTGCCTCTTCAGTTGTCAGCGATGCAACGACCTCGCAGGGAACTGCCTTTGATGATCATGGTGCGGGCTCCCCTCAGCGTTACTCGCCGCCAGCCCTGGATTCGGCCGCCCAACAGCGACTCAATGGCTACGAAGACGATGGCTATCGCCTACGCTTCGCCCTTCGGGAGCTGAGTGCCGCTCTTGGCATGGAAACCGTCCAAGGCTCATGCCACCCTTGTGCAGATCGTTGGGCGGTACTATTCATTTCCTCGGACGGCAACAGCTTGTCTACGCAAATGACATACGATCCCGAGGACGAAATCGAGGAAGAAGAGAACTCGTCCACCAGCGATACGGACGATGACGAAGACGATGGAAGACCGGAGCTAGACAAGGACTACCACCAACTTCGTGACTCTGTCTTGAAACTGGTAGAGGATTTTGAGATCCCACAAAGTAACGAGCCAGAAGCAAACCGGGCACAGTTCAGTAACCGGGCCACCGGCATCAAGAGATACCGATCGAAGAACAAGGTAGTTACAACTGAGCGGTCAACGCCGAATCGGAACCCATATCGCGGGCGAGACGCCGGTCAGGACATTAAGAGTCCAGCACCCGAATATTCTTCGGGAAACTCGAAAAACGACGAAGAACCAGCGCCATCCTCAGATTCTTCTTCTGTACTGGTCGCCATGCTGACGGCGGCATCAGCACAGTCGCGAGCTCAGTCTGATTTCGTGTCCGCGCACCTGTACTGGAAGACGCTGCAGCAGCTCAACGCTGTCACTGCAACGTCCCTACGTCGTGATGGATTTGCTATACTCTTGAATATCTTCTCGCGCGGCCCTCGAGATTCAATACGTCGATCTGCATCCGGAATTGAAGAGTACGATGCTTGGCTTGTTTGGCTCAAGCAAAGCCAGGAAAGGCACGAAGGTCTCATTGATGGCATGATGAGGCGCCTGCGGGCGCTCCGTGATAAGATGTGGTATGTCTCTGACGTCCGCACCTCAGCACCCTACGAACACACCCGCAACATTTGTGCAGCTTTAAAGACAATGGGTATGCCTCGTCGATGGGGTACATTTCAACGCAACAGGGCGCACTCGGCTCGTGGCACCGCCAATTATCTCTACCGCACCGAGTCACAGATCATGGATCTATTGTGCGCCTCAGAAGAGCAAGGTGGGCCGAATAAGCTCAGCGACGACCAAGCTGACAAGACATCGCGTTGGTTGGAGCAGGCTGATGTCACAAACTTCTGCCGCGGTGAGGAGAGAATCCACAGATTCTGCTGCGAGGTCGACACATGTATTTCCAAGCTCGTCGGCGAGTCCATTATGGATGGGCCTGTCCTATGGTCGAGCGAATTGTACCTGCGGGACCGCAAGACGCTTGAAGGGTTCAAAGGCGGTCGCGATAGGGAGCCGGGCTGGGGCCATGGCGCAGACGATGCCGCAAGCATCATCAGCGAGCCAGAACGCAGGTTCAACATTCACGGCAGATCGGTTGCTATGCCCAGGGATCTTAGGAGCATGTCGACGCACAATGCAAGCCAGCAATCATTCGATTCAGGAAGCTATCGATTCTCAAAGGCCAGCACGGCTCTTTCAGATATCATAGACGGGCAGGACTATTTCGGCGCATCGTCGCCCGTTCACACTATTGACTCGAGCTCGACATTCTGGTCGCCCTTTCAGTCTGCCATCTCCCCAAGCACTGTGGCTTCGAGAGCACACTCGCCTACGACGAGCGTGACGAACCTGTCAAGCACATTCCATGCTCACGGCCAAAGTGGCCCCTCCTTCTCGGGCCAATCTACCGGACGACCTGGAACCTCAGCGTCATCAAATGAGACAGTTTATCAGCAGCGCCTGTCCGAGGAGAAGACACGGTTCTTTACCGATCTGCGGCAGACCCTGACCAGTCTCCTTCTTTCGGATCTGGGCAACTTCGTCTTTGCATCTGGCGCCGAGACTGATGTATGGTTTGAAAGCCTAGGCCAAGAGTGTATCGAACGACGGAATGCGCTCGACAGGCGGGCCAAAGGTCTACCGTCTACACGTGGCAAACTTTCGAAGGCCTCAGGAAAGCCACGCGTGATTGAGAAGAAAAAGAGCTGCGGGGATCTAAGGAATGCTGGGGAGACCGACAAGAGCCCCGAGACGACCGAGACTGCGAGCATTCCAGGAACCGACAGTACGACCACACCAGTCGATACGGCCTCCACTCGCCATCGTCCCATATTGAAAGACAGCACACCCGAGTTCCCCTACAAGAAGGCGTATCAGCGCCTGTTGCGCATGTTCTGCGTCCATCCGAACCCGTATGCCAAGCTCAACGCTCTGTATGAGCTTGAGCAACTCATTCTCGCGTCCCTGGCCACGGGTGGGACAAAGCGATCACGGATGGGCTGGAACCCAGCCAGCCCGCACGTCCCTGATAATGACGGCAGTGGAGGATCCGGTCGGCCCACTCCGCTCGAGGATGACATGGATAATGTTAAGGAACGGCGCTCACATGCTCTGTTGCAGTCACCCGTTATTTCTCCAACGATTGCCGGATCGCTTCCTTCGCGATTTGGCAGTCTTGACACTCGGACCGTGGGAGTTCCAAATCTTCACACCGACGCTGTTGTAGACGTCTTGCGAACGCTCTTACGCGATGCCTCGATTCGACCCCAGACGCTTTTCAGGGACTTGCAATTCATCGCGGCTTTCGTTCATCCTGCTGTGCTCGACAAGACAGACAAAGGCAAAGCGTTTTGGGATACCGGGCTGGCCGCGCTTGGGCTCAAGTCAGAAGTGTGCAGGACGATGCTTGATGTGGCTGACGAGGTCCAGAAGGCCTACAGAAGCACGCAGGAGAGGGGCAAGGAACCCCACGCACAGAGTTCGGATTCGTTATCACAACCGAGCTCACCTGCTCCCGTAACAACGACTTACAGCCTGGCCGATGCAGGCAGAATGTGGACCGTTCTCGCCAAGGAAGGGGATACTGCCGCCCAACGTGAGCTTGCCCTCTTTTATCTCATGGACCCAGAATTGCTGGAGCGTACAACGCTGCCCCTTTCGAAGCCTCGCGAGGTGTTCAAGCAAGCCGTCATGGATAAGTATGGACGAGGTTCAAGGTCCGGCGCCAGGTTCTACCCCAGTGACAGGAGCCGATCTGGCACCACTGGCAATATATCTAGTTCGGGGCATGAGGGTGGAGCGGAAGAAGGAGCAACAGTGTGGAATGACCCGTCACTCATGTGTATCGCGATCCACTTCTTTCAAGCCGCCGAACAGGGAGGTGATGGTCCAGCCACGGCGTTCCTACAGCAGAACGACCTTGGTCTGAGCCGGTAACCATTGTTGCTTTCGTTGGTCATTTGCGCGACGGGATTTGTTTGCTATATTTTTTCCTCAACATTTTTAGGGAGTTTTGGGGCTCACATATTGGGGTTTGTTTGGGACATGTTTGGGACATGATATCACATAAACAGGAAATGATTCGAGAGATGGTCAAAGGGACCTCATCAAACAGATGGAATCTACCGACCAGCTGAAGAGGGCTGGTCGGCTGGTAGCTATAGAAGGCAGGTTTTGGGAGTTTTTCTTCTTGCTGCTTCATTTCTGCATGCATTGGGTTCCGATAGGATGGGTCATGGAGGATATACCATTGTCACAGGACATCTTCGTCATATATGGCGTGTCTACATAGGGGTAGGACAAGCGCGCGGAGGCGAATCAAGTTACTTCAACAGGTGTTGGCACTGCAACTTGATCAAGCACATGGCATGATATGTCAAAAGAGAGAGCCTCGTCATGCGTGTTTGACATTGAAAGGTATATCAAGTCCGATAGCACAGGCACGAACTATATCGGCACACAAGTATCCGTCGCGAAGAAGAGCGTTGAGCTCGAACCATCTAACATGCCACCCGTTTCACCCAAACCGCCCAAAATGCTTTGACCCAATGTTGAAAAGAGGGATACGCCTGATTCTGGAGCCCCATGCTTGCTGCCGACGCCGAAACACCATGAACGTGAGAGGGGCTGGGTGGGGGTTTAGAAAAAAAGCCCCGCCCCTGGCCCAAAAGGGAGAGAAAATAACCCAAAAAAGAATACCGAGTGTCTGTTTTCCTCGTAAACACGAGAACTGCCGATCAGGTCTTCTTGAGCCCCACGAGGCTGAGGAACTCGTTGCGCGTCTTGGACTTTGTCTCGAAGCAGCCGAGGACGCAGCTCGTGATGGTGCTGGCCGTCGTCTTTTGCACGCCGCGCATGACCATGCACAGGTGGCTCGACTCCATGACGACGGCGACGCCCTGGGGCTTGAGGACCTCCATGATGGCGTTGGCGACCTCCTTGGTCAGGCGCTCCTGGATCTGCAGGCGGCGGCTGAACATCTCGGCGATGCGGGGCAGCTTGGAGATGCCAATGACTTGGTTCTTCGGGATGTAGGCAATGTGCATCTGCAGCCGCGCGTGTGAGCTTTATTCTGGAGACATTGGGGTCTTTAGGTAGGAAAGGGGGGGGTGGGGCTGGTTACCTTTCCGGTGAAGGGCACGAGGTGGTGCTCGCACAGGCTGAAGATCTCAATGTCCTTGACAATGACCATCTCGTTGTGGCCCTCCTGGAAGATGGCATTGTTTACAATGTCGCCGACGTTCTGCTGGTAGCCCTGGGTAAAGTCGAGCATGGCCTTGGCGTAACGCTTGGGTGTGTCGACGATGCCGGAGCGGTCGGGGTCCTCGCCGACGCACTCGAGAATGGTGCGAACGGCGGCCTGCATCTTCTGGAGGCGCTCGGCGGCCTGGTCGGGGTTCTCCTCGAGACGTTCGCGCGTGCCTCGGGCTGTTGGGGGTTTCCCTAGCGAGTCAGTCAAGGTGTTTTACTTTTGGAACGAGAGAGAGAGAGAGAGAGAGAGGGCATGTCCAACGTACACGGGCGGCTGAGGCCGTCAAAGTCAATGACGGGACTGGGGGTGCGGACGGCGGGCTTGTCCTCCTCCTGCTCCTCCTGGAGCTTCTTCATCTTCCTGACGGTGATGTCCCGCGGGTCACGGGCCGGCTGGCTCAGGCTCGGCCGGCGCTTGGCTCCGCCGTTGGCGGCGCGGGCGTCGGCCTCGGCATGTCTGCGCTTCGACTTTTTGGAGCGCTTGCTGCTCTGGCTGGCGGTGTCGGCGTCGCTCGCCTCGGGGGAGGAGACGGCCGACTTGTGATGGTGGTGCTTGCGCTTCCTCGACTTGCTCGCCTTGCTCGAGTGGCTGCTCGCGGTCTCGGCGTCGCTGGCGCTATGAGGGGCGTCTGCCGCATCGCCGTGGCCGTGGCCGTTGTGCTTGCGACGCTGGCGCCTTTCGGAGCTCGTGACTTCGGAGCCGGCCATTGCGTGGGTGAATTGACAGGGTCACGAGCGGGCGGCGTGGTTTGGAGACAGGCTGTCGGGAGGGAAGGGTCCGACTCGGAGGGGGAGGGGGATTGGGGAGTAGGGGAAAAAATGGAATCATGACCGGGCCAGGGACTGACTCTACTGGATCGCCGGTTAATGGCGGACGGGATTGGCAGAGGGGCTGGTCTTATCTTATCAATGGGAACGCAGTCCAGAGTCCGGGGTTGACGTCAAATCCACCGGCTCCACTGCAGGGTCCGCGTGGGATGGTCCGTGCCTTGTCGGAGCAGTCCCGAGAGCCGATCATGTGATCCATGTTAGGTAAGCACTCTGTACCTCCCCCCTGTCCGAGCTCTCAGCCTCCCCCCTGTCAGAACTCTCAGCCTCGCAGCAACAAGCAGCAAACAGCAGCTACGACGGATGTAGCTCGACATCCCATATCCATCTCGAACGCTTAGTCTCTGAACCTGGCCCCCCATCTATACCTCGCCTTCATCGTCAAATCGTATCGATCATCACTCCGAGACAGCCACAAACACACCACGCGCAGCCGCCAGCATGGCTTCGCCCCCCTACGCCCAGTCGCCCACGGCCATCTCCCCTCCCTATCCCGCCCACACGCCACTGCCCGTCTCGAAGAAGCGCGCCTCCGACGGCGGCTCCCAACCCTCTCTCAAGCGGCGCAAGGCCTCGACTCTTTCCGTCTCCTCGGCGACCCACCCCCTCCGCCAGACCTCCTTCCCGCCCGAGGCGCGATCACCTCTCGCGCGCTCCCCCTCGGTCGACACAGCCAGTCACGTCAGCGGCAGCCAAGTCAGCGCGCCAGCAGGACCCCCGAAGAAGAAGCGCGGCCGCAAGCCCAAAAACCGCAACCCCGAAGGCGCCCCCGACGCGGGCACGCCCACGCCCTCGCTCGTCAGCGGACGCGGGGGGACGGCGGGCGGCGGTGCCGATGGGCAGAATGGCGATGACGGCAACGATGACGATGATGATAACGACATGCAGATGGGGCTCGTGGGCGGCGAGACGAGGACGCAGGAGCAGAAGCAGGAGGAAATCAGGCTGCGCGCCATGCTTGTCGAGTGCTTCGACGAGGACCAGATGAACCGTTATGAGAACTGGCGCGCGGCCAAACTGACCGACAACGTCGTCAAGAGGGTGTGTTTTCCCTCTTTCTTTCTTGGTCTGTTGCTCATACGTGAGCGACGCTTGCTGACGTGGTCCATCATCGATCGTACAGGTCGTCAACGCCACCGTCTCGCAATCGGTGCCGCCCACCGTCACGCTTGCCATCAAATCCGTGTCGAAATACTTCATCGGCGAACTCATCGAGAAGGCCATCAGTGTGCAGGGGGAGTGGATGAACGCGACCGGCGAGAAGCAGTCAGAGGTCGAGTTCCCCCCGCAAAACACAGATCCCACCGTGCGCGGCGACATCAACCGCCTCAGCGAGAAGGACAAGCGTGGCCCCCTGCGCCCGGAGCACCTGCGCGAGGCATGGAGGCAGTACAAAATGTCGGGCGAGAGCGGGTGGGTGGGCACGCAGGGGCTGTGGCACGAGCAGCAGAGCGACGGTGTCGAGCGGTTTCCCGTGCGGACCGGCGGCAAGCGTATCTTCAAGTGAGGGCCAGGGGGCTGGGCACGGACGGACGGATCGCTGTGCAAGGCGTCGCCTATGTTCCGAGTGTTTTCTTCTTCAAAGACAGACGGGAAGCAACTTCTGGTACAAGGTTCAGGGCTGCCACACTGTTGCGGTCGATAGGGATACGACTTTTGCATGATACCCATCTCAACTCGAGGTTGAGAATTTGAGCTACAAACCGGCGAACAATAGACCATTGCCACTTCAAGGAAACACGCTGGTCAGCGTCCAACACGTGGTGATACCGACGGACACAGCCTGCCTCACGTTCAGCTCATGTTGGGGCATTGCCGTCCCCTCCAGACAGCATGTGGTTTATGTGAGTTGGCAGCCGCCAGGTCGTCATAGCAAACGATGCCTTCATCTCAAGTGCATTCGCTCGTCGCGTTTGGGGACATGCACCATGACGAGGCTTTCTGTTTGCTGCCGGATGTGGAGACGCGAGGGCGCGAGGTCAGAATGTTTCAGAGCTGATACTCCTTCAGTGCGACGCTCTCAACTGTATGCGATGGCCTTGAAGCACGTTATCACTCAATCTGGCAATGTCACTCGACCTCTGTATGGTGCACAAAAGCAGAACAGAACGCTACAGCTCCAAGCCGGCCGAGGCACGGCCGCACACCCTCAGACCAACATCTGACCCGATAATCGATGAATATCGCCACGAGAGAAGTCGAAAGAAAAGTTCGACATGGCCCCAGTTGATCTTCGATCGACGGCCGAGCGGGGAGGGGGCCGGCCAGGAATAGCACGCTGCACGGCTTCGGATGCCGGCTGGGTGCGCATCAGGAGGCTGAGCCGCACGAGGAGCGTTTCATCGACCACGTCCGAGCGGAGTATCAATCCTCACCACTGCTTCTGATTTCAGTGGTCACAAAACGCATCTTCGACATCTTCTAGAACGGCTTCCAAAGAGGTCGTTGGAAGGACCCTTACTCTTGTTCAATGGTTTTGGCTGTGGTGTTGATACCGACAAAGAGCAAGGGTTGACTTAAGGTTTACACCAGCGGAAAGCTTCACCACGACTCTCGGTCTCTGATATAATTGCCTACCTACTGCCTGTATATAACGGCCATTTGCAGATATTGCGCCTTTTACGAACCCAGAAATGGAATTTCCATCCGAAATTGTCGTCCACTCTGTCGCCCCGTGAGGCATGAGGGGCTGCTTTGTCGTCCGTCGGCCCAAGTCTCGAAGGGGAGAAACGCGGTCGTGATACGCCGTCCACGGTCCTCAGCAGTCGAATCAGCCCACATGAAACCCAGGACTGGATAGCATGGTCAAGACCCAAGGCCGCAAGCTCATCCCCGGTCTGTGCAGAGGGCAGAGCCCGCTTCTCGAACCTTGCTGGCCCTGAGACGCTGGCAACTAAACAAATCTATAAGCACCGGCGTCCCCTATTTGCTTTTTTGTTTTGTTTGTCCTCACCTTGCCACACATCACAGACCACACTCTTCCTCTGTCCATACATCTTTGCCATACCTCCTCCACCACCGGAACGAAGCACGATACACATACGCACACACACACACATACACCATGAAGATCACCACCCATCTCACCCTACTGGCCATGGCCGCCTTCGGCTCCGCCGTCGCGGAGAAGCCGACGCCGGTAGAACGTGACGCTCCGGCCCTTGTCGTGCGCGAGCTCGCCATTGTGACGGGCGTCATCAATCAGGTGGGCACGGGCATCGCCTCGCTGGATCAGGCCGTGCAAGCCTTCACGACGGACCCGACGCAGCTGCAGCAGGCGTCGCAGCAGCTCATCAACACGTTCCGGCAGGGCGCGACGTCGATCCAGGGCAGCACCGAGCTCACGCTCCAGGAGACCGTCCAACTCCAGCAGCTCGTCGGCAGCCTGCAGACCAACGGTCAGAGCCTCGTGCGGAACCTCCAGAACAAGAAGCCCGCCTTCCAGCAGGCCAACCTCTGCGACGTCGTTCGCGCCCAGGTCGGCGAGGTCACCACCGGCGCCGGCAGCCTTATCGACGCCATTGTCAGCAAGGTGCCCCAGGCCGCGCAGCAGATTGCCGCCCAGATGGCTGCTGGCTTCACGCGCGCCCTGCAGGAGAGCGCCCAGGGCTTTTCGTCGCAGAACTGCGTCAACGCCGGCGGTGCTGGTGCCGGCGTCGGTGTCGGTAACGGCAACGGCAATGGAAACAACAACAACAATAACAACAACGGCGCCATTGGCAGCACGCCCGTGACCAACACGACGCAGCCCGGTCAGGTCACCAACCCCAGCGGCCTGCCGACCCAGGGAAACGGCGCTTCGGCACAGGCCTTCAGCGTGGTGGCGGCGGCGATCGTGGCTTTCGGTGCAGCAGCGGTCATGGCATAGCGGGGCGCCGGGTCTATTCCTCTCTTGTTCTTTCGTTTTTTTTTTGTGGCATCTTTCGGGGGATATATCAAGGTTAGGAATGTATCGGTGTTGGTTTTAGTCATTGCGTCCTTTTCCGGTTCATGGGCCAGCGAATCTGCCTCCCCGTCTGCGACGGGGGGGGGCCTTCATCCTCATCCTTCTACGCTCCCCCTGAGTGAAGTGACCGTCCTGTGATGTACCCCGCTGGCCTCCTCCCTCGAGGCCGTCCGAAAGACCGAAGTCGACGAGTGGTTTCCATGCGCCGTGATACCGTCCATCTGCACACCCGGCCCGTCAGCAGCAGGCGACTCATCCTCCCCTTCTCCGCCCTTGCTCAGCTTGCCCCGCATCCACGGTCGCAGGTTATACCAGCCCCCGGCAGCAAAAACACCGATCCAGAGGACCAGCTCGGTCGCGTAGATGACCATGCCGAGGACATCCAGGCGCGGCTGGAAGACGACGGACGCGAGCGAGAAGACGTCGCCGAGCGCGTCAATGCCGACAAAGAGGAACGATATGCCGCGCACGGTGCGGTGCGTCCAGATGTCCCAGTAGTGCGTCAGCACGCCGGCGGCGAGGAGCACGGCCGAGAGCACGGCCATGAGCGTGAGGGGCCACTCGGTCTCGGCATGGCGGGCGATGCGCAGGGCGACGATGAGGGCCGCCTGGATGCCACCCATCAGGGCCGCAACGGGGACGACGACAGCGAGGGCGCGGGCGACGGTCCATTTCTTCAAATCCAGGTGAGTGACTATGAAATCCAGAGACGATTGCAGCTTAGATAGTGGTGATTTACCCTCTCGTAATAGTAGCACTGGATCCAGGTCACCAGGCTGAGCAGCGTCAGGATCTGTGGCTGGATGCGCAGGGCAACATTGAAGTCCTGGACAATGTTATACACGCCCAGGGGGACGCCGGCCCAGGCCCACAGCATCATCATGGAGGGCTGGAGGCCGATGGCGTGGTGGCGGCGGTAATTGATGACGATCTGGGGGATGAGCTGGATGGACCAGCAGACCTGCCAAGGATGATGAGCGCTCCGTCTTTTGCTCTGTGCCCAGGTTTTTGCTGGTACAAATAGGATTCACATACAGCACCAAGAGTCCCCAAAACATTCGCTGCTGCTGGGGAGTCCATAATTGGTTGTCGAAGGTCGTCGAGACTGCCTTGAGAGATGCTCAGATGTCGATGTGCAAAGGTCGACGTGCTGCCAATCCTTCTTTTAACGGTTAGTTCACCGAGGTCGTACAGTGCTATAATTTTAACATATTCATACTGTATTGAAGTGTCATCACGTTCATAACTTATTCCGTCTAATTCGGAACCATTTCCACCCTGATTTTCCCCTTCCTCATATGGCATCTAAAATCCTACACGCTCGAGCACGAAGCCAAACTTGAGGGGCTCTGTCTTGACGAGCAGGTCCTCACGCGGACCAGGACCGCACGCGGCACTGCCGACACCAGCCACGCGAGCATCAAGACGCAGCAGCGTCGCATCTGCCTCGACGAGGTCGCACGGGTGCTTGGCAAAGTGAAGAGTGTCGGCCGAGTAGTGACTGGCACGGAAGCTGAAGTCGCGCCATGACTCGTCGGTCCACGCCGAAGCGTCCGAGGGCGTCGCGCGGAAGCCACGGCCGTGGCCACCCTCTGTCAGCGTTACGTATCGCGTCGCCATGCGGTTGCCGTTTTCCTGCGGCACCTCGTAGTGTGTCTGCAGCTCAGGCACCGTGGTGCTGTACACGCCGACGCGCTGGCTCGTCTGCTTGTCAGGGTACGACTCGTCGGGGCCGAGACCGAGGTACTTGACCTGGCTGAGCGCCTTGGGAAGGTGGAGGTTGAAACCGGCGCGAGGAATGGTCGTCGGCATGCGGCCAGTAGGCGTCAGGTCGACATCGACTGTCAGCTTACCAGTGGCGCTGATTGTGTACTTGGACGTCGTCTCAAAGCCCCAGGCGAGCACAGGGGGGGACAGGAACGTCTTGGTGGAAATCTCAACCTTGTCAGCCGACTCAACAATGTCGAGAGAGCGCAGCTGACTGGTGAGCTCGTGCACGCCAAAGCGCTTCCAGTACACGCAGGCGACGGGTACATCGTTGTCCGTGGGGGGACGCCAAAAGTTGGGGATCAGTGCGGCACCTGTGGCCGGGTCCTTTTCCAGGAGCGTCTTGTCGCCAGCCGTCCAAGACACAAGCAGACCGCGAGCGGTGTCAAAGACGAAGGAGAAGTCGAGGCCGGAGATGGTAGCCCGCGCACGCGTCTTCTCCACCGTGAGCTTGGAGGTGAGAGTGTTGAGGGCCGCGGCGGACGCGGGAGCCTCGGCCGAGGAGAGCTGGTGCTGGATCCAGGCAATCTCATGCGAGGGCTCAGCCCAGTTTGTAGACTCTTTCAGGCGGAAGGAGACGGTGAGGAAGACATCCTTGGTGGACTTGATGTTCGACAACGAGGCGGGAAGGTCGACCGATAGGGTTTCGCCGGCGGCGATGGCAGGGATCTCGAGGCTACCGGCAGCAATGTGCGAGGTGCTGGGAGGAACAGTAAGTTAGCGCTTGCATGGTGGAAGAGTTGGGGGCCGGGCATTCAGATCACTTACCTCTCACCAAGCTCTTCAATCTTGTAGGTCGCCGACAGGTGTTGAACACCAACAAAGTCGTACTTGTTCTTGATGACGAGCTTGCCTCCCTCGACTGATAGAAGAAGGGGCTGGTAGGACTTCTTGAGCTGGACAAGGCCAAGGGTCGGCTCGTGGGTGCTGTGCAGCAGGCCGTCCATGACAAAGGTGCCGTCGTTGGGGAAGTCGTCAAAGTCACCACCGTAAGCATAGTACTTCTTGCCATCGGGGTCCTCCTTCCAGATGCCGTGGTTGGCCCACTCCCAAATGTAACCTCCCTGGAGGCGCTCGTTGGCTTCAAAGGTCTCGACGTAGTCATCGAGGGCACCGGGGCCGTTGCCCATGGCGTGGGCGTACTCGCAAAGAACAATGGGCTTGTCCCAGCTGCCGTCCTCCTTGACACCCGCCGTCTTCATGAGGTGCAGCAGCCTGTCAATGGGAGGGTACATGTACGAGAACATGTCGGCCGTCACTGCGTCGACGTCTCCCTCGTAGTGGATGGGGCGCGTGGGGTCAAAGGCCTTGCCGTACTCGTACATGGCCTTGTGGTTGTCGCCGTAGAAGGCCTCATTGCCGAGAGACCACATAATGATGGAGGAGTGGTTCTTGTCGCGCTGAACGAGCTGGACCATGCGGTCGACATAGGCCTCCTTCCAATCGGGGTTCTGGCTAGTGTACTTGCCCGCCGGCGGGAAAGTCTGCTTCTTGCGCTCCTCGTAGTCCCACTCCTCGGGAATGTCCAGAGGCCGGGCAATGCAGTCGTAGAAGCCGTGCGTCTCGAGATCGGCCTCGTCCATAACCCAGAGACCGAGCTCGTCACACATGTCGAAGAGCTTGGGGTGCGGCGGGTAGTGCGAGCATCGCAGAGAGTTGATGTTGTGCGTCTTCATGAGCAGCAGGTCCCTCTTGATGAAGTCGAGTGGAACAGCACGACCGAACTTGGGGTGGTGCTCATGACGGTTGACGCCATAGATGCGGATGGGCACGCCGTTGACGCGAATCAAGCCACCCTTGAGCTCGACCTTGCGGAAGCCAATGTTCTGCTGGATGGTGTGCGCACCGAGGGTGATCTCCACCTGGTAGAGGTAGGGCGTCTCGGCAGTCCACTTCTTGGGGTTCGAGACGGCCAAGTCGAGGTCAATCTTGGTGTCGCCGCTCTTGACGGGAGCATCCTTGGTGGTGATGACGGCGCCGCCGTTCTTGGCGAGCTCCTTGAGGGTGATCTTGAGGGTGTCCGACTTGGAGGCCGTGACATCGACGGTGGCCTGGAGCGTGGCGTTCTCGTACTCGGCATCCAGATCGGTGCGCAGGAACCAGTCGTCGATCCTGTCCGTCTTGGGGAAGGCCAGGAGGTGGACATCGCGGAAGATGCCAGAGAGCCACCACTGGTCCTGGTCCTCGATGTAGGTGGCGCTGGACCACTGGTAGACCTTGACAAAGAGGTCATTGGGCGCATCGTGCTTGACGAGTTCGGTGACGTCAAACTCGGACGCGTTTCTTGACCCCTCGGCGTAGCCAACAAGCGCGCCGTTGACGTAGATGTGGTAGGCGCTGTCGACGCCGTCGAACCTCAGGCGCAGCTGCGAGCTGGCGTCCCAGGTCGAGGGAACGTTGAAGGTACGGCGGTAGACGCCGGTGGGGTTGTCTGTCGGGGCGAAAGGCGGGCAGACGGGAATGGGGAAGACGGTGTTGGTGTAGTGAGGGCGACCGTGGCCCTGGAGCTGCCAGTGGCCGGGGACCTCAATGGTGCCCCAGTTGTCTTCGGGCACATCCTCGTCGCCGGGCTGAGGGGACTCCTTAGGGCACGAGGTGTAGGAGAACTCCCACTGCCCGTTGAGGAGGAGAGAGGTCTCGGGAATGTGGTAGGAGCGTGCAGGGAGAGTGTTTCGTCGGAAGACGGCCTGGTGTTGCCAGTCTGGGGTGCCTTCGATCTCCTGGGGGGGGATGGACTTGGGAGACATTGTGACGGCACTGCAGGATGAGGAGGATGCCAGTCAGGTTTCGTTTGAGGGAAGAAAGGAGAGGAGGAGAAGGAAGAGCAAGCTGGAGCTGGAGGGGAGCGGGCGAGAGGTTGACGGATCGGGGTATTTATCGGTCTCTCATCGCCATGGTCCCTCGGCTTTGACTAAGGTTGGTAGGACCTGGCGTTTTCCGTCCCGGACATCGAAACCAGACCACACCGACACCAACCAGTCCATGACTAGCTAGCACAGCCGGGCTAGGATGGAGCAAAAGCGCATGGATTTCTTGACGCTGTGTCGGTGGGCGGGAGGTTCGTCACGTCACGTCTCCTCCTGGATGGGGCGGCTTGCCCGTCTCGCATCTCGTGTCGGCGCCATGCCGGTGTTTGCTGCTCTCTCGTTGGATCGTGGGCTCTGCGGTCACACCCCCATTCATTGTATGGAGATGGCAGTGGAGAGGAGGATCTTGGAAACAGGCGTGACAACTTGGAAAGCGATCCTTGGAGGGGAGGGGCATGGAGAGGGAGGGGCAAGAGACAGCTTGGGAGAGCTCCCCCCATGTTTCCCAGTCGCAATCCCAGTTCCAGCCAGATCCTGGTTCGCGGGGCACTCTTTCTTTCCCCTTGGCTGGCGCCAGTTTTGGACCGTGTCGAGCGTGTCAGGAGCAACAAAAAAAAAGGGCAGTGACGTCCCTCCAAGTGGGCAGGTGGGGGTCCCCCCATAGCTCTTTGCTCTTTGGGGCGCTCTTGCGGGAAACACAGGCCGTGCGGCGGCGAGTATGGCGCCCAGGAAACACCGTGTTTGACGCTGTTAGACGCTGATTCCCTCTCTGGCACTGCCCTGGAAGCACAGTGCTTCCTGTCCTGGTGCCCCGCGACGCCCCCGCAGCCCCGCGCCTGGCCCATCGCACCTACTTCAATCATTCTGCCCAATAATGACAAGCCTTCTCCAACAAAGCATCCCCACCCGCTCTCTTCGACCGGCTCCGGGTGCCCCGTCTCTGATCACGGTGGGGCTACACTACTGGACCAGGCTGCTTATCCTTCAACACCATCCCCAGATTTTCCTGTCATGGCCATGTTGCATCGCCATAGCATCGCCGGGGGAGCTCAGCCGGCAGTCCCCATCCTTGAGATCTACCACTCATCCGGGGATCACTGGCCCGAAACGCCCATGCTTACCCCTGCGTGCGCCCGAACCGAGTCTGCCGGGCTTATATCAAGGGCCCAAGTGTCCCGTCTGGGCTGCTGATCCGTCTCGACTGAGCCGGTCGCCGGCTGCCGCCAGTCTTATCACACGACCATTCATCCGACCCGACGGACCGTCTTATACCTGCCATGCGCAACGTGGACATAAGGACAGCAACTTGGCCGGTTCGGCATCATGAGCCATCTGGCACGCCCCTGACCTTAACAGCAACTTCGCAGCGAGCACGTCAATCAAGCGTCCACCCACACGACCCGACGACATGACCCGTCCAAAAGTCCAACCCCTTCCGGCAGTCTCAGAACAACCACCGGCCGACCACCGACATGCCTTCAACGCCCAGCCTCTGCAAAGGGGTGTTTTTTAACCCCCAAGCTCTTCCATCTAGGTGGTCTACAAAATTGCACCGTCATGTTCGAAATCATCCCGCCAAATCCCCAAGACCGACCATATAGACTCAACCAGCCATCCCGACACTCCCACCTCTGCTCGGCCTCTGCTCAAATGCTGTACCATGCTCGAACACCACTAGCCTCGGCAAGGCGCATTCCGCGTTGAAGGGCCATCTCGCACCCCCTATGCAGCTTGAACCCCCCGACGGGAAACCGCCTCGAAATCCCCATGATGCCTGTGGACTGCATGCGTTTGGCGTCTCTTGTGTTTAGAAAGTGGCCGAGACTCGCCAGCCCCCGACCAGCCTCAAAGCTTACTTGAAATCCCTACTCTAGTGAGGCCGTCTCTAGCGCAAATCCACGGCCTACGACTTTTGGCGAGAAAGATCAGGCGGTGCGTATCGAACATGTGATGCTGGCACTCGATGTTCAGGCTTGTGGCGAATATCTCCAATGCGATGTTGTGACAGAGATCCTACTGCAATGCCACGACTGAGCGTGCGCCTTTTGACTACGTCGACCCAGATGATTCTGAAATCCGTTGGAAAAAAATCTCGTCCCAACGGCATATACTTCTCACTCAGAGTATAACGGTACACAGGAAGATGACGTTGTAGGTAACATGTTCGGCTTTTGCCTATCTGACTATCAATCCATTCGGCAAATTATCAACCAGAAGACAGTTTACACATGAAATCGTTTCTCCAGCTGCTGCGTTTACCTCCCATCCGCGCACCTCATCATCTCGCACCCGTCGACGGCGTTGCTGCTGCGACCGACGGGACTAAAACTTTTCCAAACATGGAAAGTAAATAGTAAAATAGATAAACCCCATCTAAATGCTCTTCATGCAGAGACCATGTTTCCCGCTTGATTCAAAAACAGAACAAAAAGGACAAAACTCTGTCTCCTCGGCCCATCCCAAGTGACCGATGGAGGTTGGTATCATCTGAAAAGACCATCCACTCATGCCTCGAGATCGGCCTTCTTGTTGTCCGCAACGCCGTTGTTGGACGGCTTCTCGCGGAGCTCCTTCTCGCCGCTGCTGCTGGGGCTCGACGCCGACTTCTCAAAGTCCACACCACCAAGGTCGTAGTAGACACCGAATACACGAGCCTCCACGTCCGCGACGCCGCCCGTATCTTTGCGGGCCTGGCGACGGAAGTAGACGCGCTTCAACCACTTCCAGATCTCGATACCGATGAAGAAGAGGATGGCGGCAATGAAGACAACACCCCACTCCCAGGTCAGACCCGTGTGCTTGAATACAACACGGTTAAGTCCAGGAATGTAGTTGAGAGGGAAGACAGTGACGAAGCCGAAAACAACAGCAGAGAAGAGAACCTTGTTGCGGTAGACATCGTGCATCCACTGAGTGAAATAACGCTTGCTGCCGGGCACCATGCGGAAGAAAGACCGGCGCATGTTAACCATCTCCCAAGCGAGGAAGAGAGACTGCCAAGTGAGAGAGGCGAAGCAGGTAGCACGAGCGCGGAAAACGGTGTCGCAAGCCTCAGAGTAGTCGGCGTTACAGTTCTCGCCGAACTGACCATCACCGAAGCCAAACATGACGACGAGGAAAGATCCCATGCAGAGAGCAGCAGTCCAGAGGCCGTAGGCAAGCATGTCGAACAGAAGCTCAGGCGTGAAGATACCTTGTTTCAGCTGGAAGAGTGGTCAGTGTGTGCGCATTGCAATCTGAATTGATGTTTGACTTACGTTCTGGGGAGGACGTTCCATGATGTCGGGAGCGGCAATTTCGAAACCGAGACCCATGTCGGGAAGACCAGACGTGATCATGATGATCCACATGACCTGAACAGGAGCGAGAGGGAAGACAGACAGGTTGCTGTCGTCCTTGAAGGCAAGGCCGATGAGAAGAACACAGGCTTGGGCAACGTTCTGGGCAAGCACGTGGAGAACAAACTTTTGAATGTTGTCAAACATGCGGCGTCCCTCTTCGACAGCGTTAAGGATGGAGGCGAAGTTGTCGTCAGAAAGAACAATATCGGAAGCTTCCTTGGCCACGTCAGAGCCGGCTTGGCCCATGGCAATACCGACGTCAGCACGCTTGAGGGAGGGAGAATCATTGACACCATCACCGGTCATGGCAACGAAGCGCTCGCGACGGTGAAGAGCCTCAATCATGCGAACCTTGGTCTGGGGAGCGCAGCGTGCGACGACGAGAGGGAGACGGGGAAGTTGGTCGATCTCGTCATCGGTGAGCTTGTCAAAGTCGTGGGCAGCCATGACCATCGTCTTAGCGATGTCGGCAGCGATCTCGTTCATGCGGGTGGGCAGGATGCCGACTTCAAGTGCGATGGCGCGAGCAGTTTCGGGGTGGTCACCCGTCAGCATGTGAACACTGACGCCAGCCCTGTGGAACATTTGAACGGAGGGAGCAGATTCGGGGCGAGGAGGATCGTAGAGACCAATGAGGCCACGGAAGATGAGGTCCTTCTCGTAAAGGTTGCGGTCAAGGTTCTCGTGTCCGTCAACGGGGCCGATATCCTGCTTGCTGGCGAATGCGAGAACACGAAGACCGAGGCGCGCGAGGGCTTCCATGTTGCGGAGAATCTCCTGCTCAATCTCGTCGGTGAGGTCGGTCACTTGATCGCCAATCTGGATCTTGGGGCAAGAAGAGATGACACGCTCGACGGCACCCTTGGTGAAGAGCCAGTTTTGGTTGCCCTCGGCATCGCTAAAGACGACAGACATTTTCTTGACATCGGAATCAAAGGGGAACTCGGCGATCTGGTTCCAGTTGTTGCCCTCGCCGGACAGAACGAGACGGTTCATGTTGAAGCGAGAAGCGAAGACCTGAATGGCGATCTCAGTCGGGTCGCCACGAGCGTGCCATTCGCCTTCCTTGTTTTGGTGGACGGTGGCCAGGTTAGCCAGAGACGCGACGTTGAGGTACGTCTGAAGCGTAGGGTTCGAGTTGACCTGGCCATCAACATCGGAGAACGATTCGCCCTCAGCATCCTCACCCTGGAAGGAGATATCCTTAGGCTGCTCGACGCGGGAGGAGAGATAACCCTTGGTTGGGTTGAAGGGCTCGGTAGCATCCTTGACAGAGAAGGTGCCGACACCAGGGACCCACGCCTTGCGGACAACCATGTTACCCTGGGTGAGGGTACCGGTCTTGTCAGAGCAAATGTCTGTGAGTGGAGTTAGCTTTGTACGAGTCAACATCTTGTCATTGTGACGTACTGGTAACAGCACCGAGCGCCTCGAGAGACTTCAGGTTGCGAACGATGACGTGACGCTGAACCATACGCTTCGTACCGGCGGCCATGGTGATGGTGAGCACAACGACGAGAGAGGCGGGAATCATGGAGAGACCAGTGGCAACAGCGTAGATAATAACCTCCTGGGTCGTGTTGAAGTCGTTGGCAGCCAGAACGATGATGGCACAGATAATGGCGATACCGAAAAGAAGCAGAGCGAGCTGAGACAGCTTACGCTGGAGAGGGGTGCCGACGTTGATACCAAGGAAGACACCAACAGCGTCGTATGCAGTGAGAATACCAGCCTGGACGTAGCGACCAGGGCTGGCGCTGCCATCCTCCTTGCGCTTCACAGGACGACGACGGGAGCTCTTGCCGCGGAGGGCAGCAGCAATCTGACCAATCTCAGTGTACATGCCGGTCGCGAAAACGATGCCACGAGCACGGCCCTTGGTGACAGTCGAAGAGCTGTAGGCGACATTGAGACGGTCACCGGGACCAGTGTCGTCCTCAAAAGTCATGGAAGGCTCCTTACGAACAGGAAGGGACTCGCCCGTGAGAAGAGCCTCATTGGTCTCGAAGTTGACGGCTTCGATGATGCGGACATCGGCAGGGATAGTGTCGCCAGTCTTCAACTCGACCATGTCACCAGGGACAATTTCGACAGTAGGGACAGTTTGATTAGATCCGTCGCGGACGGCGGAGGCGGTAGGCGATGACAGGGAGCGGAGCGAGTCCATGGTCTTGGCGGCCTTGTATTCTTGCTGGAAACCAACGATAATGTTGATGGCAATGACACCAGTGACGACTCCACCCTCGATCCAAGATTCGATACCGAAGGAGGCAGCCATGGCGAGGATGAGAACCTACGAGCGGCCATGTTAGTTTGCTGTCGTGCATGGCCTCGATCAAACCTGATCCAGTCGAGGAAAAACATACCAGTGTCATGGCGTTAGCAACCTGAGCGACGAGGATCTTGACGGGCTGAACACCCTTCTCCTCGCCGAACTGGTTGCGGCCGTATTCCTCCAGACGCGCCTTGGCGTCAGCGTCAGTCAGACCATCTTCAGCATTGGCCTTCAGCTCGGCCACGGTCTCGTCAATGGACAAGCAGTGAGGAGGACGCGAAAGAGGCTTGTTAGCCTGGCCAGAGACGTGGTTGGCCACAGCATCCTCCTGTTCGGAGTTGTCCTTACCCATGGTCGGCAATGGGTGTTACGGCAGCGTAAATACACAAAGTTTCGCTACTGAGAGACGTGTATTCCAACGACGTCTTTCGAAAAAAGCGGGTGTTTGCGGTCGTGCTGCTTTTGTTTTCTTTCTCTCTTGGCGTGCACGCAATGGAATCAATGCCAATGCTGATGCTGTGCTTGGCTGGTTGCTAGGGTGAGTGTACCTAGCAAGGAGGGAGCAAAATTGTGGGAGGTGATGAGGGCGGCGCAAAAAAGGGCTTCGCTTCAATCAGGGAGACATGGAGAGGAACTGATGGTTTTCCTCGCCTTCAAGTCGGTAGAAGGCTGTCAGCCGGGTTCCGAAAGGGTCTCAGTCTCTGATGAGTCCCGTCCGATCCAGGGTGTCGTGGCAAAGCTCCTCATGTAGGGACGGCGAGTAGCCGACACTGTTGGTGATAGATTTGGAGGGGGGGTGGACTGCTTTGAAAGGGCGAGTGGGTGTGGGGGGGGGGGAAGTGAAGGAAGAAACAAAAGAAGTCGAGGCTCTGGAGGAAGAGAGTCTGCTCGAGAGGAGGACGAGAGGAAGAGAGAGAGGTGGGAATGGGGAAGATTAAGAAAGTCGAGACTGGGTTTGTAGATGTGGGAAACGCGGAAGGATATGTGGATTGATGAGCTCTTGGTCTTGGGGTCTTGGGGTCTTGGGGTCTTGGGTCTTGACGGTCTTGGTCCTGGTCGGCCTTGGGTGCTAGGTCTCTTCGCGTCAAGGACGATGAGCTCGAAGACGAGGATGCGCCTCCGAGGTGGGTGGTGCCTGCCCGTGGAGGGACCAACGTGTAATGTGAGTGGCTCGTTGCTGCCCTGGGTGGACTCGACGCCCATCTTTTTGGCCTTGGCGCTATGACTTCATGGTCACGATAAAGCACCTTGAAAGCCAGTCTCTGAGCCTGTCTGGGGGCATTGGACTGGCTGGACCCAGCCCACCTGCCTTCCTTGTACCTGACCCCCCGCAGGCGTGCTCTTTCGGCCCAATGGGCGGGGCACGTTGAAACTTTATTGGGGCCTCAAGGTCTTCTCTGGGGGTCCAGTTCGGGGTGTCGCTCTCCTATGAAGGGGGCTCAACGAGTCGACGACCGGGATGGGGGGCTGCAGATGAGCACGGACTTGACGGTCGCAGAAACCAAACACGACGTCAGCCTTGGCGGCTCTGCTGCGGAGCCTGTCACTGGTTCTTCGGCGCGCCTTGGTGGGGGGTGGCCGCCTGCAGCCCCACATCCGATCTTGGACGTCTCCTCGCCCGCTCCGGGTGTGGGTGGTGGGCAAGGAACAGAAGAACAAGACGTGCTGGGAGTGCGCCGCCGCCCACACCAGCGCCTGCCATACACGGCCCTGTCATACACGACCCTGCCATACTCGGCCCTTTCAACAGTACGCAGTCTGCCAACACGTCGCCAGCCTTAGCAACGACCTTGCGGCTGCTAGCAGGTTTTCGCTGTCTTGGAAGACCCTCAAAGTCGGCAGTAAGTCAGGGGCAAGGTCCCCAAAGTTGGGTTAGAGGGCAGGTAGGCAAGCAAGCCTCGGGTGGATTCTTTCGGATCCCAGAGAGACAAGATGCCAGCGAGGCAAGGCTGACCGCCAAAACTGCTGGCGAGGTCGCAAGGCGGAAAGGATGGAGGAGAAAGCACAGACAGATGGCATCCCGCCGCGATTCCGCCCGGGTTCTTCGGTTCCCCTCGTATCACACTCTCCTTTCCTGCCGCCGTTTCGCCAACTGATCACTATGAATACCTGGAACAATTCTCACTTTTAAGTACGACGCCTTCGCATTCGCCCTCGGATCAATCAAGTTCTCGAGGGTCCTGAACGCCACGCGTGCCCTTCGGCCACACGTTCTGGCCGACGCCGAATGTCGTGTTTCCGCTCGCTGCATGTCTCATCGGGCTTTCTCCTCCCACGCGGTTTCAAAGGGTGGAAGGGGGTTCATTTGGACTCCTAAATGCGAGGTCCTACATAGATGCAACCCCAACAAATGCAAACGACTCCGGCGGTTATGAACCCCCTAAGCTTCGGCTCCATTCCTCACATTCTCCATTTCCGAACGAACAACACTGGGATGCAGCACAACAACATCCCGTTGCTTCCAGGGATGCAGCAGTCATCAGACTTGCATGCCTGATGGCTGCCCAGCGCACAACGAAAAATGAAAAATGAAAATAAAATACAATATTCGTTCTGCGACCCCTCGATCTCCGCATCCCCAATCATGACCATCACCAGAGCGAATTGTTGCCTTTGATTGTTATTTCCCCATAACCCGGAGCCTGCAAAGGCCCCAACCAGACAAGCAGGTCAAAATCGGTGCGTTTCTGTTGCCTCTCCTCTCCTCCCCTCCCCGCTCCTGCTCCGCCGGCTTCACTTCCTCCTTTCTTCGTGTCATTTCCATCCCGGGCGATGCTCCGCTCGAGTGGGGCCGCTCCTCTCCTCCGGTCGTTCTCGGTGTTGGCCTGGAGTGTTGCTGCTTCAGCGCGCATGCCACTAGCGCTGAGGACGTGGGAGCGTGGCCGTCCCTGTCGAGCGATTGGATGATCGGAAAGTTGAGAATGAGGTCTGTCGAACAAATCATCCACCACCTTGATAAGGGGGCCCGCCCTGCCTGGGTGCTGCCGCTGCCACTGCCGCTGCCGCCGCCGCCGCCGCCGCGGCCATGGTGTCCTGTGCTGGGTGCCGCCTCAAAGCTTCCGAACCGGTCTGGATTCTCGGCAGTGGGCCCTGGAAATTGAGGCAGTGCAAAGGAAGGGTGGGAAGACAAGGAGCCGTAGAGAGATTTGGCGAGTTTGGCACGCACAACCAACATTGAGTCGGCAGCCGCACTCCACTTTTCCCCATCTCTGCATCTGCACCTTGACAGAAGCGTCGTAATCCAAGTCGTTGCGTGATTGCGGAGGCAGGGTTCCTAACTGGTTCGCGGAAGGCTTGTGGGATGGTTGACCTGCCTGCGGGGTCTCTCAGATAATGGCTGTCGTCAATGAACACACTCCCTTGAGATCGCACTACCACAACTCTTGGGGACATGGGCAAGATGCTGCGCCATGTACATGTAGAGCTCGCATGCTATGATGTAGTGCCCAGATGGGGCGAATGCGGCGGGAGAATAATCATTGCACACACACCAATCCTCCCATTCCGTAGATACGAGGAAGAGGACATGAAGAAGTCGACTTGTGGTCCTCGAAGTAGCCACCACGCATGATGGGCTGCCGAGACGATGGCCAAAAAGGACCTGGGGTTCGATGGGTCGATCGAAAGGGGGTTAACTTCATCTGCAACCCGCATCGCATCGATCCTCGCTGCTCCTGGCTCTGTCTGCCGGGTTGAGTTGGGACTTGACCTGGGTCTCATGGCGCTACGATGGGTCTGGCTTAGCGCGAGCCGGCCGGACGGCGCCAAGAGATAACCTTTGCAGGGTGCGTGTCAGCGACATCTTGAAGCGCGGCGCTATCACAAGCACTACTACACGAGGCAGGCGGGGTTAGCTGAAGAACGCAGCCAGTCAGAGAGCCCAATCAGCAAGAGCCGTTGGGTGCGCTGGCTGGGTACGCTGGGTTGGATGCTCGTGCCAAGACGCTATGTTGATGAGATACGCTCACAGAGTCATCTTGCTCACCTCGGGCCTGTCGCTACGCTGCTGAAGTGGCGGGGGCGGATGTACAGGTAAAAGTGATATGTAGTCACGCGGGTTACTAACGGCGAGACCGGAAGTTCGAGCACTGGTCATGAATCGAAGGAATACTTGGCACTGGCTCTGAGAAGGAACATCAGAGCACGTGCTGCAATGAGTGGCAGTAAAACGTCCCCCTCCTGACCCTGAAGAACCCCCCAAGATGGCCGTGGCTCCATTTTTGGTGATTCGATGGGCGGGTCGTGCCTGCGACCCCGCGACAAGCCATTGTAGCCATTATGTAACGGGGGCAGGTGGTAAATCTCGGTTTGAGCGTACCTGCCCAGATTTGATGGAAGTGAAAACGACATCAGAGACAGTCATAGAAGATCGGTCCAACATGCACATCCTGTACCACAGGATCCGGGTCCTCGGCCTGTGTGAACGGTCTACTAACACAAATCTTTGAGGCCCCGCAAACCGAGGGGGGGGGGGGGGTGAATACTGATTGACGAGCAGCGACCCCAAAAGTTTACGCCAATCAACCCAAGCCCGTGGTCTGCAAAATCATCCTCCACCCATCGATCCCATCGCGGCATTGCCGTGTCCTCTTGGCATGGCCATGAAGGCGAACTCGGCTCGATACGATGTTGAACCAGCACCTCAATGACTCTCTGGCACCTTGCCAGCCACTGGCCGAGCCTCAACCTGCAAGACATGCTGCTCAGGTGTCGTCATCCGGGAACATGGGTGGCAACTACACGAATTGCTGGCCTCAGCCTAATGCCTCCTCACGGGTGACGCGGGCGGCCCTCAGTCCCCACGGCCGAAAGCTTCGTCATGATGCCGCATGACCGGGGCATAATACCTGGGTTGACCCAATCGTCCGTCCAATCGAGGGTCCTGGGAAGAGACCCAGCGAGCGGCCAGCCTCCCCGCCCCCTTCACCGAATGTTCCATGGAAGCATGGAAGGCTAGGTACGTACTCGAGGAACCCGTCAGATCAGCCTCTGCCATGTTTGTTCCAGACTTCCTAGCGTGGTCGGCAACTCAATTCGATGGGCAATCGGTGAGATAACCTTAACACGACCGCCTTTCGAAGCACCTGATGCACCTCGAAAACCTTTCCCACCGTGTATTTCACCTCACGAGCACATGCACGGATTTTCTTCAATCAACGGCACACCATTTGCAGCCCATGTCGTAGTCATCGGGGGCAGAAATGCGATGTCTTTGACGGATGCACCACCCCGCGGGATGGTCGCTGCATCATGTTCCATCACGTCGCGATCTGCCCCATTAGGGACATATCACTGGTCTGCGGCGATAAAGGGAAGCAGCCATTTGGGCTTCAGTGCGGGGTACAAATGGCGACACATGCTGTCCCTTACGGAGGGGCTGATCCATGGGGCAGCCTGAGTGAAGTTTTTTTTCACGCCTCCTACGGCACAGTCACATAGATGAGCCGACCACAGCATATGGTACCCCTCCCCGTCGCTGTCGATAACCCGTCCAGGAAGGTCGGGCCCGGCGATTTGTCGAATGAAAAAGATTTCTCTTAGTCAACGAAGCGATGTGAGCCATGTAACAATCGTCTGAGACACAATCCCCACATGTCTTTTTCCTGACCTACCTCATCCGCGACGACTCCGACCGCGACGCATCGTTAGACCTGGTTTATTGGCTAGAGACTGCACACACGCGAGGCACGAAACATCATCGGCAAATTTCGGCTACCGTCAAAGTTGGACGGACAAACGATATTTTTCCCTTTGTCAAAAATGGGGATCTCTCTTCACCGCCGTCACATTTCCAAGCATTGTGCCCCAGTATTCCTACCAGCGGGCTCAATGCCCAGCACGACGGCTTCAGTTTCATCCCCCTCGGCCAAGTCAAACCTACCATGTATCCTTTCAGTGCTTTGAAATATGCCTTTGGAAATTCACCATGATTATATGGGCACGCAGGAGCCCAGACAGCGACGTCGGACACCTCATGACGGGTCTCAGAAGGTTGTCAGTTGGTCAGTAGATGTCCGTCTGTCTTGCAAGGCATCATCTTGCACAACAGATTGAAAGCTCTTTTAGACCGGTGCGCTGTTGATTCGTTTCCTAACCCCGCCATGCAACCTTGATGGGCGTTTGTCTGCCCGCAGTCCAGAGGACCTGCCTACCCTAGGCTGGCACCCTCCATGTATACACGAATAATCGCAATCAAGGATGGCTAAACAAGAATAAAGGTAATTAATCGAGGTGCACGAGGACCCTGAGCTGAGTTCCAGGTGCCCCCAGACTCGCGGGGTTAGGCACAAGACTAATGACCAATAGATCAGCGAGCCACATATTGGTCTCGCTGCCGAGCAGGGCCTGGTCAGGCGACGGATTGCCCAATCTGGCGCAAGGCTCCCGGCTTCCGCCACTACATAGCGAGAGCAAGGCGACACCCCCTCACAAGCCAAACTGCAAATAAGAACGAGAGGGGCATTGCACCCCCCGGAGGAACCCTCCATGCCGAATGAGAGGACCGTGGTCCCCAAACATCACGCAATGACGGGCAGAACGTACCATATCAGCGAGGGAAGAGAAGGAAAAAAGCGCACGGGAACCCTGCAACTACGGTCGGACTTCAAGTAGGTCAGCAATCAAGCAAAATGCAAAGCGGAGAGGCCAACAGGGGTAAAAGTGTCGCCAAGGGCTACCGTCGGGCTCGGCGTTGTCTTGGGATTTCTTGGGGTTTCTTGTCGTGATGGCTTGCTTGGCGTTCATGTTTGATGCACCCCCCGGTCGTAGACCCCCAGCGTCCCGAGACAGGTGGAAGAGACACCCTTTGGGAACCCCCTTCACCCTCGGGATCTTCCTGACCCTCTCAGACTATGCCAAGTCCGCCAAGAGTCGCCAAGATCATTCCCTCCAAGGACGCTGCCCCTCCAACTCTGGCTGGCCAACGCCCCGGGGAGATAGTCTGTAGACGCTACAGAGTTGAGGGAGGGGACGTTTTTCTGCACGATTCTCTTGGAAATGCTACCTGTGGGTCGACCAACGACGTCACAGATTCAGACGCCATCCCTGCTTCATACTGCTGAGCTGAGCTTGTGCTACTCTAACCCACACCTTGACGCTCACCTCCAACCAGGGCATCATGGCCAAGAGTCTTGGCTCGGCCACCAGGATGAATGGAAAGAGGTGGAAAAGCTTCGACATGGTTGTGGGGGGCTTGCGATAGGCGTCATGGCGCTGCGCATGGGAGGGGGATGAGGTATGCCGTGGCACATTGTTGAAGCTTGGTATACACACATTGGCAAGCCAAGCGGCATGAGCGATACGATGCGCCCGCCCGGTCAACTGAGGGTTTCGAGACGACAAACTTTAACCCTAAGGGCGATGAACAAGGAGGGCTGTCTGTGTGTGAGGAGGGTGGTGTGATGAACCACGCGACGCATGGGGTGGGATGAGGGGGACATGACTACCCATCTCCTCCCATCCGCCCAGGGAAATAAACTCGAGACCGGCGGCATCGCGTCCTCGTTCACAAGCCAGCGGCCGCCTGACCTCTGGACTCCAAGCAGAGCGATCATCGTATCGCCGACTCGAGGACGCGCAACCCCGGTACAGCCAGCTTGTCGATATAAGTACAAAAACGCGCCCAGCAGGAAAGGGCACAGTGCCTGCGTCGTGAGATTCCTCCGCCGACTCATGTAGGCGGGCATCCTCACGACGAGCAAAACGCGGCATCAGGTTCCACGACGCGTATGCATGATTACTGCTCGCCCGACGCCGCGAAAGCCTCAAAGTCACTCGAATGTGATGGTATCATCTGCCAATTGCTTACCTGTACAGTCTCCCCCAAAACACGAATCGAGTGCAGATGTCGACCTAGTCGTCAGATTCGCATCAGCACAATAAGCCAAAGGGCAAGGCCGCCATGAATGCGGTTCTCGATCCCGGCCACGATCCACGACAAAACGCTGACGATAACGAGCCGACCGCCGCCGATCCATACTCCTCGTCACAGGCTCCTCGACGATCACTATCAAGAACGAATCGCGTCACTGGCGCAGTCCACGAGCTGGACACCGCCCGCAGAAGAGGCGAAAATCAGGCCAGGAGCACAGATAGGCGCAGTTGAGGCGCATTCGAAGTTCCAGGGCCGATGCGCGCCTCACGGACATACCGATCACATGCCCCGACCAACACCTGAACAATCAATCCACAGATGGACCGCACTGGCGTCGTGCTTCTCGCACTCGCCGCAGTCATCGTGACCTGTGGCCCGTTGTATGTCACTGTTTCTTGATTGAATTGGCTTGTTCCGCTGCCTCTTCGTCTTGCCAGCCCATGACCCTCACACAATTCTGTGCATGACCCTCGCGCCAGGAACCCCGCAGTTGTCAAACTCCAAGATCCCTGGCAACTGTGGGCGTAGCAGTACCGACAGGTCTCGTGACCGTTTCTTCTGCTACAACCCCGACTCCCATTCCTCCTCAATCCCCTAGCATGGATTTGAAGGGAATCGCAGCAGCCGAAAGGCGCCAAGCTGACTGATGTGTCGGATATTGTAGGAGTTGCGTGATTTTCGCGAAAATACGCCGGCATCGCAAGTCTCATCCGGGTCTCCGACAACTCGCCAATGCGCGCAACCAGCTCACGGCCGTGGGAGGCTGCAGCAACAGCCTGGGCGCCGAGAGGTTGGCGGGAAGCGGGTGGGGGACGCTGGGAGACAGGAGCACCACCACCGCCAGTGGCATCGGTGTTGGAGTCTGCGTCGGAACAGACGGCGTCCTCGTCGAATCGGGTACACCTCAGGGAGCCAATTCTTCTTGGTCAGTCCCTGCGTTTCGTTCGGTCAAGCCTTTGCTTTTTTTTTTTTTTTTTGGCAGCCATTTGCGAAAAAAGCGGCAGACCATGCGGCAAACGAAACAACGCCAGCGGTCTTCCCTCCGGCCGGACGGCTTGGTCTCGCATCGTCTACTTGGCGGTCTGGTCAAGCCGACCGAATGACCTGCTCGATTGGGGTAAGTTTGAGGGGCGGCGGACCACAATTTCTCACACTTTTTGTATTCTCGTGAGGAACCAACAACAGATGGAGAACAACTCTGATACCAGGTGAATCCCCGAGGCGGCAGAAGACGTGCCAACCCGCTGGAGATCAGACAGGTGATGCCTTCAAGTGAGTGGCAAGTGGAGCCTGCCGGAAACACGATGTTTGTGCCTTTCTGGATCTTGCCAGCATCGTAACACGATGTTCTCAAATCTACAAATTGAAAGGGTTGCAAGGATCGCATTGATTTTGACATGATTTAGCTGCTTGTTCCGCCTGGAACCGACACGTTGCTAATTAAAGATCTGGCAGTCCCATTTGCCTCGGGTCGCTCTCATCCTCTGACACCAATATTGATGTGAGGAGTTCACCCAATTCGCCGCATCTAACAAGATTGCCAACCACGGTCAAGCGGAAGACTGGATGGCGGGCAACATCTACAACACGATTTTCGGGGGCTGGAAGCAAGTGCGATGCAGCATCTGAGACAGTCCAGGAGGACAAATACTCGGGAAAAGCTGTTGAGTCAACTAGCATTGCAGCCAAGACGCACTTCGTACCTGCGGCTACAGGATTGGCAACATCCCTAAGTCCAACACGATTGCAGACGACCATGCTGGCAACAGCATCAGCTGAACACACCGTGCCCTGGTCGCAAGCTGGGTCTGCTGAGGAAAATCGCCTTGGGCGAAGGCGTGAGGATGACGATATCACTGCCGCGCCTCTTCCGCCTCTCAGTCCGAAACGGATGACCAGGGGTAATTGCACCGAGGCCGAGGGCCGCGATTTACGGCCAGTGTTGAGTGCGATGCCCGACGATACGGGGTTGGCCAAGGAGGGCGGTGCGCGACAAGGCCCGCTGCTTCAGCCAGGCCATAGCCTAAGCCTGCTCACAAACGACAACAATCCAAGTCTTTGGCCTTCATTCACATTTTGCGGCCTCACCGCGAAAAATCGCGAGAGATCACTCGAAAACGAAATTCTGGTCTTGCGTGGATGCCGACATAGCTTCCACGCCCGCTGCCTCACGTCGTGGTTTCTCCAAGATGGCTTCAACTGCCCGCTGTGCAGGACACCCTTCTGGATGCAGCCTGATGCGATGGCGCGGGCGGTGCAGCGGCCCTCGAACGCGGGCTTTCCACATGGCGGGAGCCTGCAGGCGTAAAGCCGTGAGCAAGAGAACTGCACAAACCCCGTGGCATCCGAGGAATTGACCTCGTGAGGAATGGTCATTAGAGCTGCGTGATCACATCGGATTCACCCACTTTTATCGTCTTTGTCAATTCACTGGTGGACTTATCATACCCATTGTGTCAAAGTATGCTGGCTCTGGATATGCTTCGGTAGTTCGACGAAGGTTGTCCGCTGAATACAACTCTCAACTGAGAACGCAATGTAAAGGGGTTGACCGTCGTTCTTCGACTTGATCTGCGTGACTGGAGGTCTCAATGGCAGTGTTTTGTACATTATCTACGTTTCACAACAATGAATTTTGCCATGTTATGACAAATTATTTGCAAAAAAAAAAAGGTACTAAGCCCACAAGCAAGAGCAAGTCTTAAGCCAAACCCCCAATACAAGGAAAAGGCGGGCTAGTCGGAAAATTATGAACACCTAAGCTTCAAAGCACGATACTGATAGGATACCGCAAATTTCGATCATACTAGCGATTGTGAACGTTGTTGGCTCTGCTCAACACCCAAGTCTTGATTCTCATGGCGAGACTACATCTCTACCAGGGCTGAATCCCCTGAAGTGAAATGATCTTGCCAGCATCGGCATCCTTTTCGCCCTCTACGACTTTCCTGATGAGTGTCGCCCCGACCGAAGGGTCGAGCGCCCCGTGCCCCTTCTTACTGTCTGAATAACCTCCAAGACCTGTCGCGAGAAACCCAGGCGAGACGCACCAGACCTTAACCCCGTCGCTGCCTAAGGTCCTGTGCCATTCGCTACGGCCATGTCAGTATACGTGTCTCTAATGAGATATCATCAGTATTTGGCGTACCGCATGAGCATATTCATCCCCGTCTTGCTGCACCGGTATGCTGGAAGGTCGAACATCAAGTTCGTCGCCTTGGGCCACCCCTTGGCCGGCGGCTGGTTGAAGGGCATGGCGAGATTTTCCGATCCCGTCAGAGTCGAAGTGCCGCTCGCGATGAAGATGATCCGGGGATCATCAGAGGACAAGAGGAGGGGGGCAAACGTCATCGTCACGATGTGTGCACCTGTCGTGTTAACGTCCCACGTCTTATTCCAGGCTTCTCTGACAGACAGCTTTCCGAGAGAGATCTGCTGATCTAGCTGGGTGCCTGCTTCAGGTTAGTGATGAGACCTCTGGCGGGGTAGGCCCTCGTCCTTCACTTACCGGCGTTGTTCACGAGGGTGTCAAGCTTGCCAAACTTGTCCTGCACCCATGCAGCAGCCTTCTCGATTGAAGCGTCATCCGCAACATCGATCTGAACGGAGTGCAGAGTGCTAGACGTGCTCGGAAACTCAGAGGTGAGTTGTGTGATGGCTTTGGTCGCATTGTCGAGACTGCGGCTGCCGATGATGATAGAGTATGGTGTCCCGGTCTGGAGGAGGTTCCTCACGAGCTCGAGCCCGAGGCCCGTGTTGGCGCCCGTGATGAGAATAATTTTTTGTTGAGTACTCATTGCTGTAGATCTAATTTGAAGTGCTTGACTATGCATCACAACATCTTTTGCTTGCGGCTTGGCTCGGTTTTTGTACAGCATCTCAACCGCGAGCACGGCGTTAGTTCTCCGGGCTTAAGTCCGGCAGATGGGGGTGTTGAGGTCGGAAATCGCAACCCGCAATCTATCTCCGTGTCTTGATCACCAGAACTCCTCTTGAAGCAACGGACGTGTCGGATCATGGCTACATCTGGGGTCGCTAGAATTTCAGGTTGAGCGGAAAGTTCCAGCAAAATTGCGCTACGCATCTTTACACCAAGGGGCAGCCCATTCTGCTCAACCTTGCCGGTAGATTTCGGCGTTCCTGGCTTCTCGCCTGGATAGCCGTCTCATCCAGGAAGCGATGGGCGCGGAAATTTAATCACAATGCATTATGAGCCTGGCGTTTGATGAGTGTGTTGTCTGGTGACGGCCATGACTTTTGTGTATCTGGCAGGGGTTGAGGGTCGACGACAGCCTCAGCAAGTAAAGGTTTCTCCCACCATCACAACAAATTATCAAGCACGGACACCCACGAGCGGGTTAAAAGAGTTGGTTTATAGAAGTAGCATTCCTGTGTCTTGTCCGATTCAGTCAAAGTACATCTCACCGGTCGTGGTTGACGTGCAGTTTCTTTCTCCGTCGACCTCGGCAATTTGTGGGGCAGCTAGTTTCCTCGCCTCGACGGACGTGATGGGGATGACGATGTCACAGATGCTACGATGTAAGACTTTTGCATTTTATTTACACGGTTAGGCCCTGACTTTCCAGGTGTACTTCCACATGAGGCGTTAATAAGCACTGTTGTACCAGCCCAGCGCTGCTGCTCCGGGCTCGAAGGACAAATGAACTGCATCCCATCCAGCCTCCAGTCTTCCGATTGGCAGTGCTTTGGCTCTTGATGCCTCGATTTCAACCAGCTCTGCTTCGTTCGTCGGCAACAGCCCGACAATAGCCAGTACCTCCTCTGGTCGTATGGTCCTCCGGTTGTTCTTGAACACGTACCGGGCTACCGAGGATGCAAAAACCGCCTTCAACTTTTCCTCGGCATCCTCTTGCTCATCACTCTTTTTCTCCGCAACTTGGCTTTTCTGCGAGTGCCCCCCTTTCCCGGGCTGCATCACATACTCGGAGGGCTTAAATTTGTTGGCGCGTACAAAGTGGGTGACGACGTAGAGCCACTTGTCGTCCCACGAGATGATTCGGGTCCACAGCTCGTATGCCTGGTACGGCTTGATCTCCCTGCGCCACGTACACGTGGTGCCTCCCAATATCATGGTAAAGTGCCTGGGGCCGGGCATGGGGTTGAACGGCTTGCTGAAGAGAACAAGGCTGAAGTTGCCTCTCGACATGTCCATGTCGGTAAAGTACGTCGAGTTGGACTTGTGGAGGTTGTAGTCGCATTCAAGCGCCGGCGACCGCGTTCCACTGATGGCGGGGAGAAACAGGCAGCGTGGTGATAGGTGTTTACTCGGGGCTCGGTCGGTTAGGCGACGGACAAAGGCACGCAGAAACCGGAGCTGCGACGCATGGATTGTGTGAAAAACGGACTTGACAACTTGCATTTCCCGGGACTCCCTCTTTTGAATATTGACTTACAAACCACATAAATGGCAAGCTTTTGAGATTGGCGACGGCGAATAGCACGGCTAAATTCCGCCAACTTATGACGGAGGCGGTTGCCGACCAGTACGCGGCAGAGCCAGACCAAATAGATGCCATCCTTGCGGCTCGAGACGGCACTAACACTGGAGTTACGTGCGGGTGTTTCTGGTGAACGGGTGCTTGAAATCTGGCCAAAATAGGACTGCCAGAACAACATGTCATCGTAGATGATCTACTATATAACCTAGCTGCCTTGAACATCTTCCGTCTATCGAAAAAGGCAAATGAGATCTTTTTTACTCTTTGTTGAGGGCCTCGGTGCGTTCCCGCCTTTGTTGAGGAGAACTCAGTGTCGTCGGATCAAGAAAGATACCCCGTTGCCCCGTTGCCCTGGCCAGCAACAGGTCTGATTTGCCGCAACATGAGGAAAAGGGGTCGTTGGCGACCTCGGTACTTTGTGGGTCCCGAGCCCTCTGAACACGTCAATCTGCGACTTTCAGTTTTAGTACTAGGAATTTCGGTATCCAACTCGACAAATCTTGACAATTTGCAATACATTTTCGGCAGGCTTCGATCACAAGCTGGGATGACGATATTCGTGTTTGCTATGCCTCGGCTGCGACCAGGCATTCCAAGGTATTGACTTGTGAACTTGACCAGAATATGTCAATATAGGAGCGCCGTGGACGACTACGTGGGTGACATGTAAAAGAAGAACATGCCAACGAATTAATCTTCGGACGCCCTGAATACTTCAACCAAGCACTTTGCCCCCATCTCAAGAGTCTAACTTTTGAACATGTCGTCCTCCGTTACGATCCCTTCTTATGTCACCCTACCGTTCAAGGACATTAAGATAACCCATGTTCCAGAATCCTCCCCCTCACCAACTCCAGTTTTGATCATTGCCTTCAATCGGCCCACCCGACATAACGCTGTCACTGAGAATCTACTGGATGAACTTGAGGCGGCTTATGATTTAGTGAACCGCGATGAGCGGGTCCGTGCCATCGTTCTCACCGGCTCAGGACAATCCTTTTGCTCGGGAGCCGACCTCCAGGTGGGGTTCTCAAGCCTCATGGCCCATAAAGAAAGCGAAGAGGCCATGGACAAGTACAGAGATCAGTAGGCCGTCACGATTTTACCATCTCTCCCTGCATAAGGTACTAACATCTTGTGTCCCCGCAGAGGCGGCCGCCTGGCGCTGGCGATGACCAACTGCACAAAACCGACCATTGTTGCTCTCAACGGCCCGGCTGCAGGCTTCGGTGCGACCATCACCCTCCCGGCCACAATTCGTGTCGCTTGGTCTGGCGCCAAAATTGCCTTTCCATTCTCTCGCCGCGGTCTCACTCTCGAGTCGTGCAGCGCATTCTTTCTCCCGCGTCTTTTGGGCCTCGCCAAGGCGATGCATCTCGCGACCACAGGTTCGGCATACGCAACCTCCGACCCATTGGTCATTGGTCTGTTCTCCAGGCTCCTCCCGACGCCTCAGGAGACAGTGGCGTACGCCGTTGAGCTGGCTACCGATGTTGCCGACAACACGTCCCTGACAAGCACGAAGCTGATGAGGGATATGATGTTGCACACGCCCGCGACGCTAGAGGAGACGCATAGGCTGGACTCCAAGCTGTTCATTTCCGTGCTCGGATCCAAAGATAACTTGGTAGGCATTCAAGCATTTATGAAGAAGCAGGAACCCAAGTTTGGCGGGTCTTTTGATAGCGAGACGGTGCCTTCTTGGCCCTGGTGGACGTCGAAGGCTGATGAGGCCCCAAAGGCGAAGATGTGAGACGCCATGTATGGCCTGAGAGGATTATGAACCAACAAAATGACACCCAGATGATAACTTGATTTGATGAGTGATTATGGACAAAAATCTCCGTCTCTAGTTCTGCCAAGAATACTGAGATACTTCGTTGAGTGTCTCATGTCCATCCGTCTAGAGCCTGTGTGAAGTCCCCAGGCTCATACAGCCCAACAAGATCTTGGCTGTCCAGCCAGGATTCATTTCTGATATCCATATTGTCAGTATGCATCTCACAAGCGTCAAAAGGCAAGGCCGGCTTTTGAACGAGGATGGCTGATCACTCACTGAGAACCAAGCATATTGGGCCACATCCACGCGTCTGAGATGACGTTGGCTGACAAGGCAGAGTAGCCCTCGGGCCAGCTCTCCCGTGGTGAAAGAGGAGCCTGTTCCTGCGCGACGAGGTCGACAATGACAGCGTCACCTTGTGGTTGGTGAGTAGGCCTCCGTGAACCTCTTGTCCCATCAATCTTTTTAATCGCCGCCTCGAATAGTTTGTATGCGGCAGTTGCCGAGATGTACGACTTGCGCAGCTCGCTCATAGCTAGCATACACAGGGCTAGATTGTGTTTCCCCATCTGACTTGATAGGGGTTTGGAAGACGCTGATTCGAAGAGGTGAACATGCATCGGCGGAACGAGTGCTATGACACTGAAAGGAAGAGTCAGCAAGAGCAGTGTCGACAAGAAAGTTTGCCATCCTACGTGATAGTATGTGCTAGGCCGATCAGCTCCTCGGCCATCATTGAAGTCACAGCACTGCAGGCGTTTGACGCAGCTACCCTTGTCTTTTGGCAAGCTAATGCTCTCCATGGCTCCTTGTTATCCAGCGTGACATCCCGAGGGGCCTCGAGGATAAATGGTCGATACAACACAATGATCGCTGCCCTGAAGCAGCCGTCAGTCATCAGCTTCATAACCTTGATCGGGGATGAAGAGCAGACGAGACTTGTTCGTCAAACCACTTACTCGAAGTAGATTCGGAACTGATAGCGATGGGAGACAGCCACACGACTTTGATGTTCAGTTGCAGGTAATTCGTATGAGCATGCTCGAATTTCTCGCTCGCAATGTTCAACATCAGACCTTGTCGGCTTCGTCGGCTTCGCCCTGTAATGTGTAGAGAGGATAGTGCCCAAGGTAATACTCAACTTGACCAATGTCTTCCAAAGGGTTTGGAGTTCGCTAAGCTCCCCTGGCAGGTACTTGCCACAAGAATCAGTGCTGTTCTCCGGCACGAAGACTTCTGCATCAAAGCGTCCAGGCTCTGGTGTATCCATATCGTCCAGAGGGATCCGCATCGGCCGTCCCTGGCCCAACGATAACCAGACTTCACGACAGCAGATAGACCACCAAAGCCCTCGCCAGAATGGCTGAATATTACCACAGCCTTGAGAAGGTAACTTGGGTAGCCTGTGTAAACCGATGGTGTGAGACAGACTGATTGCGATGCCGTTCCAGTGCCAGGGGCCCTGTCGGTCGTCTGAGGTAGTGTACCAGAATCCCATCAAAAATACCGACTGGATGAGAGTGATCTTATCTTGCTCGTAATTTAGATCATAAAGAACCTTTGTAGTTGTCAGCGCTTAGAGAATTTGCTAGATGCTAGCTTCTGACCTTTGCTCGCTGATACACAGAACATTTCAACGACGTGCGAGATGTGTAGAAGTCTTGTGTGAGCAGAGCATCATCAACAAACTTCAAGAAAGAGTTAGGATTGGGATATGTCGATGGGGTTCCGATGGGTGACTTGCACTTGCCGAGGCTACGAACATACTCCAAAGCAGCAGAATGCTGACCCGACCGCTTTCATAGTCCAGGATGAATTGACGAGGGTCAAGGATGGGAGAGAAGGGATGCACATGGTGGAAATAGCAGCGTATGAGTATTTCTTGTATATGCGGTGCAGGCAAGTCGAAAGCACCTCTCGATCGAAGATAATTGACATCCTCTGGTGCAAGTGATTTCGTTGACGGCGTGCTTACCAGGCAGTGATTATTCGTCGAAGATCTTTCTGGCTCGCAAATATCCATTACGAAAGCCGGACCACGTCGATCACCTATGCGGGTCAGATATCGGAGCGGCAAAGCGTGGATTGTAGCACAAGGCGGTTTTACCAGCATAGAACGGAATGCCGTTTCCCTTGCTGCCACTGCCACCTTCTAGCGTCTCCGCATATGCCGAACTTTCGTCGTTGACGTCGAAGCATTCCGACACATGTCGGGATACTGACGTTGAAGAGCATAGTTGTGGACCGGCACTTGAACGCGATGCGGGAGTAGCAGGGCGCGAGTAGGCGGCTGCACTTACTGCCAGAGAATTTGGCAGATCTTGAGCGTTGCGTGAACCACGAAGGGCAGCGTCACCGCCGCTGTCTCTTGTTTGCAGCAGGTCGTTGAGCGGCTGAGTGGCTTTGTCGAGTCGGATTGACTCTTTGACGGACGGCGAAGCGGAAGTAGCAGGCGGCGGCGGAGCTATAGGCACTCTACTGAAGCTGGATGTAGATGCTGCCGATGAAGCTTCTTCATTGTCTCTGGCATGAGCAAGAGACGGCTGCAGGTCCAGGTTCCTAAGTCCCTATCAGTTTCACGCGTACTGGTCTTCGGTCGCAACAAGGTCTTTCCTGCGCGAGAATGTGAACGAGACTTACCGCCGTCGCTTGCGGCGCGAAATCTCACATGGCGTGTCATCCACCGCACAGTTGGCGCAGGGTGGACCTGAGAGAGCCACTGTACACCTTACTTTGCGCAAGCTGCATGCGGTGCACGCGACAGCCGCGCGTTTGGGGGCACGTGTCTTCAAAGTGGCCGGTGAGGGTCTCCTATCTTGCCGCAGCATCTTGCTGAATGAGCAGCAAGCCGCTGCTGGAGGCGGGATGCAAGCCTTGGATACTACTACGAGGTGCCTAGGGTAGGATGGCATGATAGCTCGCTTCTGTGGTTCCATGTGATTGAGGTTGATTATGTAATCAACTTGCATCTCATCGCTTTCCCATTTGCTTCCCCGTCTGGGTAGGTAGGTATCTATCTACCTTAGGCGGGTACCTAGGGAGCACAGTTCCTACCAACGGCAACTGTCCTTCAAACAAATTCTGCTTGCTTAGCCGGCCAAGCTCTGATCAACGAAACGACAGCCAAATTGATATGGGAGTACTCAGACACCAATACTAGGTGAGCAGTGGGATCATGTTCCCCAACGGAGTGTAAGTTGGATGGTAGGCGATATCCTCAACAGGATGAAAGGCCTGACGTTGATGGTATGTCAGTAGCTCCCTTACCCTATTGGAACGGAACTGCCATATCAATACCGGTGAATTATGCATGGGTTATGACGTTTCGGCCGCTGGCGTGTGTGTGTTGCACCTATGCGTGCGTGAGACAGAGACGGAGCGTGCACCTGTGCTCAAAGCTCAGGTAGCTCTGCTGCTCCGGGCATAACGACGACGTCATTCTTTGCCTCGCCCTTGCTGTTTCCCGTGTCCCTCTCCTGCCAGGTCCAATCCTACCAGCGCACTGCGCCTGCCACCCCTAGTTGAATCTGATTTCAGCTCAATCTAACATTCCAATGAAATCGACTTTACCTCGTACCTGCCTCCCCCGGGCAGGCAAGGTACCCAGGCCGGTAGGGGCTCCAGTGGTCTCGATCCCGATCGTACATGCCAGCTCCACCTCGTCATGATGTCCCCGTCAGGTGCAACCCTTACCCACCAGGCGCCCCCCGTGGCATCTGCTCCGTCCAACGACGACATCATTCGTCTCAAGGAGTCATTCCAATTGTCTAGTGTATCCTCTTTTCCTCCCGCCTTATTTTTGTTGTTGGCTTGCTTTTGCCACAGAGAAAAAGTGACTTACCAGCGCTTCCGTCCGTCTCACGACCAGCTTTGCACTCCATTGATCCAATTCGTCGTCCTCTTCTGAGCCTCAAGCCTCGAGCCTTGGTCTGCTTACCTGTCATAACAAGTAAACCACCTACCTGGTTCTTCTGGGCTACTACCACCACCAACCACGCCAAACTCAACACTATTTGACATTGACGCTCCTCTGAAGAGGCCAGGCCTCCAATCGACCCAGCGATCAACTGCCCAGCTTATCGACGTGCTGTCGAAACACCTGTGCCTAGACGCGCATTCGGTCATCTGGCGTCCCCCGGTTACGAACACCCTAGCTGGCTCCTGAGTCCCCTCCCCTCACTACCCACAGCCTGGACGCACACCGGGGTTTACTCCGATCGCCCAAGCCAATCAGTCGAATCACAGGCAGGTCGTACCGCCCCAGCTTGTCACCTCACCCACCACATACGCTGTCAGCGATCCAGCGAGACCGTCAAGACGCCCCTGGCCAGCTGTATTCGACGCCGTGCTCTGCCTCCACCGGCCTACCATCTCCCCCTTCTCGTCCTTCTGCATGAGGAGCATTCGTTCCGGCAGGGCCAATCAAGTGCATAATTGCTTGGCGTGGTCATTTGCGGCTCGATCGTTGCCAGCCGGCCAACGTCCATCCCCTTTGCAGCCCCAGTCATCGTTCTCGATTCGAGCCGCATGTGGTGCTAACCACATTATTCCCATCACACATATACCCAGACGTTTCTCCAGCATGGCGTCCAAACGTAGAAGATCCAGCACTTCCATTGCTTCGACAAAAATCGGCACAGAGAACTGCAGTAGGAAAGCACAGCGCAAGACTTCGCCAACCACACAAGAACCTCCGAGGAGATCGGGTCGTCATCGCACGGCTGACAGCAAGCCTGTCAAAGAAGAGGCCATGGAGGCACCCACCAGCGCCGCCGCGCCGCCGCCCTCATCTCTCGAGCAAGACACCCCTGCGAGACGAAGAGATGCCGCTAGACAGGTCGCAACACCACGCAAATGTGTCTCCGATGTGATGAAGGAACTCAGTGACATGGAGGAGCGCCTGCAAAGCTCTGTCAAGCGTCAGCGCTTGGCCATTCAGGATTCGGGTCTTGTCGATGATGTTCCCCCACGCCGCCCTCTCAAACCTCAAGCGGCACGCAAAAGTCGCAATGTGGTTCGAGAGAACCTAGCCAATGGCGTTCGCATGGCCATCTCCGTCGATGAAATAGAGCACGCCCCGTCACTTGATACTGACGCCATTGCCGCCGCCAACGATATCGAGGCCGACGCCAATGACAGGGAGCAAGAGGCCGAAGAGGAGCCGGCGGAGCGCGGCGCTGCACGACCACCGCCCGTGAATAGCAATCATCTCCCTCTCCCGTGGAAGGGCCGAATTGGATATGTAGGTGGCAGCCTCGATTTTTGCAATGCAAGAAAACTTACCTTGTCTGCAGGCCTGTCTCAACACGTACCTTCGAGAAGCAACTCCGCCCGTTTTCAGTTCCCGCACTTGCAGGATCGCGTCTATCATCCAACACCGCCATCCTTTGACAGACCCATCTCAGCCCGAACATTCCACTAAGAACAGGCCAGATGAATCCAAACCTCGGAACATTAGGCTCGGCCAAGAGTATGTTGAGCGCTTGGGGTTGGCGAACGCGCATGATATAGCCAAAATGATCCGGTGGAACGACAAATACGGCATCAAATTCATGCGACTCAGCTCCGAAATGTTCCCCTTTGCTAGTCACGCCGAGTACGGCTACAGTCTCGCGCCATTTGCTTCTGAGGCACTAGCTGAAGCTGGATCTGTTGCCGGAGAGCTCGGTCATCGCTTGACGACTCATCCAGGGCAGTTCACTCAATTGGGCTCGCCGCGGCCTGAGGTTATTAAGGCTGCTGTTCGCGACCTCATATACCATGATGAGCTTCTCACGTTGTTGCACTTGCCAGAACAGCAGGATCGCGATGCCGTCATGATCCTGCACATGGGAGGTACCTACGGCGACAAAGCTGCGACGTTGGATCGATTCCGGACGAATTATGCAACGCTCTCACCTTCGGTGAAGAATCGTCTCGTCTTGGAAAATGACGATGTGTCTTGGACAGTTCATGATCTTCTACCCATATGCGAGGAGCTCAGCATCCCACTTGTCCTCGACTTTCATCACCACAACATCCTTTTCGATGCCACAGAATTGCGCGAGGGCACAGAGGATGTCATCGCGCTC